CTGGACTCAGGGCTGAGGGCCTTGCCTCTTGACCTCCCGGTGTGACGGCAGGCGAACGAGAGGCAGGCGGTAGGGCTGGAGGCCATCGGGGAAACCGCAGGCACTGGGCGGGCCTGGAGGTGCTTCGGAGGCGGCGGCAGCCGCTGAGTCCGGGCGCCCCTGACCTTACGACGCCTGTCATCCGGAATGCGTGCCCAAGGCCACACCCTTCAGAATGAAGGCCCGTCTCCATGCTGTCTCCGGGCTGAACCTGAGGCTTGGAAAGCCCGAGAGTCTCAGCCAGATGCCCCTCGGTGACCCTCCCCTCGGCCCTGGTGTCTTGGAAAGTGACTTCCCGCTCTTCTGGGTGGGGCAGGTGCCTGCAGCCGCCCTGGGAGGGGCAGGCAGGCCCGCCCCCGGGAACAAGCCTGGGCGGCTCCGTTTGGGGAAGACGTGGCTGAACTAGGTGACTATTTTGAAATCTCTTCTAAGCTAAGGCATTGACGAGCCTTTCAGAAGATGACTCTGGTGTGTGAGTGAAGAAGTCTAGCCCTGTGTTTCCCAGGAGGTACGGGAGCACCTTCTGCCACGGGCCATCCCCACAGTCCTTTCCCGGTCCCTGGTCACTGGGCTCCCAGGGGACCGACTGCCTGGGAAGGTGAGCCACACGGTGGCGAACTAGGGGAGGAGACGGATTTCAGCCTCCGGGGCTCCCTGCCGTCAGCTCCCCTCCGTTTGCCTTGGGCACCAGGTGGTTCATTCTGTCTAGGAGGACGTGGGCGCAGAGGCGGGGCATTTCTCCGGGGGCCCCAGCTTGCCAGCGCGCCCTGGGGAGCTGGCCGGAGCTGGGCCCTCGCCTGGCGTGCCCGCTGCTCCTGGACTGTGGGCGGGGTTCCCACACGCTCGGAGTGCCCCAGGGTCCTTAGAAGTTATGTGGTTCTCGTGGTCTCTTCTACAAAAGCTCTTCCTCTGTTTCAGTCAGCGGGGGCTCCATGGAGCCCTTCTTAGGGTTGGCTGTGGGGTGCCGGGTGGATTTGGTGGCCAGCTGGGCAGCACAGCCCCTGGAACGCAGTGGGGATGGGGTCCTCGCGGAGAGGGGCCCCTTGTCGGAGCTGCCTGCCACGGTGGTTTGTCAGTGTCGACGTGGAGTCGCTGGCCGGACAGGAAACACTAATGATCCAGGGGCATTTAGCGGAGTCATCTGGCTTGAAGCCATGAGCGCGTGCCAGCCAGACGGTGCGCCCTCCATGAATGGGGGGGTCTGCCCGCGTTGGCCCGGAACCTGTTACTTCACGTTGAAATGCACCGGCTTCCCTCCGATGAAATTTGGTGACGTCGGCCCCAGCCAAACCTGCTGGGTAAGTGTTGCCAAAGAGCTGCAGTTCCGGGGGGGGGGGGGGGGCGGCGCCGTTTCAGCAGGAAGTACCGGCGGAGAGCCCCTTAAAAACCGCCTCCCTAAGCCCCTTGAGGTGCGCGTGGGCGCTCGAGGGGCCGCCTTGCTGAAGCCGGGGGCAGCCTGTGGACTGGGGGGCTTCCGGGTGCTGTTGTTTGGCGGGCTGGGCGTCTGTTTTCACCTGCCCTGAAACTGTGGCTGGGCCACCACCACGTCATCCGTGGGGCGTGGACCGGGAATCGGGGGCCCACACCATCGCTCATGCACCTGAGGACGTGACTCTTCGCTGGGAATCCTGGGCCGCCTCCGTGGCCCTGGGCTCACCCCACGGGGAAGGCGGGCACCTCTTCCTCCTGCCGCCTCCGCCGCGGTACAGCCGCCCAGTCGCCGCGGGCGGGGCTGCCACTGTGTGTCCGCGGGGCCCTGCGAGCCGGCTCTGACCCCCGACCCCTGGGACCAGCTCCCCGTGCGGGCACGCAGGGTTCGGGGAGGAGGGGGGGTTCCGGTGCGGGATGCGGCTCGACGCCGTGGCGGCACCGGGCCTACGCGGGAGCTCACAGCTGCCACCTCTCCCAGCGGAGTCGCGGCTGGACAGCTCCCGCCACCACTGCCGCCGCCTCCAGCGCAGGGGCAGGGCTGAGCCGCATGGCCGTCCTTTGCCTTATCCCTCCGCCCTTCGTTTTGTCTTGTCCTTTGGGCCTCACTGCCTTTTCTAGCAGTAATTTTTTCAGTTCCGATCTCCGTTCTTCAATTTAGAGGATGTATCTTTTGAAGTCACCCCTGAGCCTTTGGTTGAATGAAGTTATGGTTAAAAAAATAAGGGAAGAAAATGACTGATGAATTTTCGTTCACCTTAATTTTTGGAGTTCTAGTTAAAACATTCCAAGGCCCAGACTCATCCATCCATCCATCCAATACTGATTTTTGGACTATGGATGGACACTAAAAACTAAATTCTTTTGGTGCTTATTACATATAAAATAAATATTCAGGGTTCCGACTTGTTCAGGATTTTCATCCAAGTCTTAGGTGTGATTCCCCCCTCCCCCAAAGGCTCAGGGGGGTGATTCCCACGGACTCATTAATCCCAGGACACTCGGTGGCGGCGCGCCACCACGACAGCGTAAGTGGGGACGTTTCGGTAGCGCTTCAGCTTATCTGTCGCATAACAGCCTTTCCAGGTTAAGTGGTGGCGGGGGAGGGGAGAGGCCCCCCATTATTGCTGCTGACCTTCCGAGCAGGTAATTCACTTGCCTGGGATGGTGGGGGGTAGGACGTGATAGAACCGGGTGCCTGACCTTGGGCATTTTGAGGGCACATACAGTATCATTTTCTCTAAATACTGCGATTCCAGGAACTTGTAGGACCGCGAATGGCAGGTGCCCTTGACCGTGGCTTTGAGGGCGAGGAGGAGGGTCCGTGTCTGGCGGGCCTGAGAAGGGGCCTGGGTTTGCTGCCACGGCTGTGGCTTTCCCGATGGTTGCTGCGTTCTTGTCTCCCGTGGGGCTGAGGGGCTGGAGTGCTGGGGGCACGCGTCCAAATACTCTTCCCTGTGACACCGGTGACTCGTCGCTTCCCCCTGAAGCCGCAGATGTGCATTGAGGCTGAGTCAGGGAACAAAGAAACTGGGTTCCACCGGCGTCCATGCGCTGGGTCATCTTAACGAAGTGCAGGCGGGCCGACTGGGGCGGAGGGCGTGGGGGCCCACGAACGGGGCTGAACGGAGCGGGTCTCGTCTTCCGGCTCAGCCACGGACCCCTGCTGTCCCACCTCACGTGTAAGGTGCAGCTCGGGACGCAGCCCCCCTTTCGGCGAGTTGGCATCACGGTTCAGGGAGCCCTGCAACCACAGCGCCCAGGGCGGACTCTCTGCGGTTTACAAATGTGAAATCGGGGGAAACATCAGACGATGTTTGTGGAGGGCACCCCCTGGCGTCGCCCCGAGCCTGTCCTGTGACGGCGGTCGCGCAGCAGCCCGTGGTGTGGGGACGGCCGCAGTTCCTGTGCCGAGGCGGGGAACCGACCCCAGTGTGTACCTCAGATATTGCGCGCAGCAGGGTGGGGCCGAGGCTGGGCCCTGAGTGAGGCAGGGCGCCCAGCAAGCGCTGGACGCTGTGCGGGTGTGTGTGGCTGCCTCCCGCTGGCACTGACTCCTAGGTGTCCCTCGCAGAGAGCCGGGGTCCTGGTCGTCCCCCGGTTGCCGTGACCTGTGGTCCCCAGGCGCAGCGAGTGAGTTACTCATTGGCACGTCGCAGCCTCCGCAGTCCAGCCGACGGCCGGACAGGTGTGGGTCACCGCGGGTCTGTGCCACAGCCAGGTCACAGGTAGACGATGTCTTCCCACCAAAATCAGACAAAAAGTGTATGAAACAGACATAGCTGCGCCCTCTGGCGTGTTTACTGATGGTGGCGCGTGGCGTGCGCCCCTCCCATAGAGCTTCCGGGTCAGGGGCTCCGAGCGCATGGGCGCAGGAAGCAGTTCCAGTAGAGCGGACGGGGTGACTAGAGTGTGTGCTGTCAGCCTCCGCGCGGCAGGTACGAGTAGGGGATCGGCCCTGTGGGCGACAGGTCGCCGACGTCAGGGCCCGTCGGTGTGAACGGGCTGTTGCTCTCTCACTTCCGCCCTGGACAGTTCGGGGGCCGTTTTGGAAACGTGGAAACGTGCAGAGTGTGGCGCACAGAGGATGAGCAGGGAGAGGGAGCGGGCCGGGCAGCGGCGGGGGACCACGGACCGGGTGGGTGTTTGGGGGCGAACACGCGCGCTGCCGCGAAGTCACACTTCTCCCGCATGCGTGACTCGCCACCTTCCCGGCTGACGGGCACGTTTCCCAAGACAAGAACAGTGACTGAGCTGATTGTTCCATTATCTGAAGAGGTGCGCGCATGCGCTGTTCCTGTGATGTGACCCTCCAGAAGCAGACCCGTCTCTCGCGCCCCTGGGCCCACTGTCTGTCACCACAAGCGCTGTCCAGCCCGACGCCCTCGCGTCTGTGTCCTTGCTCAGTGCAGGCAGATTCTCAGAGGGCTGGCCTACAAAATAAAGGCCATCAAAACTGCTTGTATGTGGACTGATCCTGGCCACTTCGTTTTCTGGGTCAAGTTACAGCTTGGCTATTTTACCTGCATTCTTTCCTGTGCACCTTCCTCTCCTCCGTTCCCTCTGGACTCGGTGCGCGGCACTGTGAGAGCTCACGTGCCGTGTGCAAGCCCCAGTATTTCATTTGGTCTCCTGTTTTACTGCTTTTCAGTATTTTCCGCCACTTCTGTTGTCGATACAGCTGTGCTTTAGAGGAATGGAGTCTCCTTTCTCTTGTTTTGTTTGTTGAGACCTTCTGAAGATTAAGACGAGCCGTGCAAATCTTTTCATAGTGACCTGTTTCTGTTACCCAATCCCTTCGTTTGAACCTATGCCTATAGATTAACTTAGGTTGTAGGGATGCCTGTTGCTGTAGAGGTAGATAGGCCTGTACCTGTTCATTTACCTGGTTATGCGTGTCGTTTCCTGCCTATAGCTAAAGCTTGCACTGTCTGATGGTGGTGGCAGCATCACACCCAAAGTGGGGGTTGGGGCGCAGATGACGCTGTGGCTTCCTCGTGCTGGCTGACCATTTCATTTCCTGTGCTCTCCAGGTTTCTGGCGCCTTCCTGTCCACGCAGGTGAGACCGCTCAGGTGACACCGATGGCTGCCCCAAGGAGCAGATGCTGAAACACGCCCCAGCCCGGTGCTGCTCCTCCTGACACCACTTCCCACCCAGGATCTAAATGCCACAGCGCTCTTGGGGCAAGGTGGGCTGGGACCCGCTGTCGCCTTGGAAGGTACGTGGTGTGGGCACACCTGTGCCCATCCTACGAACTAATGGAAAGGAGTCAGAGGGCGTGGGTTGGGCCTGTTTTTAATGTCATGGAATTGCTGTGTTGTATGTAGCTTGTGGGAAAAAGATTTTGGAATCATTTCTTTGGATTAAGGTTACACCCACTTAACAATTCAAAAGCATTAGCGTTAAAACTTAAAACAAGAAAACGAAAATGCAGGTACCTGTGAAATCTTTTTTTCCCCTGTGAATTGCCCTCAGGATCTTTTACATTGATCCCTAAGCTTTACCGTCTTTACATGGGATTATGTCTGAAAAGGGAAACCTGGCTTCAAAACCTCGCTTCGCAATGATGATGTCTTTTGTTTCTGGTTTGGGCAATCTTTAAAAAGCAAAGTAAATACAGTCAACATAATAATCATTCTAAATCAAAGCTCATCTTTATTTGTTGCACAACTTTCCTGTTTAGTCTCTTGTGTGTGTGTGTGTGTGGGGGGGTGCCTTGGCAGAACGCTGTCCATGGGTTTGTAAAGATTTAGCACAAACTTTCAGAACTTCATCTCAGTTTAATCTTAGCTCTTGTTTCCTTGTCTTCAGGCCCAGCCTCCAGGAGGGAAAAAACAGGCTCGAAACCAAGACCTCCCACTGGAGTCTAATTTTAAATTTGCAATCTGTTGTCTTGTGATTTTCGTTTCAAATTTAACTCTGAAATAAATACATCTCATTCTTTCTCCTGCAGTTTCAGAGGTCTGTCTTCAAGTAAGAGAAGGGTAATCATCATGTTTATTTTAATAAGTTTTTAAATACCTCTGGGGAGTGAAAACATTTTATTAATAATTATAACGTATAGACACCATTAGGAGCCGTCCGCTGGGATTGCAGGACACCCTTGGCAACGGCAGGGCGGCTGCTTCATGGTGAACACCGTTCGTGGGGCCGCCTGGGCCCCCGTCAGCCCTGCTGCCTTATGCTGTGCAGTGGCCCTGCCACTGGGCAGCTGCGCCGTGGGCCTCCCTGAGAGAGCGGCTGTGCTGAGGCTCGGCCTGTGGAGGTGGGCAAGACGCAGTCCCGGCTGGCGGGGGGTCGTGACAGGACGGCAGGGGGTGTGTGTGAAGTGCGACAGGCGCCCGCCCCGCCTCAGGCAGTTTCCCTGCGCCCGCTGTGCTCGGGGGCCGCGCTGCCCTGCAGCCGTCAGCGCCGTGCCCGCACCTTGCCCTCCTCAGTGACCTGAAAACCCCGCGACCTGAGACGTGTGAACGTTTTATGTATTCTTCCTTAACATGAATTACAGGTTCAGTGTAGAAACATCAGAAAAATACAAAAAATATGTCACCGTGAAAATGATTTCTCACTTTATCCAGAATAGTTACATTTAAAGTTTTTACGTGGGTCTATCGTGTGTATTTAGGTGAACTATCATTAACATTCTTTTATTTTTGACACTACTACAGATGTCCCCATGCCCCCCCGACCCCCATTAATACACTTACAGAAGATTTTAATCTGCCCATAACCAGCATTTTGGAGGCCCGCGTCACAATTCAGTTTTTGCTTCCTGACTGAATGCATCTTTGCCCTGGAGACTTCCTGACAGTGAAATGACGTTTGGATGGGCTGACCCCGGGGCTGGGCTCTGAGGACGGGTGCTCTCCTGCGGCCCGGCGAGCGGAGGGGCATGCTCTGTCTTCCGGGCTGTGTGCCCGCCAGTCTCGCCTAGGGAATCAGGCCTCTGAAACCCTAAAAACAGGACTAGACTCCCCTTCGTCCTGGACATGATGAGCTGTTTGTAGTGTTACTTGTTCCTCTGAGCAGGCTGGGGTCGCAGTAGTGTTTTCCTTGGCTCTTCTGCTCCAAAACCCTGAACAAGGGTGGTTTCTGTAATATGAAGTGGAGCGTTTTGCAGGTACTTCTGAGAAAACCTCACAGCAGCGTGATTACCAGATGCAGCTTACATGACACACTGTGGATCACAGAGGTTCTACCTGTCTTTTCTGTGTTCTCCGCTTGTGTGGATAACTGATGTTCATAATGATCTTATATGGGAGATGAAGCACTTAAGGTTTTCTCATATTTCAAGAGTGTTAACTGTTACTCAGCAAGCACAGTTACAATAGCAGCTTGAAAAGTCTTTGATGGTTCCAACATCTGTGGGGCTGGGCCACTGTGGGGCTGGCATCGATTGGTTGCCTTTCCCCTTGAGAGCAGGTAGATTTTCTCGGTTCTTTGGAAGTCATCACAGGCGTTTTAAGTATGGCGTTGGAAGTGCGTGGGTCCTGTTGAAATCTGGTGGAGAATGATGGTTTTTCTTTGTTGCTGCTTCAGCAGCCTGTCAGCCTGGTTGGGATCAGATCGCCAGCTCCATCCGACCTCCATAGGCGGCAGCTCACAGGCCAGTTCCCTTTTCAAAGCCTTTGCTCTTCTGCTTTGGGCGTTTGTTACACAGCTGCCACCTGGGCGTTGGTTTGGGGTGTGGTTGTGGTTTATGGCACAACTCAGTTTTCAAAGCCTTCGCTGTCTCGCGTTGGGTTAGCCCCAGGCATGCACACCTAAGTGGTAAGCCCAGGACTTCAGTGGATCAGACTTGGCTTTTGGCACTTTGCGTCTCCAGCTTTTTCTCCTGAGACTTCCCGTAGCTTCCCGCAGCTTTTTTCCTGAGACTCCCCTGTGGGGGCCACTGTGCTGGGTTGCTTTGGGCAGAACGACAGGGCATGTCTTGGGAGCTGTTGCTCCCTGTGCTGCAGCTGCCCTGGGTGCTCACGCTCCATGCAAGGCTGGAAGAAAAACGAGAATAAAAACAGAAATGGGAAACCCACTCTTGTAGGAGTACCTTCTTCAGGTTTCAACTCCCTCCCATGGCCTGCCTTTGCTGACCTCCGAGTTCCCAGGTAGCTGCTGCCGTGCAGTCCAGAGCGTTCAGTTTGTCGGCGGGGAAGCGTTGGCCATAGCGTCTTGCTCCTCTTGGCTGGCGCCTGGCGTGCGCCATTCAGTTTTGCCCCTACTTTGGGCAGTCGGTCCACTCTGTCTCCCTAACCACCCTGTGGACCATCGGTCCATATTTGCTCTGCGTTTCCTGATAACATCAGGCTACGTGATGCCTGACATACGCTCTTTTATTGCCTGCTTTGTTGAAATTATATTAGACAGTTTTAGATGCTTTTCAGCTATAAAAGGGGATTAAAAATAATCATTTCGAAGAATCCTCATGTAACTATAGCACTCTAATTAGTTAAGGCTTTGCTTATTTTCACTGACCCATTAGAAATAATTTTAGATTTACGGGAAATCACACACAGGAGGTATGCCTGTCGCCTAGTTTCCCACGATGGCGGCGTCTCAATTAATTACAGTGAACTTCTGACGCCAGGGGGCTGTCATTTTTCCAGCGCGTGTGTACGGTTTTACAGGTAAGGCGCAGCCGGTCAGCCACTCCACAAGAGCTGCCCCCGAGAAGCGACCATGCACTTACCTGGTGCGCCGGCCATGACAGCGCTGCCCGTTCTTTCTGGCGAAGACCCCTCAGACGCCCTGATCCCTCCCGCCGCGTGTTTAGCGTGGTGGGTTTACAGGACGCTGCCGTGATCGCTGGGAAAGCGGCGCTCGCCCCTTTCGAGGGGAGGTCGCGGTGTTGGGTCACCCCCGCGGTGGCCTTCTCTCCGGCCCCGAGCACCTTTTGACTTTCTGACCCTGCGCTGCTTTCAGACGACCCCTGGTCAGGACACCGTGTCGCCCTGCCCCCGTTTTCCTGGACTGTCCAGGCGAGCAGGTCTGCGCGCTCTGCCTGACCGTCGGGGCGATGTCCTCTGACCCGGGACCCCTCGCCCCGCCCGCCTGGACAGCGTCCGCGGAGGAGGACGGTGGGTCGGGGGCCGGCAGCTGGGACAAGCAGGACAGGAGTGAGGCCTCGCCCTCGGCCCAGCTGACGGGGTGTGGGGGCGCACCGCGGGCGGGGCTGCCGGACCCGCGATGCGTGCACGGTTGGGGCAGGGGCCCGCGCCAGCCCTGGCGCCGCGCGTGGAGGAGCCGGCCTGGGAGGACAGGACGCGTGTCTTCTCGGGTTCCCGTCTCAGGGACATTCGCGTCTAGACTGATTGCTGTTGTGTGAAGTTTGACATCCTGCCTGGAAGTTTGTCACATCGTCCTTTCATTCTGTTGTTTCCCGGGTGCCGGCCGCCCTTCAGGTTGTGCCGTAGGCGCCGCGGGTCCGGCCGCGGACACGGGAGCCGCGTGCGCTGCCCTCCTGCCGTGCGGGTCCCTGAGGCCAGAGGCTGGAGAAGAGCCAAGAGGAGCCGGTGATGACGTCCCTGGTGAAGGCCGTGACACGTGCCAAGGAGGGACAACCAAGAAGGGGGCGGGAAGCGTGCAGCTCCTTTGGACAGAGACGCCAGGAGAGGCCTGCAAGGGGCTGAGGTCCGCAGGGCCGGAGGCGGTGCGCCCAGCGGAGGGAGAGCGGGCGCAGAGGCTGCCGGGAGGTGTGAGCAGCTGTCTGCCCGCAGCCCCCGCCCCGCCCGGAGGCGCCCGCAGCCTGGCGCGCCCGCAGCCTGGCGCGCCGCCGCTCTACGTGAGGGACGCTCTACGTGAGGGACGCTGAGGCGTGGGCGGGGGTCAACGGGCTGGCTTCTGGTCAGAGGCCGCCCTGTGTTGAGGCCCTTCGTGTCCGTCCCTGGCCCTGTGTTCGCATCGCCACCTGTACGTCCTCGCCTTGACCTTTTCCCTCTGCCCCGCGGCGCTCGGGCGGGACTCAGGGATTCGTCGCGGCGCTTCTGCTTCCGCTTCCGCTTCCGCCTCGACAGAGCACGGCCGCTGGTCGGGTCCTTGTCGTGAGGAGAATGTGCTAGTCTCTCCAGAACGACACAAAGTCAAAGCCACAAAGTTTTTGCCCGGACGTCGCTTTGGGGACGCACGAGGAACACACAGGCTGCTGCCAACGTAAAAAATAAACCAGGTTTCTTTAAAAACTTTTTTTTTCTTGAAATAAAAATAAACGGCGAGGGTCCCATAGGCGAGATCAGGGTGAAACGGGGAGCTGGACGGAGCCGGCCTCCTCGCTTGCATGCGGAGGGGAGGATGACAGCTTCGGTCGCGGCTACCCGGGTCGCCTGGGTGTAGGGGCAGGGGCCGTCCGCAGCAGGGGGCGGGGCTGTCCGCAGCAGGGGCGGGGCCGTCCGCAGCAGGGGCGCGGGTGTCTGGGTTCTGCAGCGGTCGGCTTTCGGTTTCCATGCTGGGCTATTTCAGAGCCCCCAGCAACCCCACAGGGGCCCTCGGGTCTCACTGACTTTTCCGGGAAGGCTCCTTTATTCTCTTTGGAATCCTCACTTGAGGATGTGTTTATTGATTTGAGAGAGAGGAAGCGGGTGGGAGATCGATCGCGCCCCGATCAGGGATCGAACCCTCCGCCCTCCGGGGTGCGGGACGATTCTCCAACCACCGGAGCCCGCCCCGGCCAGGACTCAGGAAAGCCTTTAACTTCAGAGGCGCTTCGGCAGTCCCCAGAAACGCCTTTTTCTCAGCGTCAGTGCCTCGGGTTCCTGCCGACGCGGCCCCGGGCGTCCCGGCACCTCTGGGTGGGGACTCAGGAGGGCTGGCCCTGACCCCCCTGTCCTCGCTGTGAAGGTGAAGCCGGCCCCTGCCGGCCCTGGCTGGCCGCAGAGCCTCCGGCTGCGATGACGCGCGCTGTTGGAACCACAGGCCCGGCCCGCGGCGCACAGGGCCCTGTGGTTCTGGAAGGCCGGGCCGTTTCCTTCTGCTGAGGCCTTGAACCCGATTCCTTCTCTGCTGTGGTCAGGCCGGAGCTGCGGGACAGAGGTGGGCCGAGAACAAATCGGTCAGTTGATGTCCACGCGCTGCCGGTGTGCGGCACGGGGGGCGCCCGCCGGTGGGAGGCCGTGGCTTGGCCTTCGACCGGACTGCGCTGCTTTGCCCCTTCGAATGTAACCCTGTGCTGTTCGTCAGGTGGGACCGCTGTGCTGCGCTTGTTACTGTTCATTGGGAAGCCGCAGAGGTGCGCCGCCGCGGCCCGCCCCCGCCCGCCCCCGCGTTCTTAGAACCGCCAGGAGCTGTAGGGGATCTGTCCTGGCCTTCAGGGTTCCTGAGGCGCCTTTCGTTTCACTTAGGAAACACGTGGCCCCCCACTCTCTCAGGGACACAGGGAGCCTCGATTGGTCGCGCGCGGCCCGCTCGTCCCATCCTGTCCCGTCCCCTCCACTCGGGGTTTTACCTTTTTTGCTTCTGAAACACGCCAGCCAGAGAGGCGTGAACTTGTGGCTCTGAGGTGTGCGGGAGACAGTCCATGGGCTGGAAGGTCTCCCTGGGGGTCACGTGATGTGCGACCTGGTGGGAGTATTCCGGCCTCTGCCAGAGTTGCCCCCGAACTGGGTGGGGCATGAGGTGGAGGCCTTCCCGTCCTGTTGCCACAGGTTCTGTTTCAATGAAGACGTGCCTGCGTGGGTTCCGGCAGTGGTCAGGCTGAGCCGCAGGTCAGGCAGCGGTCCCTGGGGGGCCCGGGCCGCGGTGTCTTCTGCTCCACGGGGTGTCAGACTGTCTGGGTGGGTCACTGAGAGTGCGTCCCTCTGCCCTCTGGTGCCCGTCCCTTGTTTGTGTACTGTGTGCCTTTGCCGGCTCAAGTGTCGTGTTTCGAGGGCAGGGCTCTGCCTCCCCCGGCCACTCACCACTGACAGCTTCCCGGCACGGTAGGCGCTCAGTGTCTGTCCTGAGTGAGTCCCCGCGCAGATGGCGGGCGGAGTCGGCTCAGTGACTTGCCCCGCTGCCGTGTCTCTGGCCCCCCTCCTGGTGGGGAGCGCTGAGCGGTGCAGACACCTCGCTGCAGAGCAAGGCGGGCAGGTCGCCCAGGCCGCAAGCTGGGGCTCTGAAGTGTTTTCTCTCCCCACTGTGGGCAGCGGTCACCAGGTCCGTGTGGGACACCGGAAGGGTGCTCAGGAGGGACCTGGCTTCACCCAGTGGCCCCTGAGGGCTGCCTCACATTCGGCAGCACTGCCACGTGAGGCTCCCATGCAGGGCGCTCTAGCCCAGATGCACGTGCGCAGGTTGGATTTGCTCCCAGAACGAAACCCATTAGCCTCTGCTGAGTGGAGCGCAGGGTTTCTCTTTTGTTCTGCCCACGGCCCACCTCCCACCCGAAACCAGGGTTTCCAGAGTGCCGTGGAGTTAAAGGGAAAGGCTGGTTCATTAGGGAGAGTTCGTCGCACTGACGTCTCCCGCAGTTTCACTGTTGGTTGATTTCGAAGTGTAAGGTGGAGTCTGAGTGAAGCAGAAAACCACTGTGGGGCGGGGGGTGATCAAAGATACTTCTCCAATCTTGCTTTCTGAGACGTGTAAGTCCTGCACTGGGCAGATCTGGTGTGGGAGCGGGAGTAGGACTTTAAGTCTGTCACTGAATATGTAGCTGCAGGCGGAAGACAGGCTGCTGCCTGTGAGAGCAGCCGTCTGCAAGCCGGGGGCGGGGGAGGCAGCCACCCTCTGGGCCAAGACAGGTGTGATTCTCTGGTGATCGCACTGATGCCGCTTCACAGCCCCGAGGCGTCATCTCAGGCACTGTAGGTTCCCCCCGGCTCCCCTGTGCAGTCCGAGTACCTGCCGGGTGCCTGCAGGAGGGCGCTCTTACCTGGCAAGCTGGGCACCCTCCCTGTGTGCTGCGCTGTTCTGTCCAACTGTCCTCGGTGACTCAGTTGTCTCTCCTGTTTCTTTCTTTGCTACAGACTGCACGACCATGGGAAACGCAGAAAGCCAGAGCGTAGAGCACGCGTTCTATGGAGAGAAGCGTGCCAGCCTGGGGCGCAAGCACACGTCGCGCTCGCTGCGGCTGTCACACAAGGCCCGGCGGGCCCGGCACGCGTCCTCGGGGAAGGCGGTCCCCCGGAGCTCCGAGGTGAGCACGCGCTCCAGCAGCACTCCCAGCATCCCGCAGTCCCTGGCCGAGAATGGCCTGGAGCCCTTCGCCCAGGAGGGCGCCCTCGAGGGCTTCGGGAGCCCCAGCTGGGTGGACCGAGGGGACATGGGCCTGAGGCCCGTGTCGTACACCGACTCCTCCGTCGCCCCCAGCGTGGACAGCAGCATCGTCCTCGCTGCGGCCTCTGTGCAGAGCGTGCCCGGCTCGGAGGACGGCGGGCTCTACGGGGATGGCACGCCCTGCCTGGCCGAGGGAGGCAGGCGGCAGCACCCCTGCCCCTGCGCCGGGCCCACGTTCCCGGAGACCGCCGGCTTTAAGAAGAAGCGCTCCAAGTCCGCAGACATCTGGAGGGAGGACAGCCTGGAATTCTCTCTCTCCGACCTGAGCCAAGAGCATCTAACAAGCAACGAGGAGATCCTTGGTTCTGCCGAGGGGAAAGACTGCCAGGAGGCCCAGCGGGCGGAGAGCAGGCCTGGTCCACGGCCGTCCAGCGCCGGTCAGCGTGCCAGCTCCCTGAGCGACCTGTGCGCCCCAAAGAGCGCGGGGGCGACGGCCAACGGGGGGCCCCGGAGCAGATGCGCCGGCTACTGTCGGAACTTGGTGGCTGACAGCCCCCGCCTTGCCAACCACAAGATGCCACCGGCAGCTGCTGAAGAGGCCCTTCCCTATAGCAACTACAACACCCTTCCCTGCAGGAAGTCGCACTGCCTCTCAGAAGGTGCCACCAACCCTCAGCTGAGCCACAGCAACAGCATGCAAGGCAGGAGGGCCAAGACGACCCAGGTAACGTGGCTGCAGCTGCTGCTGTAGTGCGGAAACAGCGCGTGGCTTCCGTGGCACGTGGTTGCTCTGCCGCGCTTCCCGCTCTCTGTGGGGTTCCCCCGGTGGTCTGGCGGCTGCCTCACTGGACAGTGATCGAAGGGTGGACACTGAGGACGGAGCAGGCATGGGGGCTGATGGGGCTGCAGGGGAGTAGAGCTGGTGAGTGCACACTGAGAAGCGTCCTCTTCAGCTCCGTTTTCCAGTGCGCCCTGCGGGTCCTCGGCGCCCTTCCCATGTGGCGCTGTGCGTGGGCAGGCAGGCACGGAGCTTTCTTCCTGGGCACCACAGGTGGGAGGGGCCGGTCGGGGGCAGCTTGGAGGAGGAGGGGCCTTGGATGCAGGGTGGGCCCCCGTCGTCGGGCGGCCCCTTGGAAGGTGGCAGGCTCTGCCCTGCCCCGGAGCCAGGTCGCTTTCCTGGGCCTGGCTCGCGGGCCAGCCCTGCCTCCGGAGGGCGGGTCACGAAGGGCAGCTCTCACTCAGCAGCTGAGTCCGTGCTTGACTTCGGGCAGGCCCTGGCCCCCGCTGCTCCTCGGGAAAGGGGGGCGACAGTCTGTCAGTGTGCCTGCTTCGCTCGGGCCTGCGGCATGAGGGGGCGTCGCCGGTCCCGGATTTAGCTGCTGTCCCGCCTGTGGAAGGGGTCCCGCCACCTTTGCAGGTGACGATCGCAGACGTGAGACTGAGGCCAGGTGCAGCCGGCCTGCAGGCCCGGCCCCTTTCTGCCCGCTGTGGCCGAGCTCCGGGAGACGGTCTGCAGGGTGGGGCTTCCGATCAGAAACCCAGAGCGGGCGTGTTTGCCTAGTGGGGCAGGTCAGGTACCAGGTGGCCTGTGCCCATGCTGAGGCTGGCGTGAGGGCAGCAGATGCGCTCTGACCGTGGCCGGGCAGGTTCTCTGGGAAAGGAGGTCTCAGTGTAACGGGTGGGGGCCAGCGCAGAGCCCGGGGAGGGGGAGGAGAGCTCGGCGTGAGACTTTCGGGGTCTGCCCCGCCGCAGGGTTGTTTGTTTTCAAGTTTCGAAATACCAGGTTTTTTATTTTATTCTGCAGTTTTAAATTCTCCTATACAAGTCATTTGGGTATGCAGGTTTTCAAAAATATTCTAGATTCGTTTATTGGAGGAACCAAAATTTATTATCTATTTCTCCAGGTTTGTACAGGTTAAAGAAGGTTATAGATCTGAGCTTCCCCCTTTTTAAAACGTCGCTTTAAACTGGGGTGAAAGCATGCAGGACGGGGCCTCTCGATCTCCCGTGGGGGGCCTCAGCGCCCATACGCTGGGCGGCCGTCCCCACCGGCCGTCCCCGGGGCCGCCCGTCGTGCAGAACTGGACGTCTGTCCTCCCCGAACACCAGCGCCCCGTCCCTCCCGCCCCGGCCCCGCCCGTCTGCTCTCTGTCCCTGGGGACTGCACTCGCCTGTCCCTCATGTACCTGGAGGCGTGTAGCGTTTGCCCTCCTGTGTTCGGTCTGTTTCTCTGGAGGCTCGTCTGTGCTGTGGCCGGGGTCAGAGCCTCCTTCCTTTCGAAGGCTGGAAAACACCTCGTGGTGTGGGCGGGCCGCTTTGTTGTTAACCCGCCCTTCCGCTGGGGGGCGGGGTTTGCTGCCGGTGTCCAGGACAGGCGTCCTGGCTGGACCTCTTCTTGCCTGGGTGACACTGGGCAAGGTTTTGAGTCTCGGGAACTTTAAGTTCTTTATCTGTAAATGGGGATAATAAGGCTTTTCGAGTACACTGAATGCGGTGACACGTGAAGCCCAGTGCCCAGTCCTGTGGGAGCAACTGGTAAGGGAAGCTCTGTTAGCTGTTGTCACGTGGACTTCCACTGGTGGCTGTTACAAGGCTGGCCCTGCTCGGAGGAGCTGGGTGCGAGGCTGGTGGCCAGGCGCGCTGCCTGCGGTTTTGTCCGCCTCTTCTCCGGGGCGTGAGCGGAGTGATGCGAGGGACTGGCCGGCCCCCTGTGGTCCATCCCTCCGGGCGGGAGCGCAGAGCCTGCCTGCCCTCTGTGGGCTCTTCCCGCGTGTCCACCTGACAGGTCGGAGACCGGCGAACAGGTGACCTCCAAAGGGTCGCCTGAGAGGCATGACGGGCTCCGTTTCAGAGACACGGCCGGTTGGCTTTGCAGCACTCCATCTAAGAGGTGGGATTCGGGGAGGCGCGGGCGGAGGCCGTGGATGAGGGGCCTTCCCTGGGACAGCGCTCAGCAAGCTCCTCGTCACCGTGGGACCGGGGAGGGCGCCCGGCTGTGCTCTGGCTCCTCCCTCTGTGTCTCCCGCCCTGGGGACAGCTGGACACCTGTGCCCCCACACGTCCTGTGGATGGGGCTGAGCAAGCCCCCCCCCAGAGGCCGGACCTCCAAGGGCTCTCGTGGGTGCGTGCCTGTTCAAAGTCCTGCTTCCCGGCTTGTCACCCGTTCGTACTGTGAACGTGTGCCAGAGGGCCTACCCGAGGGCAGCCCACTCCCTGTTGCCGCTGGGGCAGCCGACATAGGGCAGAGTGCCTGCCGGCTCCCTGCCCTCGGGGCCCCAGCAGGTCGCCATCCTGTGTCCCTGCAGGCCCTCCCCTGCCAGTGGCAGAGCCTCCGACAGGGCCGACGGGAGGCCCACGTGGGGCGCCGGGCCTGGGGAAGGAGCGGGAGCGTTTCATTTGTGTTGCCTCTGTGGGCTGCAGGAGGCGCTGCAGTGACTGGAAACACCCCCCAGGAGGACTGTGCCCAGCGTGGTCCCCACCGCCGCCCGTCCGTGCCGGGCGGGCCCCTCCAGCGCGGCTTCTCCGCCGCCGCGGGCCAGCACAGGATCGCCGCCCTAAGAGACAGGGCGCCACCTGTCCCTTAGGACCGAGGAGACTGTGCCTGCCCACTCCTGGGGCCCGCGCAGCGGCCGCTCTGAGGGCCGAGCACCACAGCTTCGGGGGCTGAACCTGACTCTCCAGGGTAGGCAAGGGCCAGAGCTGGGGCGTCGGCAGGTAACGGGTGCGGCGTGACCAGGAAGGGAACCCGGAGCTCCTGCCACAGGCGTGTGGCTTGTACAGTCTTGCTTTGTTTACCATTTAGCTGCAGTGGCTCAGGACCTAGTGTTTTCCCAGGGCTGGAAACTGACATCGGCCTTTAAGAGGCTCTTCACCGTTGGTCCCAGATCTCTTGGAGAATCAGGTGGAAGACGTGCCCCTTTTCCGAGGCAAAGGTAGGGCCAGCCTTCCTCCTGTGGTTTCAGTGGCCTCAGGGGACCTCCAGGTCGCTCCGGAAGCTCGTACTCAAGAACCTCAGGTTCACTCTTCGTGAGCAGGATATCCTCGTACAAACCCATTCACAAAACCCACTGCTCCGCCCCCTCCTTGGTCTCCCGTTTTGTGTTCCTCATTTGCTTTCTCTTGATCTTTCTTTTCCTGGCACGTACATTCAGCAGTGAGAGATTTATGTTGGAAACAAGCCCATCCCTTTTCAACAAGAGTGTCCGTCTCTCTGCCAAGATCTTTGGGGAGCGGGAGGCCGGGGCGGTAGTGGGGGTGGCTGCTGTCAGCACCCTCAGACCTCTTTCTGCGCTCACGGGATGGCAGGCCGCAGGCTTTTACACATGTGGGTCACAGTCACACGTATTTGTCATGTTAGGAATGGAAACATAGGTAAAAATACTTGCTGATTCACTCTAAAGGGGCAGGAGTAAGCCCGTTACAGGATCAGATCAAACATTTAAAAGTAAATTTTTTTAATAAAAATTTGCGAAAAGAGAGGCATTGCTTTATATTTTCGCAAATCTATACTTTCTGGCTTCACAGAAGACACTGGTCTCACGCCTGCTCTGCATTTACTCTACTGTGACATGCCGGGTTTTTGGGGTTTTTTTTTTTTTTGACTGGCTGAGGGAACTCTTGCCTTGCAGAGGTAGGTGGAAGAGAGGGGCCTTCAGGACCCCTGAAATTAAGAACTGCTGGCGCACACTGAGAGCTGCTCATTTAGCTCGTAGAGGGCGGGGGTGTCCAGGCCTTTGAAAGGCACATTCGTAGTTCAGTGCACATCTGTCCCTTGGTGTAAACGGTGCCCAGCACGACTGAGGAGGAAAGGGCTGGACTTGGAAGCGAAGCACCCTCCCCCTCCACCGGCCTCCCGCCGAGTCCCGAGAGCGTCCCCACGGTCCCAGGGAGACCTCGGCAGCACGAGCAAGTCCTTGCTGCGTCATAGGGCCCAGCATGCCCCTTTGACCGGACATTTAGTCTGGGCTGTAAAACAGCACAGTATACCTTTCTTACCCTCTACTTTTTGAGAAAAATTAAAGGACCCTTGTTGGTGTGGCTCAGTGGATCAAGTTGCTGGTTGATTCCCAGGCAGGGCACAGGCCTGGGTTGTGGCCAGGTCCCCAGCATGGGGCGCACGAGAGGCAACCACACACGAATGTTTCCCTCTCTTTCTCCCTCCCTTCCCCTCTCTCTAAAAATAAATAAATATAATCTTTAGCAAATAAAAGTGAATTAAAGAAGAACAACGTAAACAAACGCTGGTCATGTCTGTGAAAGGCACCGGCGCGGGTGGCTTGCAGGCTGCAGCGCGCACCTGCCCTGTGCTCAGGGCCCCGGGCCGCCTCCCCGGAGCGGAGCCTGAGCCGAGCCCGGACGGAAAGGCACTCTGGGAGCTGCTGTCCTGGGTTTGAGATGACGGGGGAATGAGAGGGTTAAGCCCTTTAGCAACTGCTCCCTGAATGCCTTCCCTGTGCCAGGCGCAATTCCTGGCCCTGGGGTGCACCGGCGGAACTGCTCCCCGAGCTCGGCGCTCGTTGGGGTGAGCGGGGGTGCGTGCTGAAATCTGTCAGCATGATGGGCCCAGGAGCCGATGTGGAGAAAAGAAAAGAAGGAGCAAGGCAGGGGGAGCCCGGGGCGGGGGGGCCTATGCTGGCTCTTCCAGGGGGTGGTCAGGGGGGCCCCTGGGAGGGCAGCTGTCCTAGGGACCTGAAGGAGAGACCGGCGCAGGCTCTGCAGGGTCGGTGGAGGAACAGTGACGAGGCCAGAGGGGCTGTGGCCGGAGCAGCGCTGGGCAGGACAGGAGGTGCTGGGGAGCCCTGGCGTGGTGGCCGGAGGGGGCACAGAGGGCCGGCTGGTGGGACGGAGGGGCGAGACCTGAGCCCGAAGGGTGACACCCAGGGAAGCAGGGATGCTTCGGAGCTCCCAGTGTCCGCAGGGCCGGGCGCCGCCAAGCTCGAGCGCTCAGGCTGGACACCCGCGGCGCCCACAGCGCTCCCGGGGGTCTTGCCGGCAGCAGTGTGCAGAGGGGCCGATGGAACGGAGACAGGAGAGAGGGTGTTGCCGGCCCAGGGATGGGGCCCTGGGCGAGGAAGAGAGCCTGGGTGTGGGGATGCCATGGGGGCGTGGGGGGGCGGCTTGAGGCTCCCGGAGAGGGCTGGGCGCAGACCCAGCGCTGACCCGTCCGTGGTGACCTGGAGCAGCACCCCTAGCGCGTGCCGCCTGTCCGCTGAGTCCCTTGAGCACCATTCAGGCCTTGGGCTCCCTCCCTGCTTGTGACTGGGAGAGCTGTAGGGTCCCTCCCACGCAGAGCCTCTGGGGAGAAGGGAGTGGGTGTTGGGGGCCGAAGGGCTGGGGCGGGGGGCTGCCCAGGAGCGCTTGCCTGGGGCCCCGGAGCCCCGGAGCCCCGGAGCCCCGGAGCCCTGGAGCCCCAGGCCGCAGCAGGCCTCGGGGGCCCTCCCAGTGGGGCGGGTCTGGTGCGCAGGGTGCGCTTTGCGCTGCTCTTGGGTCGGGCGCCACGCTGCGGTTGAGACCCCGCGTCGCCAGGGTCTCCCCGTCCCCTGACCTCCTCTGACTTCTGGACTGAAGCCCTGTGTCGGGCTCACGTTCTGAGACCAGGCAGATGCTGGGCCGTCTGCCTGGATAGGAGGGACGCACCCTGCTCTTGTGACGGCAGTGCCGAGGCCGCGGGCCCTCCCTGCGGCGGCCTTCGGGGCTCTCAGGCGTGGGAGAGTCCGCTCCCCAGGAATGGGGCGTCCTGCCGCCTGGGGCGGCGGGAGGAGGGCCGTCTGGAGCCACGGCCACGGGGAGTGCCTGCGTCATGGGGCTGCTGCCTTTCCTCTGAGCCACGGGGACCCGCCGCACAGTGGCACGCACCCTGGCGCCTGAGAATGACAGGCGTGTGGACGCAGCCTCCGAGGGCGGCTGGTGTCTTTTGGGCCGTGACCCGGAGCCTCCGCCTCAGAGTGGCTGCTTTCGGCTCGTACTGCAGTCAGACTCGGGTTTCTCGTGTGACACTGAGGCACCTGGATAGAACAGCCCTCCACGCCCCGCTCTTTCTCACCCTGACGGCGGCGAGGGCTGGGGTGGGAACTGGGCCCCCGCCGACCGTCCGGGCGCTGAGGGCCTGTGGCTGGCCAGCATCGTTTCGCACACCGCGGCGGCACGGGCTTGTGGGTGTTCGGGGCATCCCAAGCTTGATGACTAAACAGGGGCTGGGTCTGGGCGGCCAGCATTTCCTTCCCAACAGGCTGGGTGACATCTCAGTGGGAAGATGTGCACCGCCGGGCCTGCCTAGCCACCGTGGCGAGGAGGTGAGTCAGTCTGGGTCTCGGAGGGAGAGCGTCTGGTACGCCAGGCTCTGTGCTCCCGAGGCGCCCGGCTCAGCGGGGGCCGCGGGCCTCTCACCTGGCGGGGTCGCCTCTTCCGCTCAGGGCAGCGACCGTCCAGAGTGGAGGACACATGGCCGGGGTCACTGTGCGGTTCCAGCGTCGGGGGGTATGAGCAGATGTTCAGGTGGGACGAGGAGGTGAGTGTCTGTCGAGGCCTTACCTCTTGGGTTCCGGGGGGGCCTCGGGGCATCCTGTGGAGGGGTGCACGGCCTGCGGGGACGCAACAGGCTGCCGGAGGCGTGCCCCTGCCCCTCATCTTCCTCTCCTTCCCCTTTCTGCCTCGTTCTGAGCGGGCACTCAGCTAGGAGGGGCCCTGTGGCAAACCAGGACGGGGGGACGTGCAGCTGGCTGTTGAGAGAGAGTCTGGCCGGATGCCACCTGTAGCTGAGTGAAGGGCCTGCTGTGTCACAGTGGGCTCGTGGCGGGAAGCATGGACTCCCACTCCACCCTGTCCCCAGCGCGGGGAGCTTGAGCCCCAGCAGCTCAGTCGGTCAGTGAGGGGATGGCCTTCTGAGGCTGCTTCCTGTCCCAGGACCCCCGGAACTGAGCTCCGGGAACTCCGTGAGGCCTGGAGGGAGGCCGGCGGCCCCCTCCCTTGTCCCGAAGTCTCTCTCTTCGGGGCGGGGGCTGGTTGCCCGTGGAGCCGGTCTTTCTCTGCCTTACAGGGAGCGCCTCTGCTCTGCGGTTTAGTCTGTGGCCGGTTCCTTTGCTTTCAGAGAGGAACTGAGCCGCACGAAAACACAGCCGGAAGTTTGGGAAACTCAGTGTCGTTCCCACTGCTCATGCCTTGAATAATCACTGATGGTCACGTTTACGGATTGTCCTGTCGCAAAAGGGAAGCAGAAGGGAGAACTGCGGTTTGCTAACAGGGTGCTCCTGTTTGTACAGGGGACGTGTGCCCGCTGGCTCGGGGGCTCTGCGCCCCTCTGGCGGTGAAGGGGCAGGGGGCAGACGGCCGAGCGTGGGGCCGGCAGCCCGGGGGTCTGCTTCCGCCCGCCGCCCACGCTCCGTCCTCCTTGAGTCCCTTCACGGCCAGTGGAGACGCAGCTGGTCCCTAACTACTTCCTGTCACTGTCTTGGCCTCGTTTTATTTTACTGTGTTTTAAGTTTTTAGATAGTAGAGAGAGGGTTCCTGTACCCCCCCCCGCCCCCCCCAGTGAACCGTCAGGACCTGGTGGAAGTACTATTTGCCAGGTGTTTCCACTGTAAAGTTACTTTTTCTACCATTTGCATACAGTTTTGTTTTTTGTTTTTTCGAAGAAGTCTATCAATTGTGAAGTGATTACTACAATCAAGTTAATTAACATATCCATCATCCCATGTTCGTACCCCCGTTTTTTGGCGGTGAGAATGCTTAGGATCTACTCTTAGCAGGTTTCAAGTGTAAATATAGTATTAACTGTGGTCACCATGCTGAGCCTCAGACCCCAGAGCTTACCCATCTCCTGGCTGGGAGTCTGTCCCGCGACCAGCAGCTCCCATCCCGCACCCGCCGGCAGCCAGGGCTCCGCGCGCACCCCCCGGCACAGGGACCCCAACCTTTCTGGCTCCCACGTGCAGGAAGTCTGTGTTTTCCTGGGTCTCCTGCTGTCCCCGTGTGTGGCTGTGCCCATCTGTTCGCTGCTCACTTGGTACCAAGTCGCGCGGTGGGGGAGCCCGAGGTCCCCTCGGTGAGCGGACTGAGGGGTGCCCTGGCGCCGGCCCGTCTGGGCCTCATGCAGGACAGCATTGTACGCGGCTCGGTTTATTCCGCCCTGTTGCCTCAGCAGATTTGGGCCCAGAGTGCTGGTTTTTATGGCGATCCAGAGCGCCCTGGTAGTTTCGTATTTCCGAACTGTACTTAACTACTTGTGGGACTGAGGCACACATGCTAGTCAAGCCCCAGCCCGTGCCTGCCCTGCCGTCTCCCGCCCCCTCGCTCGGCCTTCGAGCGCCCGCGGGGACACGCGCCATCGGGTCCGCCCTGCCCCCCGGGTTCCGGCCACTGTCCGGCTGGCGTTCACAGGGGCGCCTGCAGCGCTCTGGGGCCTGAGACTCAGGTCAGAGCACACCTGTCCGCGGCCTGGGAACGTCCGACTCCAGGGCCGGGCAGAGCTTTGCGTGCTCCAAATGGGCAGGAACCCAGAGGCAGGCGCTGAGTTGTTGGGCAGTGGGCAGCTGGCTTCCGACATCCCCCTTTGAAAGGGCGCAGTGCCCGGAGGGTGGGGTTGGAGCTGTGGGCCCCAGAGACAGCTCCCTGCGAAAGAGAGGCCACTTGTTTTCTAGAAGTGAAGCCGATTAGGGTGTGCGGATTGTTGGGTCCCAGTGGGGAGAGCGGCCAGGAGGCCCGTGGGTTTTTTCAGTCACCACACTATCAGATAGGCTCCTAACCAGGCCCTTTATTTAACAACAACAAACTATGGCCTCAGCTGCACCCGTTTTACCTAAGCTGCATCCTCGTGCCCGTGGTGCGTCCTGCCTCCGGCGCTGCTAGCCAGGCGCCTGCGAATTTCCCGCAGATGGGGCGGGGGCTGATGAGCGGGAGGCGCTGAGCTGTGGGCTGGTGGCGGGACACTCTCAGTGGCTGATCTGCCGGTCAGTTCATTATCTAAGTCAGATGAGTGACAAGCTCTCTGCAGTGTCCGTAGTTTCTTTTCTACCTGAACATTTTCAGCGGTTCGCCTTAGTCGTGGGGTGGCTGGACAGCCTTCCGAGCGCCCCAGGGCACGTTGGGGTGGTCCGGGTCCAGGGTGGCGGGGGCCTGCGGGCAGGAGCTGTTGGGAGGCAGGTGCCCTGCGCGTGGCCGGCAGCTGTGCAGGAGGCGCTGGGGACTTCTCTGCGTGATGTGTGTCTTCCCCTCCCTTTCGGCTCCCTAGGATGTGAACGCGGGCGAGGGCAGCGAGTTTGCCGACAGTGGGATCGAAGGGGCCACCACCGACACGGACCTGCTGTCCAGGCGCTCCAATGCCACCCACTCAAGCTACTCGCCGCCCCCCGGCCGCGCGTTCGTGGGCAGCGACAGCGGCAGCAGCAGCACGGGGGACGCGGCGCGCCAGGGCGTGTATGAGAACTTCCGTCGCGAGCTGGAGCTGAGCGCCGCCAACCGCGAGAGCCTGGAGGACGCGGGCTCCGCGCACAGCGACGAGCGCTCCAGCGGCGCCCCGAGCTCGCCGGGCCGCTCCGACGTGCTGCGCGAGGCGGCGCGGGGCACGGTGCGCAAGGCGGGCGCGCTGGCCGTCAAGAACTTCCTGGTGCACAAGAAGAACCGGAAGGTGGAGCCGGCCGCACGCAGGCGCTGGAAGCACTACTGGGCGTCCCTGAAAGGTGAGCCGGCGCCCCGGCGCTCCCTACCTCCCCTCCCCCGCTCTCACGGGGCGGCGGCGCCCTTCCGCTCCACGGGCGCTCCACCGCGCCTGTGCCGAGGAAGGGGCCGTCGGAGACGCCGGCTTAAACCAAACCCCGTGCGTGGCGCCCGAGCACTGGACGGGAGGGCCGCCTTCGGACGCATTTCTGTGTTCCTTGCCGCAGTGGTGACGGAGGCACGGGCTGGGGCCGGATCGGCGTCCTGCGCGGGCCCTGTGTCCCTGGGGCAGCAGCGGCCCAGGCCCCCTCCCGCGCACGCTGCTCCGGCCTCTTGATTCTCGCCCGGCTGTGCTGTAGGAGCGGCTCACGCCTCGAGACCTCGTACCCATGGCGGGGTCTCATGACAGTTTCAGGGATAGGCTTAAAAATTACTTTTCAGTCATTTTGATGAGTGAAGTGCCTCCCAAAGTGACCGTGTGAGAGAGAAGATCATGGCTTGAATCCTTTGAAATTGACTTGGCCTTCAGCTGGGACGTGGGGGGTGCCGCCCGGTTTTTGCTGTCCCTGCAGGGGACTGGTGACAAGGCAGCGGGCGCGGGCGTGGGCGTGCGGCCCCCCGGCCCATGAGAGCGGGGAGCCTGCGCGTTCTCGGTGACCCAGATCTGAGCGGCACGGTCTGTCGGCATCCAGGCCCGGGGCACAGAGCCACCGGGTCCTTGGCTGCTTCGTCCTGACAGGCCCCCTTGTCTGTGGGCCCCCTCGGGGCTGGCCCTGCCACGCAGCGCAGGGGCCGCTGCTGGCTTCCCTGCGCAGCGGGGGGATGCTCAGCGTCGCCACCGGGGGCACCTGGGAGCTCGGGGGTGGCGATTGCTCTGAAGGCCCCTTCACTTTACACAGAAAAATTAATTTAAAAAAAAGGCTTCATTTAGAATTAGTCTCTGGCTTGTCCCAGAGACAAGCTGACCCCCAGAGAGCATCCGCGGGTGGGCAGGTGCCGACGAAGGTGAGCGGCCTGGGAGAGCGCGGCCCCGGGCGGCCGCTTCACGCTGGCCTCCCCGCGGGATGGCGGGCCCTGCGTGAGGGCCGCTTCCAGCCGCCTGCCGTTGGGGACGGCTGCCCACCTGCGCTGGGAGACCGTAGGGCCAGCAGGTTGGGGAGGCCCTGAGATGCACGTGCCAAGATGTGGAGTGTCCCCTCATTCACGACCCCCAGGCTCCGCGCTCGGGCCTCCGCCGTGGGAGCGTGCCGACTGTCGTCCTTGCGTGGCGCCGCCACCAGCCCGCCGTGTGCCTGTGAGGGTGCCTGTGTAAAATACTCCCACATGACAGGAGGAGCCCTGGTTGACCTTGAGGGCAGGGCAGGGAGCCCCGGGGGGGCGGAAGGCAGAGGCCTCGCGCTGCAGGCAGCGCGGCAGTGAGAGCGGCCTGCGATGTCCGTGCGGGCGCGGCCCTGCTCCCTCCTCCCTGGAGCCCACGCGCTGTGGAGGCCGGCCCCTCCTGGGGACCGGCGCCCAGGACTCACGCAGCTCCCTTCTATTCCCAGGGTGCACGCTCCTGTTCTACGAGAGCGACGGCAGGTCGGGCATCGACCCCGCCAGCACCCCGAAACATGCCGTGTGGGTGGAGAACAGCATCGTGCAGGCTGTGCCCGAGCACCCCAAGAAGGACTTCGTCTTCTGCCTCAGCAACTCCCTGGGCGACGCCTTCCTCTTCCAGGTTTGTGGGGTGTTCCCTTTCGGGTCTGAACCAGATCCCTCCGCCCCCGCCTGCACGCCCCGCCCCGACTTCCTCTTCCGGGTGGATTTAATCCGCGGCCCTCTGTGGACACAACAGCGATGGAAGACGACCTGGGCAATTAGACAGAATCCCGGGACAGCGGACTCCCGGAAGGTCGCCGAGTGGAGCCCCAGGAGGCGCGCAGGGAGCTGGCGCGCGTGGCTCCGTTGGCTGCTGCGGGGCAGCGGGGGTGCGGTGGTCCCTGCGTTTGCTTCAGGAAAGGGGTCGGAAGTCCTTGAATTATATTTTTAATATTTTGTAGATTATGCTGTTAGAGTTGTCCCATATTTTTCCTCCCCTTTGCCTCCCTCCACCCCTCACCCCCCAGTGTCCCCCCCAGCCCCCTGCACCCTTAGTTCGTGTTCATGGGCCGTATGTGTAAGTCCTTTGGTTTCTCCATTTCCTACACTTCTCTTAATTTTCCCCAGCCTGTTTTGGACCTAGTATTTGTGTTGCTGGAGTTCCTTACTTTAGAAAAGGGTCGAGCTGTGAAGTGTCTCTTGTCATAATATGCTCTCTCCTAACAGTGCTCAGAACGTAAAATAATGACGTTCCAGAAGCAACTAGCTATTCCCATGCGGCTTCTCTTTCTCTTTCTATCAGATCTTTGTACCCAGTGTTCTGGGAATGTGACTGTTAATTGTGTTGAAGGATAGTAACCTGTTAACGACTTTGGGGTTAACGGTGCTTCTGGAGGGAGCCCTTCGAGCTCGGTCGGTTGTGGCTCGCTCTGCCGGAACCCGGGGGGTTCGCTAGGAAGGCCGCCTTCGTTCGTCCCCGCTGTCAGGCCTGCCTTCTGCGCCCCGTGTGCTGTGCGCATCGCTGTTGAGGCGGCCGAGGGGGTTTGGGCACAGTTCCTGCCGTCGAGAGTGTTCACACAGAAAACGGGAGACGGACCCCGGAGCAGATCTTGGTGGGGCGCTGAGCCTGGCAGTGAGAGCGGGCAGTGAGGGACGAGTCAGGGAACATGGGCGGCAAGACTCGCCCCGCAGAAGAGCGAGCTGGGCCCACGGCGTCGGGGAGGGCGGCAGGCCATCCCACCAAGCTCCCGGGTTTGGCCCCTTACGTTATTTCTATCTGTGAAATTAAAGTAGTACATATGAAAGAGTGACTTTTGACTGTGAACAGAAAAAAAATCTTGTTTTTCTTTCTTCAAATTTATGCTGTAGAACCCACATGAAGAAGAGCACAGAAAATAGAAATGTATTGCTCAGCGGAGTGTCACAGAGTAACCCTGCACAGACCACCCAGGCCAAGGGGCGGGGGCTGCCAGCGCCCTGTCCGCGCCCGCGTGTGCGCAGGCGGAGAGGACGCGTATTTCATGTCTGGGAAGGTCTTTGTTTTTCCTTCGTTTGGAGGGCTGGTTTTGCTAGATACAAAATTAGTGATTGACAGTCTTATTTCAGTGCTTTGAAGATGCCACTCGCTTGCTGCCCGTCCTCCGTGGATTCTGATGAGAAACCAGCCGTTTCGGCTTGTTTGTCTGAGGTCCTGGCTTTCCCGCTGCCCCTGAGAGCCGTCAGCAGGGCACTTCAGGGACCGGGGAACCCTGGGCGCACCAGCGTGCTGTCAGCAGCTGTGCCCGGGTGACGGGCGTGGATCGCAGCCGCCCATGGCTGCCCGGGACATAGGGCTGCCTTCTCATGGGTCCTGTTTGGGCTGGTCTTGGTTTGGAGAGACCAGGAGCGATGCTCCCTGTGTTCAGGATCTGGGTGTACGTGCCTGTTGGCCCGAACCTGGCAGAGGCACCGCCGGGTCGCGGGGTGCGGGCGCCCGTTCCGGTGTGCTGAGTCCCGCCGGCCGCGCAGGTCGGGGGGGGAGGTGGCCGCGCTGCCCCCTGTCTGCCCGCTGGCTCCCTCAGGCTGCTGCTGTGGGGTTGACCACGTTTTCGTGGGCCCAGGGCCACCTCAGCCTCCCCTCTGTGTCGCAGTCACTTCCGGGTCCCGCGCGGTGCCCCTGAGCCGCCTGGCCCACCAGGGGTCCGCAGCAGCCGCTCCTGCCTCGCATGTGCGGCCGGGGCGGGGGGCGTGGGTTGCGCGCGTCGCGGGCGCCGTTCTCCGCTCTGGTCAGGGAGCCTCTGCTGTGCTGGGCTTTGCGTGGTGCCGGTTTCCCCTGTTGCGAGCCTGTCTCTGTGGGGGGGCCCGGCGAATTCTGTTTGGACACCTACCTGAAAATGTTCTCCTGGCCAGTTTACAAGCCCTTCTTTTTTCTGCCCCGGCATAGCTTTCTAGCGATCGAGTGGAATGTTGCGAACGAGGAAATGCGTGACCCCGCTAACAGCAGCGACATCGCCAGCCACTGGCACGCCAGCGGCCCTGCACGGAGCCCAGGCCGCGTGCCGCCATCTCACGGCGCGGCTCCCGCGTAACGTTCATAGCAGCCGGAGAGTGGGGTTCGCACCCACGTCCCTGCCTGCGGCCACGACCGCGTGCCCTGCTGGAGACGCCGAGGCGGCCTGTGGCCCGCAGGGGGGCCCTGGGTCACACGGCTGCTGGGCCTGGGCCTCGGGGCGAGGCAGGCCGCCCCTTACTGTCCCGGTGTGCGTGGCTCGTGCAGTTGGAAGGGGCGTTTCGCCGCCTCAGACTGAAAGGGCCCGCTGGGAACGCGGCGACCCCGCAGCTCGGCGTGGCCGCCCTGGGTCACGGCACAGGGTAGGAAGCAGTCCGACGGTCTCGGTGCACCCGCTTTGTACTTCCACCCCCGATGTGAGTTCCTTTCAGAAATGACCTTGCTGGCCGTAAAATGGCTGTAGAATCTGAACACACAGTTAGTCACACTGAACAAAATTCTTTTGTGGCAACACAGGCCCTTATTCATGCGCAGCTCCGTGTGCTCTTGTACGGTGAGGCTTTAATGCTCCTTACGTGGGATAGAACACAAAATGAACCTTTTCAGAGAAAATTACTGCTATTCGGAACCCACGAGGGCACTTTCTACCTTCTGGTTATAACCCACCGAACTCCGGAGGCGCCGCCTCTGAAAGGAGCCTGTGTGCGGAGGGGGTGAGTGGAGGGAGGGGGTCAGCCACGAGGGCGGAAATAATTGACAGGCTCTTCCAGCCGTGGCCCAGGTCAGCGCGGCTTCCGGAGCCCGCCTGCCGCTGACTGGACGCTGCTACGCAGACGCGCCCGTGGGAGGAGGCCCTGGTTGCCGCCAGCTGCAGGGGAGGGGCTTGCGGGGGTGGGAAGGGGCCCGAGTGTCCGTGCAGCCGGTGCCGAGAGGAGCCGGCTGGGTGCGGGGGCGGGACACGGAGCCTGTGCGCAGCGCCCCGCACCCCGCACGCAAACTGTGCCGGTCGGGGCTCTTCCCTTGGCCCGGAAGCCGGCAGTGCGCCAGCCGCCCACAGAGTACCGCGCGCGTCCTCTCGGTCCTTCCCCCCTACCAGAGGGTGTCGCGTGCAAGTCCCAACAGCTCAGTGACTGTTTGGGTAACACATACTAATACTAGTTTTTAATTCCTAGCGTCGGTGCCTTGGGAACATCGTTACCAGGCAGGGTAAGGACGCCTGGTATGGCAGCAGATCGTGCAGCTGAGTGTCTAAAGACGAGTAGAAAATGTTCACTAAGGGTCGTTGGTTTTCCACAGAAAAGAAGTTTTCTCCTCCTCGTTTACAAAGTTATTGCATGCGAGCGCAGTGGGCACAGTAGAGAGGACGAGAGAGAAGGGACCCGAGGGTGTTCACACCGCTGCATTGAACTGAGAGTCGAGCGTGGTGGTGCAGGCCGAGGGTCTGAGGGCAGCGGGCGCTCCGGGAACGTCACTGACCGTTGCCAGCGTCGCTGTGTGGGGAGAGGCTGGCGCCCTGTCCGCTGCGTCAGCGAGCACCGCTGCAGAAGTCGGACGTGGCTTACCGGGGAGGCCCCGGGGCTGGTGTTTCCTCCGGCCCTGGCGGTGTCCGCATGCGCCCGGCCCGGCCCTGTGTGTCAGCGTGGACAGAGGGCGTGAGGACGATGGGCTCCGGCTCCGCCGGGCCCCTGGCAGCTGGTCAGCCTGCCTGTGGCTGCGAAGGCCCCAGCTTTTCAAAGGTCTGTGTGGCAAGCCAGCGTCAAGTTCTAGAACGTTCTTTGTCATGCTGGCTAAATGCGTTGGGTTCTGAGGACTTTTGCCAAATTCCTTTGCTTTTGTATTCTTTCCCAGAGTCCAAAGCAAGTCTGCTTCATTTTTTCTCATGACGTTGTGACTGTGAGCCGGCAGCTCTCATTTGCCCCCTGCCCCTGCTCAGGGGTCCCTGCTGGAGCTGTGCCGTCTGCCCTCCCTTGTTGCCCAGGCGTCCCGTTGCCCGTGCGGCCACCGGCCCCGGAGCAGCCTGCGGCTCTCGTTTCCCCGCAGCGCTGGAGTCAGTTCCGGGATTTGTTAGAAACCATGGCCAATTAATTGTTGAGTCAGGCGGAGCTTGTGGTCGTCAGACCGCAGCCTCGGCGCTAGTCCAGCAAGGCGTCTTCCGTTTCCGTTGCCTGGACGGCAGAACTGGAATACGCCTCTTTGAGATTTCGTGTTCGTGGTGTTTTTCCTTCTAAGGAACGTGTTGAGATCCCCTTGGATCCCACTTTGATCTTCCCTGGTGTTTCTGTCCCTCTTAGCTTCCCGTTATGGCAGACAGGACAACCCAAGTGCTTGGCCTTTGTTCTTGCAGGTTCCGGTGTTGACTTAGTCTGCGCCCGAGTTCTCCAGCTGCCCTGCCTCTGGCCAGACACTTCGGGGTGTCTGCCTTTGGCTTTGGCATGGATTCGTGTGGAGAATGGCCCCCCGTAGGGTGTGGGAGCCCCAGGCAACACTTATCCCTGCAAAGAATTTGACTCACCCCAGACCCGCTGGTCTGCACCGTCGGGCAGCTCCATCCCCTGCGATCGAGGGACAGAGCTAGAAGCTGCCAGGAATGACCGGCGAGCCATGAACTCCCGTCGGGGAGGGCCCACGGCGTCCTGTTGAAACTTGTAGAAGACACAGGGTCAGAGCTTCCGGAAGGGGAGGGAGTGCGGGGCCTCCTGGACCCTGGGGCTTCTCGAAGGGCGGGGCCCCATCGCCCAGGAGGGGCGCCCGGGCGGTGTGCGTGCTCAGGGGCAAGGGGGGCGCTCAGGGCCGGGAGTGCCCGCGGCGCACGCCCTGCTGTTCGTTACCGGTGTGAGCAGGCGTGCCCCGCGCGCCCGTGCAGGGTGCCGGGTCCTTGGGGCCACGCTGGCCTGTGGTGTGTCGTTTGTGTGCTCTTCTGTGTCATCCGGATAATATGTGGCCACCAGTATTTGTCTTTGTTTTTACATTACTTTCCATTCGTACTGAGTTAACGGGAGCACATAGTTTTAAAGAATTCAGTGAACTTTAAAGCCTCTGAAATGAAATTGCTTCTTTCCTTGCCTTCTCTCCCCAGCCTCAGCCCCTGAAAGCAACGGCCCCCAGCTGTCTCTGCTGGGGTGCGTGTGTTTTCATCCCTCCCCCTCGTTTCTCTCCGGCTCGCTTGGCCCGCTTCTTGCCTGACTCTGGACACCAGGGCCTGGCTCTGTGAGGGTGGGTGGCGCTTGGCTGGTGCGATGCACCGGTTCCCTTTTCCTCGTCTTCCTGCCTCGTTACGTGGGGATTTGGGGCTGACCGGTATTGGGATTAACTAGTATTAGCAGCTCAGCCAGTCTACCATCATTTTTTGCCTTTTTGGAACAGCTTTTTTCCCCTCTAGTTAGTTAATGACTGCCGTTCTTTGTCTCCTGCCCAATTTGCTTATTTTCCTGGTTGCTTAGCAATGCTTTCTAAACCTCCAGCATGTCTGGTGGTTGATGGGAACTATTGCCCCCACGCCCAGCCTGCTCTGCCCTGCAGCCTCCGGCTCCCACTTGGTGGTTCTCCTGCAGGACGGCCACCTGGTGACATTCCTGGATTCCAGGTCTTGTCTTTTTTCTTCACGGACTCCTGCCTTCTCATTAAAAACCTGTAGTGACTTCCTGCAAAAGGGTTCCGACCTGAAAATGTCTTCACTCTGCCCTTTGCTTGAACAGCCTGGATTTGGAATTTCGGTGTAGAAATCACGCCCTCTTGCCCACTTCCTGCTGGCCTCGTTCTCGTTCGGAGCACCTTGTCTGCGCGTCGTCCCCGCTTTCGCAGCTTTAGAGCCATCTTCTCACCGCCAGTGTCTTCATTCTTCGCGGTGGTGTGCCTTCTGTTGAAGTTTTCCTTCTGGTCATTGTTTTCTGATTCCCTAACCCTTCCCCCGCCTCCCTTCTCCCTCGTTGCCCCTTGCTCGCTGTGACCTGTGCATCTATCTGCTCCCAGCGTCCGGTTCTCCGCGTCTCCGAGGATGAAGGGGTTTCCGGGAGCCTTCCCGGCCTCAGGCTTTGTGTTTTCTGCCGGCTGCGCCGTGGCCGCCCGCTGTGCCGGCTGCGGTCGTCCCCGCTGGGCGGCGCTCGGTGTCTGTCCGGCTGCGGTGTGAGACGCCAGCGGGCGCTGGGCCACGGGCGGGGCGTGCCACACGCCGCGGGGCTGTCGTGGCGGGGACCGGCGGGAAGGCCCGCTGGTAGAGCGAGGACCCTGCCGAGGGCGTCGCTGGCCTTTCCACGCGGCTCCTCAGCGGTGCCCCGGGGCCCCGCCGGAGCTGCTCCCGCTCCGGGCCCGCTGCCGTTCCGTCTGTTCGCAGAAAGGCCTCTCCTCTGTGCCTGGCGTCCTGGAGCCCAGAGCCCGCCCACTCACCGCAGGCTCCCGGGCTGGGTGGCGGGACGACAGGCAGGGACCCGGGGGCAGGGCCCGGGGCTCCGGGACGGCGGCGTTTGCAGTTCTCTTGACAGGTTTTAAAACCACAGCTGAAGCGGGTCGGTGTGCATAGGCCTCTGAGTACGTGCCGCCCATTTGAGGACAGTGGGAAGAATGGTGTGCAAGGGTTCACACAGGAGCTTAGTTCTCAGCCGGCCTCTTGGAAGCGCATACTTGATTCCCTCTCCTTTGTGCTCTTTCATTCTTTAGTTAAGTTCTTTAAACTTTTACTTTTCATTTTAGAGGGGAAGAGAGGGAGAGAGCATCGATGTGAGAGAGAAACATCGATGAGTTGCCTTTCGCTCACGATCCAGCTCGGGGCCAGCCCTGCGCCCCCGGCCTGCGCCCCGACTGGGGATTGAGCCGACGACCTTTCCGTTTGCAGCACGATGCCCAGCCCACGCAGCCACGCTGGCTGGGGCGCCTTTGTGTTCTTTTAATGTGGGAAAAGGTCAGGCCCACTTCACAGTTATTTCTGTGCTGCAAAACCAGGTCATAGGTAGTCTGAGTCCCCTAGATCTGGCTGGCATCTCCCTGGTTTAAAATGAATTTCCCCTTTTCCTGCTGCTCCCGAAACCATCGATTGTCGAAACCACGGGGCGCCGGCCCTCCCTGGGCTGCTCGATGGAGCCAGCTCTCCTTAGAGACACGATGCAGCCCCGGGCTCCCTCTAGCTCTGCACTCAGAGGCGCTCTTGTGCCAAAGGCACTTTTTGCTGATTGCCTTCCTGTGCCAACAAGAGCGTGGCTTGCTCCCCTCGCCAAGCTCTGCGCCGCATCTGTGGCGTCCCCGCAGGCCAAGCAGGGGTGGCAGGACCGGCCCACCACCTGCCTGGCGCTGTTTGCCCCGTGGATGGTGACGCGCGGGGGGAAGGAGGAGGGCAGACTGTCCCCCTTCCCGTGTCTCACCGCGGGACTCCGAGGCCGGCCCCGTGGCAGACTGATGTCCCAAATTACAGCTGCCTGGTCCAGGAAGGGGACGCGGGTGTGCGCCTCGGGGGAGCTTTCGTGTGCGCAGTGCGTCAGAACGTGAGCCCTGGAGCGGCCGCCCCGGGAAGCGCCGGCCCCAGCAGGCGGTCGGCTGCGCTTCGTTGAGTACGCCTGGCCCTCACGCTGCCCCGAAACATGTGCAGAGGTGACTTCCCTCGCTGTGGCCAGCGGTCCACGCGGCCTCTGCCCACCTGTCATCCGCCCGTCACCTGCGCGGCAAGGCCTCCAGGAAAGACAGGCTGCCGGACTCTGCTGCAGGCTGAGCCGTGCGGCGAGGACAGGCCGGCGGGGCAGGCGCGCGCTCGGTGAACGCCACTGGCAGGCCCCGCCGGCCGCGGGAGGGTGTGGGGGCGCCAGGAGCGCCCCGTGGGCAGGGCCGGCACCTGCGGTTCCCATCAGGCTGTGTGCTCCGCTGGGTGTCTTCCTCTAGGTCACGGGCCTTGGCGTTGCTTCCTTCCTCTCGTTTGATTTGCAGACACTCTGGTCGTGGTCGAATACACACGCTCCGCCTCGCTCACCCCGGGCAGGCGCACCGCAGGTGGCGTTAGGCGCATCCATGGTGCCGTGCGGCCTCGCCCCCACCCTCCCCAGGACGCCTCCCTCGTGCACCTGAAGTCAGTCCCTGTTAAACGCGGGCCCCGTCCTCCCTGCCCTCCGGCCCCTGGCTGCCGCCGCCCCCTTGCTGCGCCTTCAGTCCTGACCCGAGGGTGTGCTCCTTGATTTGAGAGAGTGAGTGGCTGCCTCCTGTGCGGGCCCTGACTGGGGATCGGACCTGTGACCCTTTGATGCGTTAGGACGATGCTCCAGCCGACGGAGCCTCCTGGCCAGGGCCCCTCCACCACCATTTTTTTTTTTTTTAAATTTCAGCTTTGCAAAATTAAGCGTACACCTTTCAAAGGACGTTCCCTTCATCGATGGGGGTCGCTCCTTCCATTCCCAGTTCCTAATGGGATACGCCATGAGCTCTGGGCTTCAGCCCGGAGCAGGTGCCCTCGCCCGAGTTTGGCAGGAAGGGGTGTGGGTAAGGGCTCGCCTTCTGCCAGGGAGGAGGGCGAAGGGCCGCGGTCCTGCGGGGCTGCCCGATGGGGGCTCTTCCGGGGGCTGAGACCCCCCGGGACCTTTTATCCAAAGAGCGCCCCCTCTGTCGGGGTGGAAGCCGCCCTCCGCCAGCGTACCAGGAGGCCTGGGCCGGGTTCCGCGGGGTCCAGGAGCGCGTGCCCGTCCCCGCGGTGGCGTGCACCTCGCCACCCCTGCCCCGGGCCTGGCGGGCGTGCTGCTGACGTCTGAGTGGCGCCCCACATGGCCCGGCGCTTTCTGTGATGGCGCCTTTAGCCCAGCTGTCGCCGTGGCAGGAGGGCTGCTGGGCGGCGCGGCGGCAGGCCACCCCCCCCCCGCGTCCCCAGGACGCCTGTGCTTGGCTGTGGCGCGGCTCCTCGCTGGGGCGGGGGGGGGCCTGCGGGGTGGGGTCGCAGAGGCTCTCGGGCAGGCAGTGCACCCTCCTCAGCCAGGAGCGCCCCTTGGCCTCACTGTCTCCTGGGGACGGACGGGCCCTCCCTGGAAACCGACCTTTGCCCGACAGCGACCCTCTGAACGGGCAGCCAAGGCGCCTGCGAGGCATCGTCACAAATGCAGACGCCTTAGATGGGGCTGGGGCTGGGGCTGCGGACGCCCACAGACTGGTGGCGCGCATGCGGCGGACGGGCGTCTCTCCTCCCGTGGAGGCTGCACGGCTGAGGTCGGAGCCCGCGTGGCCGGGCCATAGCCAGGCCCGTTCCGGGTTCCTGACGTGTCTCCTCGCCGTGTCCTCACACGGTGGACAGGGTGCTCGGCTCTCTGGCCTCTCGTGAGGGCACGCGCTCCTGCACCTCCGTCAGGTAGGGGGGTAGGATTCCAGCGTTTGAATTTGGGGGCCACGTCAATGCTTAGTCCCCAGCAGCAAGTGAGTCCAGGTGGTGTGTGGGGAGCCGCCGTGGCGGCCTTGCCGGGGCCGCCCTTGGGCGGCGGCGTCCGGCCGGAGACTGACTTGTGCTCCCAGTGAGTCGCAGCAGGAGGGCGGGGAGGCGGGCTGACCCCGCGGGCCTGGGCGCCCGTCGCCCGGGTACGGCCGTGGCGTGTCGGACGTGCAGGGCTCGCTCCGATGACCTCAGCGGTGGCGGCTTCTCCCCCCAGACCACCAGCCAGACGGAGCTGGAGAACTGGGTCACCGCCATCCACTCGGCCTGCTCTGCCGCCGTGGCGCGGCACCACCACAGAGAGGACACGCTGCGCCTGCTCACGTCCGAGATCAAGAAGCTGGAGCAGAAGATCGACATGGACGAGAAGATGAAGAAGATGGGCGAGATGCAGCTGTCCTCTGTCACCGACTCCAAGAAGAAGAAGACGATCATGGACCAGGTGAGCGCTGCGTCTGTGTGTGTCACGCCGGCTGCCCCGTCTGCGCCGTGGCCCGCAGCGTCCGGCGGCTCCCGGTGACTGGCGGGCCGAGGGAAGGCGGGGGTCTGGCCGGGCCTCCCTGGGGTGCGTGCGTGGCACCCGGCCTCGGAGGGCCTGTGCCTTTGTCTCCCGTCAGCGGGCCACGGGGAGCTCCGCGCGGGGCCGCCCCCGGGTCTCCCTCGAGGAAACGGGGAGTGCGCTTTCAGGAGCCTCTGCGGCGGCAGCGCATCCCAGCGGACGCGAAGCGGGCGCAGTGCTGGCAGGGCCGTGGGCCCCCCGCCGGCTGTCGGAGTCGGCAGCAGCACCGCGCCCCGGGCTGGGACGGCCCTCCCACCCAGGAGGCGGCTGCGTGAACGAGGGCTGCCTGAGTAGCGCGCGGCGCCACGCGGGTTTCCGTGCTCTCCTCCCTTTATTTTTCCTTCTGTACCTGACACTGTAGTTTTTAAGATAGAGGTGAAATTCACATACTATAGAAGTAACCATTTTGAAGTGTGCATGTCACAGTGTTGAGCAGCCATCACCTCTCTCCTGTTCTAAGGCTGCGTCACCTGCTTCAGAGTGAACCCCAGGCCTGCTGGTGCCTGCGCCCCTTGGCCCCGGGCCTCTGTCTTGCCGACCTACCAGCTCGGGGCGTTTCTGTGAATGGGATGGCGCGGTGTGTGGCCTCTGTGTCTGACCTCTTCATCCAGCTCCTGGTCTGGAGCCTGGGCCACGTGGCGGCGGGGGCACGGGCGTCACTCCGTCGTGTGGACCCGCCACGGCTGGCCTCTCCGGCCGTCTGGCGGGGCCGGGCTGAGCCTCCTCGGGCCTTTGTGATTGGCACGCCGAGCCCGTGGGCGCACAGACACCATGCTCCAAGTCAAAGTGAAAGGCGGCGTTGCAGGCGCCCCCCAGCCTTCGCTGAGTGCCCCCCCCTCCTGTAAACGCCACGTCAGCCTTGGGAGAGAGGCGCTGTTTCGCTGCTAGCGAACGTGAGGAGCTCTCTGGGGGTCACCCGCCGCACTGGAGGGGTGACCCCTGGGGTCCGGCCTCCACGTCTCAGGCTCTCTGTGCCCCCCCGCCCCCCAGCTCCTCCCCAGACTGCTTGGTCCGTGGGCCCTGCTCTGCAGCCTGCCCTCCCCTCCGCCTGCTGTGGCGCGCCCGCGCTCGGAAGCCCCGCCGTTCCCCAGTGCCAGCGCCCACGGGGGGGCCTGCGAATCCTGCACACACGAGGGCCTCGCTGGGAGGGGGCAGGGACGAGGACGCACTTTCTGTTCCTCACCCTGGATTGACGGCTGTAAATCTTTGCAGAAAAGCACGCCAGCTGTGCCGTATTCAGCGCCCCTTACCTAAGAAACAGAGGGGCCTCTGTGCCCCCCGCGGGTGGCAATCAGACTGGGAGCACAGGCAGCCTGCAGCGCCTGTGCCGGGTGACCTTCGCTTTCCCTTCTCACTTTTCTTTCCCTCTATTGTTGCCACTGTAGATCTTCGTCTGGGAGCAGAACCTTGAGCAGTTCCAGATGGACCTGTTTCGTTACCGCTGCTACTTAGCCAGCCTCCAGGGCGGGGAGTTGCCGAACCCCAAAAGGCTCCTCGCCTTCGCAAGCCGACCCACGAAGGTGGCCATGGGCCGCCTGGGGATCTTCTCTGTGTCGTCTTTCCATGCCCTGGTGAGTCGCCGCCGCCGAACTTCTGAGAGCCACGCGTCCCGACCGTAATTAACGCCCGGGGGGACGTGGCCGGAGCCTGGGGGGCGTTCTCCTGGTTTGCGGCGGGGCGCACCTCCTGCCGCGGCCTCTCTCCCGTGGGCGCAGCCGTCCTGTGACTGGGTTCCGAAGTGTCTTACTTCCGCCCCTCCCGATGGGGCCGAAGGGGTTGTGCGAAGAAAACATGGAAGGTGTGGCCTTAGGAGTGCTCTGCGCCCGTTGTCCTGGGCAGGCTCAGGCGTGCGTTTTCACAGCGGCCTGACGAGGATGCTTGGCGCAGGCACGCTCCTACGGGCGTGTGCGAGACAGCGAGTTGGCCTGGGCGCGTGTGTGGGCGCGCACTCTCGCGCGCTCACACGCACACGCGTGGGCGCGCACAGTGCGCACTGAGCACAGCTCTCTCCAGAGAGCCCCCGCGCACTCTCCCCTCACGGCCTCCATGGCCGGAGATGCCTGACGCGGCGCAGGAAGACAGCCTGCCCGGGGCGCCCGGGGCGGCTGGGGCGCAGGCCGGGGAAGGGCGCCCCGCTGACCTCGGAGTGGGGGCCAGGCAGCTGCCTCGCGTGCCATCTGGGGTTTCCGGTACTTGCCGCGCGGCAAACACCTTTGTGTGCTTTGTCCTTCTCTTCTCAAAAATTGCCGTAGGCAAGTAACACAATTGTAGCGGGTCCAAACCAACAGCTGCTTGGAAGGCGCTGCGCTGGGGGAGCTGGGTTTGGAGTCTCAGGTCCCCGAGGCTGGGGGGGTAGCGGGGGACAGGAGGCCCCCCCTCCCCAGCCTTGCCCGCCAGCTGTGCCCTTAATTTGCAGCTGGGATTCAGCCAGAGGCCTTGATGTTCTTTATAAATAGATTAGCGTTCTCATTCAGATAATCAGGGTGCATTTACATTTTTAAAGAAGCCTTGTGCCTATTTCTGGAGCTGTTAGAGCCTGCTTCCTGATCTGTTCTGCTGACAGGCCTGCCCCCCCCACGCCCCCCCCCCCACGCTCCCCAGGGGCAGGGGCCACGCCCTGTTTTTAGCAGGACAGGGTGGGAGAGCGGGATGAGCGCATCCAGGACCAGGACCGGCCGGTGGCTCTGGGGCCAACCCCGAGACCCCGACCCAGTGTGCCTAGGCAGAGAAATCGGGATAGAAATTCCCACCCGCCCCTCCCAGGAGCGTCCCAGATTGAAGGGGCGCATCGGGGGAGGCCGCCGCCAGTGACCTCGAGCCTCCCCGGCTCTTCCATCTTAACTGGGCCCGTCAGGGCTCGGAGAAGGGCATTTCGCTGTTTCCCCAAAACCTCTGGGCTGTGTTTGGCGTCTGCAGAGCCGCTGGGGCCGACCTCGCTGAGTGGGACAGCAGAGCCCCTCTGCCTGTTTCCGACCCCCGTTCCTCTGCCTCCGGGGCTGTGGTTCCCAAGCCGTCGCTTTGGAGGGGCGGGCCCTGAAATGGACACCCGCTGCCGCGGGATGGGCGCGGCGGGGGGAGGGGTTGGGAGCTCTTCGGGTTTTTGGTCAGCGATTTTAAAGATTATCTCGCTCCGTGGGCGTGGCTCTGTTCTTCGTCCCTGTCTTGTGAGCGCGGTGGCAGCAGTGCCCGTGGCCCCTGCAGACCGTCTGGGAGGGGGTCAGTCCCTGTCACGCTGGGCCCGGGGAGCCCAGGTAGGGGGTGCCACTGTCTGAGTGACTTGGGTATTTATTTTTACCTCCTGTCCTTGTCATTTGACCCCAGGGAATGGTTCCCCGTCGGGGCTGAACAGTTTTCCATCCAACCTTTGTCCAGACCCGTGGGTCCCCCCGTTGGGGGCAGGGAGGAGGGGCGTGCAGACCAAGCACTGTGGGGGGGCTCTGCGCGCGGGAGCCCCGCGCACGGGAGGGCTTTCGGACGCCCGGGGACCGGCAGCCTTAGCCGAAGGCTGCGCCCTCGGGGGCAGGCTGTCGCTCCTCATTGGCTCGCAGGCGTTGAGCGGCCGAGTCCTGGGGCCTCGGCCCACGGGGAGGCGCTGCCAGTGCGCCCGGCCCGAGGAATCCGCACGCGCGCCCCGTCGGGCTTGGCCACCGCCCCCCAGTCCCTTTGCTCATTGTGGGTGTCGTCGCCTTGGGGCTGGCGGTTGGCAGGGCCCCGCCCGTTCAGAATTGTCGTCATGAGAACTGTGCCTGAAGAGCCCATTTGTCGAATGGTGAGCCCACTGGTCAGCTGGTCACAGGGAATACGGGCAACGCGCAGGTTTCTCGTCCTGTCTGGTTGTTCTACGAGTGGGACCTAAGAGCCACTGTGTAGTTGCTGCAGCCACGCTAGGTACGGCGTCTGGGTGTGCTTTTTGACGTTGGTCTATTCAGCCAACAGAGCGTTGAGCGTGGCAGGCCTGTCCGTCAGTCACTGTCCCTGTGAGCGGGGCGGGGCGGCCCGGAGCCTGGGGCGGGTTCTCACTCCCGTCCGGGGAGCAGACAAGCAGGCGGTGACATAAGCACAGCTCTGCAGACGTCGATGAGCGCTGTGCAGGAAGCAAGCAGTGATCGTGCCGAGAGAGAGAGCGGTGCGGCTGCCTGTGTCTGTAGTGCGTGTGCATTTGTGTGTTATCGTTCTGTAAATAGACAGAAACGAACAGGGCCAGGTGGGCGTTTTTCCTCTCTAGAGCTTTTGCCTTCAGCATCACTCGTGCGAGTTCTCGGCCTCATTTTCTGACGACGGGCTTCTCTGGCCTTGGCGCCGTCCCGCGAGCGCACGTGTGCCAGCACAGTGCGGCTTGTCCCTGGGCAGCCCTCGTCGACCCCTGACTTAGGGGCGGTGGAGCGGAGGAGAGGCCCCCACGTGCGCTGTGGGCGCGTGCCTTTTGTCCTGGGGCTTTGTTCCCCGCAGCCCCTCGCTTGTGATTGTGGGTCAGGGCTCTCAAGAAAGCGTCCCCCCACCGTCTTGGGGACCACGTCACGCTGGGAAAATGCGAGAGCTCCCTCACCTCTCTGTTCTCTTTTGGGGACAGAGGGCTCCCCGCACCCCCTGGGAGCCTTAAGAGGGGCTGTTGGGATTCCTGTGTCTACTGTACGTGGGGCTTTGCCCGTCTGCTCATGGGGCTTCAAGGGCACTTACGCCGTTACCGCTGAAAGCCCAGCGAGGCGCGCCCCCAGCCACAGCGGGCTGCCGGCCGGGCCCCCCCTGCACCCGGGAATGCTGCCAGCAGGCGGCCGTCACAGCACGAGCTGCCCGCGCGCCAGCCTCTGATGAGCAGGTTCCAGGATGTTCACCTGCAGCACAGAGGACGGCGGGGGTTTCCGTCTCCCGTCCGACCGCTGTGTGCCCGGGCCCTCGGGTCTGGAGGCGGGGCTGTGGGGGGCCCGCTGGGGCGCCCGGCCTGTCATGCCTGGGACGCGGGGTGCCCCCGGAGGGTGAAGGCCACGCCTGCGGGTCAGCCTTGGACCTGGCGTCCTCCCAGAGTTCAGTAGCTGCTTGAGCAGTGACATTCGGAGTGTCCCCTCCTGAGCTGAGATTGAAGGTGGACCGAGATTTAAGGGGGACTCCTGGGAACAGACGAGCGGCCTCACGTGGGCACCGTTGTTCGTTCGCGTGAGGAAACAGCCCTGCGGCCTTTGGGGGCGTCTCGGCGCGTGGCCAGCTGACCTCGGTGCGCGAGGTCAGGCCCCTGACCAGAGGACAGCCAGTTCTGAGACGCGACGTCGACGTTCGGAGACGATTGTGTGTCTCCCCTGATGAGTTGGGCAGGGCTGGGCCGGCCCGCCGCCTGCTTACACTGGGACCCCAGGCAGGGCCGCGGGTTCTGTGCCCGGGGGGCGGGTCAGGGCGGCCGGCGCCGGCGCGGCGGGGGCCGGGATCGAGGAGCAGGCCTGACAGCTCCCCTGCGGTGTCCCGTCCTCAGGTGGCAGCGCGCACCGGCGAGGCTGGAGTGCGACGGCGGACTCAGGCCACGCCCCGGCCCACGAGCAAGCGGAGGAGCAGGTTCTCTTCTCTGTGGGGTCTGGACACCACCTCCAAGAAGAAGCAGGGGCACCCCAGCATCAACCAGGTGGGCCCAGGGGGTGGGGAGCCGGCCCGGCGGCACCCGTCTCGCTTCGGGGGTGGGGGTTGGGGGGCTGTGTGCTCATGTGCCCTTGATTGACGCCGAGTGTTACCTAAAACCAGCTTCTGACACAGAGCGTCAGTCGTGATAGGTGCTTTGGGAGGTGGCCGTGCCCCCGGCATCGACCCCTGCCATGAGCCCGCCAGCCCGGGCTCCAGACCCGCAGTTGTCACAGAGCTGCCGCCAGCGCCCAGCGCATCCCGCGTGTCCCGGGAGAGGCAGGGCTCCACGGCAATGGGTCAGGCCGCCGCCGGCCCCCGGGACGCCTGCTGGTTTGCCCTGGCTTTCTGGGGGTGCCGTTCCCGGGGCTGCCCCTCAGCCAGCAGTGCGGTTAGTCGGAGTGGCTCATGCCCCCCAGGGACATCCTCCCTCCGGGGTCCAGGCCTGAAGGGCCCTCAGCCCCGGACGAACGAACGGCTCTGCCCACGGGCAGCCGCCTCATCAGTTTCCTTCCTGCGGGAGCTGCTTCCAGGACCCTCCGCGGTCACCGTGTCCTCCCGGCCTGGAGGAAGGCGCTTGCCCAGCAGTGGCTTGAGCGTTAGGGCCTGAGGGAATGTGGGCGGAGGTCTCCTGGGAGGAGGGGGTCTCCTTCGTGGACAGCGGTGGCTGGGAGCGGAGGCACAGCCTGTTTGAGGCCATACCGAGGCCCCTTGATGTGACCGTCCCCAGGAGCCCCAGGCACAGTGAGGAGCCAGTGGCCGACTCGGTGAGAAGATCCCTCGTTGTTATTTGTTGGGGCAGCCCCAGCCAGTCACTCGCGCAGGAGTTGAAATGGAGGAGAGGGAGTCCCGAGAGCGGGCGTGCTAGGTCCTTGCTGGCCCCCGCGCTCCCCATCAGAACCTGGGGTGTCGGGGTCCTTCCTCGATGGGACCTCAGGAGGGCGTGCTCCACGCAGTGTGTCCTGCTAGGTCTTGGGGGAGGGGCAGGGGTTCGCACCGTGCACGTGTGAAGGACAGAGGGGGCGGTCAGCGCCACATCACACACGCGAGGGCTTGATGGCTGCGGTGAAACCTGCAGGAGGCGGACGCGTGTGTCACGGGGTGCGACCTGGTGTCACGGCAGGGACAGGCCTCCGCTGTGCACGCCTGTCCGGCCTCACAGCTGGTGCTCCTGCTCTGTGGGCACAGGTCACGGTGCGGCCGAGGCTGCGGGGAACGTCACTGAGTTTAAGTGGGTCCCAGAGACTGTTTCACGGGGTCTAAAGATTGAAGGACAGAGTGTGTCTTAAATGTAGTTCTTGACGTCCTCTGTTAAAGCAGATTGGTTAAAAAAAATTACTGCTTGACTGCAAGCACACCAATAGAGATTGATTTAATTCAGTACTTTGGAATCGCAACGATGGACTGTTCCCTCCTCTCACTTGCTTTGGGGCAAAGGCTTCTGCTGAGCCTTGCGGGAGCCGTGCCGGGGCCGCCCGTTGGGGACCCCCTGAGAGGGGGGGTCTCTCACGTCCACGCCCTCAGGCCTGGACACGTGCCCGTGGCGGCATCGCAGGTCAGGGTTTGAGTCAGTGTCTTTATGTTAGCAGGATCGGTTAAGTGAAAGGATAGATCAGTTCCCATTTTATATGTTCAGAAAACCTTTTCTGTGGTATTGTGGTTAAAAACTATATGTATTAAAAACCAAACTAATTATTACTGGCAGGTACCGGATCAGGCCTAGGAGTTGAGAGCAGGAATTCTTTATGGTGAATGAATCTAGTTCAACACTTTTGCAAGTTTATCTTCTCTGAGTTTAGGCGACCTGTCCAGATGTGACAGACAGCGTTGTCTCAGGCGTCCACGGCGTGGGGGGGGCCTGGCTGGAGGAGCCCGCTCCCGGCCCGTCGTGGCAGAGCCCGCGCGCGGGTCTGCTGTCGCGGACCGGCCTCTGTGCCGCCTGGCCCCGTCCCTCCCCGCCCTGGCCCCCCCCCGCCGGCTTCTCACGATGATGCGGGGGCGTTTGCAGGTGTTCGGGGATGGACCTGACGCCGTCAAGCAGTCTTTGGAGGGAGCCTTCGATGACACCGTCCCAGATGGCAAGGTAAAAATAAACGCACATGTCTTTTCTGGAAGTACTGCGAGTGCACCCACGTGACACAGTGCCCTGGCTGCTTGGGACCCTCAAATTAAGTAGACTTGGCATTAACAGCTGAAGTGGTCCGATCTTCAAAGTTAGGGGACAGGCGCACGAGGAGAGCAGAGCATGTTGTGTTTAAGCCCTGATCAGCATGAGACGTGACATCATCGGTACCTGTCCCCAGAGTGCGGGTGTCCCCTTGGGCACTGGGGAGGACATTGGGGGCCGTGCCACGGCCAGCTCCGCTCTGTATGACTCCCCGCCCCGGCGGCGAGGCCTCGGCCCGCCCTCGCTGCCGCCGCGGGCTGTTCTGTTCCCACTAGTGTCAAAGAGCTGTCCTGATAGCGGGCTCTTTAGCAAAAGGTGCATTTGTCTCCCAAGATAAGTATTTAGTTAGAGATTCGCAGATGATTCAGTCTTCTGCTTGGATTTAAAAGGGGCCCTGACTGAAGGCCCACGAAGAATATTGACTTTTTTCTAGGCCACTTTTTTAGCCTGGAAATAAACAGACATCTCGAGTGTGAAGACCCAGCAGCCTCTTTGTTTGGGGTCTGTGACCTTGTGTGGTCCTCAGACTCACAGGCAACGTGACAGCATTCAGGGCCGCGTTGGCCACGGCTCGGAGCCACGCATTGGATGAGCCGGGCGGCCGAAGCCGGAGTGTGGCAGGCGGCTCAGGCGGCGGGAGGGGGGAAGGGGGAGTGGCCATGGGAAGGGCCCCCCCACCACGTTCATACCCAGACGACTCCTGGATTCTGACCTCACGGACACAGACCGGCTGGGCTGTCCTTGGAAATACCGGTCCGTGGCTTTCTCTCTGCACCTGTCTCTGATGAATCTAAATTGCTGATCTGCTACAATCCAGGCATAGGGGCCGCCTCTGTAGGCAGCCCATCCCTCTTGCTCCTCCCTCGTCTTCCGGCTCCCTGAGGGCTTGTCCTGTCCAGGCACGGGGATTGGAAACCGCAAATTTTTCCATTGCATTATGTGTTGCCTCCTTTGCCCCCACCCCCGCCAAACAAGATCCTTCTTTGTCCCACTGTGTGTCTGGGTGCCTTGTTCTCAAGAGCAGTTTAGATGCGGAACTCGGCCTGACCTAGTGCTGCAGGGGCAGCTGTTGAACAGGGCGCAGGGGTGGGGGTGGATCTCAGCTGGGGGGGGGGGGTGAGATCAGGCAGGCCAGCTGCCTCGGGCTCTCCTCTCCTAGGTTCGGTGGGTCTGCGAAACCAGCACCGCTCCAGGGCAGGGCCGAGGTGCCTCTCCCTGGATTTAGCCTGGCCGTGGGCACCAGACACCTCGGCCCTGTCCTGGCGTCCGCTCTGTCACGTGCAGGCGTTCAGATGTCACCGCCTCTGCCTTTGTTTGGGAATTTGCTGCTTTTTGTGATTCGTCTGGTGCCAGCCTGTGTCTGCTGACCTGTGGGTGTGTGTTTACCAGTCACTGGCCCTGCTTTAAGTGAGCAATCAAGCCTTCTCACTTAGCACGTGCTGAGAGTCAGCGTTATCTTGACATTGCCGGAATCTCGTGATTCTTTCCTTGCTTGCTTCAAAGAGGTCGGGCCCCTCACGCCATCGGTCCACGGGTGTTTCCTCTGTGAGCTGTTGAACTTGCGTAGAACCAGCTGCCGAGCGCGGCCTGGGTGCTCGTTACAGGCTGAGTGGGCCGGGGCGGAGTGGAGCCGGGCGTGGCAGCGGCCCAGGAAGGTTCCCGGCCTCATCCGGGGCGCGGCGCTGGCTCTCCCAGGGTCCCCTTCGGCCACGAGAGGGACGCCGCCCGCAAACCCGCAGGCCTTCAGCGCCATCTCTCCTTAACATCCCCCGGGGCCTCGGTGTCACCTCTGAATCATAGAGGGTGAGCTCGAGAATGTGAGCTCGCCCGGCAGACCTTCCTGCCGCAGGAGTTCTCCGCTCTAAGTGTGAAGGGGGCCTGAGGGAGAACCGATAGCACTGCAGCGGAGCACAGCGGGTGCGCGAGCTGTCTGTCTGTCCCTCTCCCTCTGTCCCTCCCAGCTTTCGTACCCACTCATTCTTGCATGCCCACCTGTGACTCTCCTGGGCCAGGTGTGAGGTCTGAGCGCCACCCCCCCCCCGCCCGCCCCCAACAGCGCTCCTTCCTCAGGACTCCCCCCCTCCCGGGGGTCTCCTTTGTCCGTCGCAGCTGCCACACCTCTGCCTGGGGCCCTGTTCCTGGGACCCGCCATCGTGGTGCCCTCCAGGTCTGAGGTCACGGGGCCCCGACGGCGGCCGCCTTGCCGACGCGATTTCTTGTTGTAGATGGAGAAGGAGATGGACCTGCCTGGCGTCCCCCAGCACAACCCCGACTGCGACATTTGGGTCCACGAGTACTTCACGCCGTCCTGGTTCTGCCTGCCCAATAATCAGCCCGCCCTGGCGGTCGTCCGGCCGGGAGACACCGCCCGGGACACCCTGGAGCTGACCTGCAAGGTACGAGCTGCTGGGGCTGCCTTCCCTTTGGGGGGCGGTGGGACCTGGGGGTCTCCTGGGCACGCATGGCACCGCCGAGGCGGGGTGGGGGGTGGACCCTGGCGTGTCGCGCAGCCGTGGGCTCCTTGCGGTCAGGGCACAGTGAGGTGCAGTCTTCCCCTGGGGGGGCCGGGGCCCTCTGGGTCTGAGTGGCTTCTTTCAGTGCGCGCGCTTGATTCGCAAGAAGCACCGCGTGCACATCATGTGCTCCCGGCAGCGTTCTTTCGGAACCTGGTGAGGTAGGGCGCCGAGCCGCCATGAGAGGCTGGTCTCCCGCGGGATCTGGGAGTGTCCACCGTCGCCCTTCGGGCCTCGGCCCTGCAGCCCTTGTGCACGTGCACATGCGTGGGCAGCCGTGTCACACAGGGGCAGGGCTGTGACCCACTCCTGAGCCGCAGTTCGTACGCCGGGGGCGTCTTGAGTGGAAAACCAAAGTAAACCCAAGTGTGAGGCCCACCATGGGAGATTCCCCTTCCTTTGAATGTACACTTAGCAGTTTTCTTGGTGGTGAACGGTCGAGCTGTGTGTAGGCACTTCTGTACCCTTCCCGGGGCTCCCGGGTCGTTCTCTCTGCTGAAGGTGCTCGCCGGCCTTGGCGTCGGCGGGGCGGGGGTAGGGCGGACAGAGAGGGGCGGAGGTAGCGCAGAGCGTCAGCTGGAGAAGGCGCGGCCCGGGGCCTGTGCCTCGTGCCAGACCCCCAGTCACAGGCAGGTGCGAGGGCGGGCCCGTGTCTGGCCGCTGCCAGCGCGGGCACCCGCTCTGAGCCAGGAGGGCGGTCACAGAACCGTCAGAACCGGACTGGCATCCCGAAGGACGGTCCCTGGGGAGGGCCTGTGGCTCCGTCCCCAGAGAGTGAGGCTGCCCCTGCTGGGGCAGGTCGGCGCAGGGGAGACGCTTCCTGTCCTGGAAGAAGCAGGCAGATGAGGGACGTCTGTGGGGCCTCCCCATTCAGCACAGCGTCTCACGGATGCTGACTGACTGTTGCTGCCTCAGATGGCACCTCGGTTCCCCAATTCTACCATCCGCAGGTTTTGTGTTACTTTGAACACCGCGGGGGCCTCTGTGAGGACCAAAACCGGGCTCTTCCTGGGAGTGGGGGCGGCGCGGCGGGGCGGGCGCACAGAGGGGGGGCGGGCCTGGTGCGTGGGGTGGGGGCGGCGGGGGCAGCACAGCCTTTGGGTAGACTGTGAGGAAGGGGGGCGCCAAATAAAGGCACACGTTCGTGCTCTGGCTCCTTCGTGCCCGTAAAGTCTAGCTTTGAGAAGATAATAGCCTTTTTTGCTCTCATTTTTTCATTTTAATTACTGCACAAAACTGGTGCCTGGGGGATCTCTGCCTGCACTCGTTTGCAGGAGAGCGTGCCCTCCGGGAGCGCCCTGCAGAGCTGTGCCGGCTCCTGGGTGGAGGGGGGCAGGCTGGCTGCCTGTTCTGGAGGGAAGTCTTGCGGCCTTGACCCCTCCAGGCAGCCACGTCCAGCGGCCCGAGCCAAGGTCGGGGCAGAGTTCTTTGCCACGGGGCGTGGTGGAACCTTGCGTCCGGGTTTTAGATGCTGGGGATTGCGCGCTCCCCACAGCCGCTCCCTCCAGGGTTCACTTCCGTTCCCCGGGAGCCTTCGGTGCCCCTCCAGGGCACGAACCCCTCGCTCTTGCCACGAAAGGTTTCCCGGGATCCTCAGCTCTTTTTCCCAAAACAGAGAAATAAAGACAGTGTCTTGTGGAACGAGCTTATGTCTTGTGAGCTTGGAAGTGCAGAACTCCTGTGTGCACCTGAAGAGACGATGGCCTGGGGGCCTGGCCCCATGGGGTGCGCTGCGCGGGCGCCCCAAGTCTGCGCCCCCGGCCGCCGCCGCCGCCTCGGAGGACGCTGTTGTAACGACTGAGGGGATAAAAGAAAGATAACGGGGACACATGCCGTGTGCCAGCAACGGTGTAATTAGGGAGCGGGCTTTGTTGGTTTGTCTGCTTTTTTGGAGAAGGGTCTGGAAACAGGCGACTGTCAGAACGCCTGTCGCCCGCTCCCTCGGCCCGGCGGGCGTGCTGGCTCGGAGGCCCCGCCGTCGGTCTCTCCGGTCTGGCTCTGACGCGGCCCGCTCCCTTTCCTGTCCTCTCTGACCCACGTTGTCCGTGTCCGTTTGTCATCCGCCCCCGAGAGCCCGCCAGGCCCTGGTACAGGGATGTTTCATGATCTACCTGTCACACGCGCTTCATGCTGTCAGGGTTGCAAAAATGATTGTTGCTCCATATCATGGTAGCTCCGCCAGCCTGTGGTCTGGGGCGTGTTCTGAGCATTGCCACTTTTAATGTAATTGCAAAAGAATCGATTCCTTCACGTGCACTGTTGCTGTTTGTGTGTGGCCATACGGTGCGTTTCGTTTGCTGTCCCCTCTGTTGGCGTGTGGCTCTGGGTGGCTGATACCTGCGGACACTAGAAACTGGACAGGGCCCTGGCGGGCCGGGGGGGCCCGGGAGCTCGGCGGTGCCGGGTGTCGGGGCGTGCGGTTTGCACGTGGTCCCTGCACGCGCTGGTGTCCCCGAAGAAACGTGACTGAGACGGAGACTAGGAGCAGAGGAGAAAGACCCTTTCTCTGTTTCATTTGGCTCAAACAGTTCTCTGAAACGCTCTCCACTGTGTTTTACTGTTTCCTCCGTGGGAGTGGTCCTAGTAAGATGCAAATGTAAAACACCGCCAGCCACGTGGAATGTTTATTTCCCGGCCCAGTCCCTGCCGCTCAGCAGGACGCGGGTCAGATGCGGTCTCAGTGGCTCCGTGACGGCGCCCTGCGGACAGGGTGTGCCCGCCAGGCTCCCCGCTGCCGCCTTTCTTGGCCGGCAGGTGCTGTCGACCGGTGTGCCCGCCCCACCGAGCTGGTCTCTGCCGCTGCGGGCGCTGCTGCCGGTTGCCGGGCTGTGAGCCGGCGAGCTGCTCCCCTGCTTCGGAGCCGACTCGTGGGACTCGGGGAGCAGCAAGGCCGCCCCTCGAGTCCTGAAGGTCCGGTTTTGTTAGTCCTGTAGGTTTTCTTTCACGTTGGGCCAGCCGTGACGACGGGAGCTCGTAACAAAGACAGATTTACCCAAGTTGTGCGGCACGGCGGGGTGGCGGTCCTGTGTCCCGTGGTCAGGCACCATCTCACTGCCCAGGCTGGGGGCGCCTAGGTTCCAGGACGGCTTCAGGGTTCATGTTTGTCGTGTGTCCTCCTTTTTTAGTTTTGAAAGCTGCGGAGGCGTTATTGTAACTTGAGGAAGTTTGAAAAGCGTGCGGGGGCGGGGTGGGCGGGAGGCACCGCCCTGGTTACCAGGCGGTGCCTGCCGCCCACGCTCTCTTTGCGGGCGCTCCAAGAGAGGCCTCCTGGCAGGGCCCCTCTGCGGCCTCCCTGTGTGTGCGGCGCTGGGAGGGCCCCTGGGGCTGTGAGGCCCTCCGGCCTCCTCAGGACACCTGAGGCCCCGAGGCCGGCCGTGCTCCGCCCCCACCCTGAGACGCCAGGAGCCAGACGCCTGTTGACGGACCTGCTGCTGGGCGCACCCCCGAGGGCGCACTAGTGGCGGCGGCAGGTCCCCAAGTGGGCTTGTTCCGTCTACCGAGGGCCTGGCAGGTTTCACTTCCCCTGCCCCCCCGCCTCGGTCGGAAGCCGGCGGTCTGCCGGGGCTCTCGCTTCTGCCTGAAGACGGCAGGGAGGCCCCGGGCGGGGGCGCCTGCCTGCGCATCCCTCCACCCTGCAGGGCCACGCGTGGTCTCGGCCGCGCCCCTGCGCAGCATGGGGCCCACGTGCAGGCCTCCTGCCTCGGGCCTCCCTGCCTGCCCACTGCCCACCCTCCTTGTCCTTGACGGGACCGTCCGGCCCGTCGGACGCCAGGCCTCTCTTGACCTGCGGTGCGGACCGTGGGGCCCAGAGGCACAGGACGTGCTGGCTTCAGGCTCTGATTTTGCTTGTGAGGGTGCGTGTTGGGTGCCTGAGAACCGGTGTGGGAGATGCCTTACCCTCCTGCTGGGGCGTTCAGGACGCACCTCCTTCCATGTCGCAGATCTGGAGGTGCCTGTGGCACATGTGCATTTATTCAAAGAGCCACCGCCCCAGCTGTGTGGTCCTGCAACCCCATTTATGCCTCAGTTTCCACAGCTGTGGTGCCCACGCAGTGCCTGGCGCACTTGAGAGTTTTTTCCTGCGATTCAATGACTGTTATGGATGCAGTTATTGGCACACGATTCTTAGTTTGGCCTTAGAAGTTTATTGGGGGAGGCAGGGTCAGTGGAAAGAGTACTAAATGAGTGAAAAATTAGTTCCATTTAGGTTGAAACAGTTGTTGTCAGCAAGCTTTTGGTGTGAAGACATGGTATGAAGATTCTGCGCTTACGTAAAATAAAGGCGGAGAACAAGCGTCAGAACCCCCCGTGCGCCCTCACCCGGGCTCCGCAGCGGTCGGGGGTGTGGCCTTCATTCACCCCCGCCGGGCTTCGGGTTACTCTGGAGGCGGATTCCAGACATCCTGTCTTTGTCCGCCGTGTCTTTAGGATGAATTACCAAAAGATAAGGACGCTTTAGGAAAATGACCCGCTGTAGCATTTTCTGTCCGCGCTGCGTCTGTGCCGCCATGGGACTCTCGGAGAGCAGAGCACCCGCTCTTCTGCCCTCGCCGTCTTGACTGTGTGTCGAAGATGAGTCACAAAGCCGCGTTGCCGCTGTTGCTCTCTCTGCAGTCTTCATTCAGAGATAGCTTTTTGGGTAGAAAGAGATCCAGCTGGCCCGTTCTGGACCACAGGGCCGGCCTGGAAACGCCAGTCCTCGGGTCCCTCAGGGCCCGGCCCCCGGGGCAGGCCGTGCGGTGTGTTCCCGAGGCCGGATGCCGGCCGGACGCCGGCCTGTGCGCTGCTCCCAGGGGTGTGAGCAAGTCCACAGCCGGACCGCCCTGTCTGCACACGGGCTCGCGGGCAAGTGCGCCCCGCCACACGTCTGCCCCGGCCCCGCGTGGTCAGAACCGCGCCCCTGGCCCCGCTTCGTTTCAGCCTCTGTCATGACTTCCTGGCCTCTCATCTCTCTGCTCCCATCACCTCTACGTTTGGGCTGATCTTGAAGGGCCTGTTTGGCCTGATGGGTTTTGTTGCAAAACCCGTGTTAAAGGCCTGCATGACTTCGAAGTGAGTCAGGAGGCGCCACCGAGGGTCAGCAGCATGTTCAGTGAAGATTGCTTCCGGGTGGGTTTAGATGCAGGTCTTTCAGAAGCCTTCCCCCCGCCCCCCATCACAAGTCTCCACTGGCCTCGGGAGCCTGTGATGCGTGTCGCGGACAAGCATGACTCCTGTTTACTGTTGAACGTTTTCTCTTCTCTTCCTTTCTTCTGTCCCAGGCTCATCAACTGGATCACTCGGCTCACTACCTGCGCCTGAAGTTTCTCATCGAGGACAAAGTCCGGCACTACGTGCCTCGGCCGGAGGAGGGCATCTATGAGCTGGTAGGGTTCCTGGGGGCGGTCCCGTCCGTTCCGCAGGATGTCCTGTTTAAATGGCATGTGTGTGCCTGCTCATCGCAGGCGGTGGCGGGGATGGACGGACTCGAAGCTCAGGTGGCCTCGTGGGAGCGGCGGGGCTGGTGGGGGCAGACGCGCCGCCCCAACTGTGCGAGGCGCACGCCGTGCCGTCGCGAGGAGTTGGAACCCAGAGTGGCCCTTGGGTGCTGTCCCCCCCGACCCCGTGGCTGCGCCGGGTGTTGTTTTCATTTGAGGACTCAAAGGTCAGCTGCCCGCTGCCGGGAGGAAAGTGCCGGCTCCGGCTCCGTGGGACCCCGTGCCTGTGGGAGCCGACGTGTCTGATGCTGCTGCACAAGAAGCCGCTGTGCAGTGACGTGTCCGGCCTCATGTCGTTCTGCTGGCACTGAGTCCCAGGACGATGATGGGCGTCTGAGCCGCGTCGTGGGCCTGAGTTTCTTCGTTGCGTCTGGGGCTCTATATGGACTTGGCTGTTTCCCGTGACGTGGTATTGGTGCCAAAAAAAAAAGAAAAAGAAAAAGAAAAAATGAGGCGCTGCTACTAATTTCTAGGGTTTTGTAAGGAGCAGGGTAACGGTTCGCCCTACAGACAGTCAGTGAATGGCCGCTGCGGCAGGAACGCAGGGACACGTTCCTTGCTTGCCAGTCAAGGGTGTGTTTTCAGCCCAGGGAGGGGCCCCGGGCGCAGCGCGTGTCTGCCCCGGAGTGTGCCGTGCCCTCTGCGCTCGGTTCCCCCAGGGCCACTGGGCGGCGGCGCGTCCCTGCGGGAAGCAGAACTGAGAATGGGAGCCTGGGGAGTCTCCTTCTCAGAAGGGGAAGTGCGGTTTGGGCTTTGGTAGGAATTTTGTTTTCAGTCAAGTTTCTTGACTTGTGCTTCATATACAATAACACTCACCAATTTTCAGCACGCAGTTGAGTAAGTTCTGACAAATCAGCATCGTCGTGATTTAGAAAGTTTCTGTTCTCCTAAGAATTTCCTTGTGCCCCCAACATGTTTTTAATGAAATGCTTGGAAGGGTGGGTTTTTGTGATGCTCCCATCATGCCTTGCATGGAAGAGCAAACCGACGAGCCTGTTTCCAGCCCTCCCGGGAGGGAGTGCGGAGGAGACACCCTTTGAACGGAGGGCGGCCGTGTGTTTTCCTCTCCGGTCGGGGGAAGAGCCCAGACACCCAGCTCTCTGAGTGGGAAAACCGTTCTTATGTGAACGGGGGAGGCGCTTTGCTGGTAATGCGGGAAGAGTCTTAGAGTCTACACTTTGTATCTTGGGGTTAGTGGACCCCCTGCCGCCCCTAAATGACAGTCACACCCACGCAGCTCCCCAGTCCTTTCTGTGCAGCTCGCAGTAGGTGCTTGGGACGACTTGTCAAACCCACATCACTTACTGTTTGTCAGTGTTGGCCACTGTGTGGTCTCATCCAGCATAGGAGACCAAGTGCTGGTGTCTGTAGTCGCTGTGTATGTGTCATACACGTAATTTTTAAAAAAGAATCTGCGAAACAAAGAGACCATGGCACGTTCTCTCAACTATTGCAGACGGTCCCCAGCGCAGCGACCCCTGAGGAAGCGCCTGCCCCTGCTCGGGTGGCACGGGCATGGGCATCACCCCTCGCGCTGCGGGTTTTGCCGTGACCCTTACCTCTGTGGCTCTGAGGGCGCCTTGGGCAGCCCGGTGAGCCTCTAGACCCCGCCTCAGAGCACAGCTCTCAGCTGGCCTGAAATGAAGTGCACGGGGCTACCTGTGTTGTCAAAAAACATTTTTAAAATGATGACAACACATGCGCTTACCTCTTACCTCCTTAAATAACTCGACCCAGCGGGAGGCCCGCCAGCTGCCGCTGTGTTCGGTGGTGGTGAGCGCAGGCTGAAGTGCGAGCAGCCGCAGACCAGCGCGTGAGAGGAGCTGAGGTTTCTGCCTGCGACAAGCTCGCAGGGGCTGCGGGTGTCGCTGTGCCCGTAGCCTGCGTTTATTCACGGCTGCAGAAAACGCTGCGCTTCGCTTGTGGGCTGTGTTCCTGTTTTCCAGTGTCCCGGTCCCCAGGCCCCTTGGATCCCGTCTGCGGGTCCCTGGTTTCCAGTCCCTGCTGGAGGGCGTTCGCTGGAGGTCACACTGCCGCGGGCGTCCCCGAGCCCGCGGTGCCCTGGCGCTGCTGGGGCGGGGGCCGGCATTCAGTGTGCTGTTCCTCACTGAACGGGCGCCAGTCCTCACCGGCCGGTCGATGACCGGAGCCGGCCACCGTTTAGTTTTGGACGGACCAGGGTAGCCGCAGATGTTTGAAGTCATGTCCTCAAAAATGACCTGTTTATTGATGGTTGTCCTCAAATATTGGGTCCAACCCATGGAATGATGATAGAATGTAGAGACATTGGCTTTTCTAAAAGCCATATTAAATGGTATTTTAAAATTTATTTATTTATTTATTTTTAGAGAGGGGGAAAGGAGGGAGGAAGAGAGGGAGAGAAACATCCATGTGCGGTTGCCTCTCACACACCCCCTACTGGGGACCTGGCCCCCAACCCAGGCCTGTGCCCTGACTGGGGACTGAACTGGCCACCCTTTGGTTCACAGGCTGGCGCTCGGTCCCCAGAGCCACGCCAGCCGGGGCTGAACGTGCTTTCCTTAAAGTGACAGTGGGGAATGAACAGTTCACAGACACACTGATGGATGGGCTTATCGCTCCCCCGGTGAGCCTGCATGCAGCGTGTCCTGTGTGCCTGTGACCGTGGCGGCTGTCCTGGGAACTGGGACGTACCCAGAAAAATCTCCGTTCCTTCTAAAAGCGACACGCAAGCTTGCGGAGACAGGAAGACGTGCAGACACGCGTGCTGCTTTGGGGTGCGGGGAGAGAGCCGGGCGTCTGGAGCAGCAGCTCTGCGCTTTCCGGCCTGCTGTCCGAGCGCGGGGAGCGGGCCCCGGAGGTGCTGGGGCGGGGGTGGGGGGACCCGTGGCAGGTGAGCGAACGGCCTGGGGCGGGGGGCGCGGCGATGAGAGGGGGGGCGCGGGCCCCGCCGCGCAGGGCCCAGGGGAGAAGGGGAGCCTCGGGAGAGGAGGGACGCCCTCCCCTCTGCCTCCGTTGCTCACGGAGGCTGGTGCGCGGCCCGTGGGCTGCAGGGCGGGAGACCAGGAAGGTGCCCCCGGGCCGTGGGTGACGGAGGCTCAGGCCGAGGCTCCGAAGGGCCACGTGGCAGGAAACGTTCGCTCCGTCGTAACTCAGGCGCCTCCGTGACCAGTGCTGCTTTCCGGTCTGAGGATGCTTCAGTCCGGCTTCTGAGAAGAGGCAGGACACGCAGCGCAGTTGATGGTGGCATGAAGGGTGTGTGCGGACGTGTCCGTCAGAGATGTGTGTGCGTGAAAGGGCTGAGTGTCACAGTTTCTAGTTTCAGGTATTGTGGGTGCATGGAAAGTGCGCTTTAAAACACAGACCCTTCTAGAAGTGTCATGCATTTTGGTAGTACTTCTTATTAAACTGAATTTTAGCCTACGAAACCTCGGGGGCTGAGGGGCCTGTCTGTATTTCTCAACACCCGTTGTCTGAGACCGGTGAGAGCACCCACGGACTCTCAGACCACTTGCGAAGGAGGCGGTAACGCCGAGAACCAGCGGGCAAGCTGTCCACAGAGCGGTGCCCGCCAGGCCGTGGGAAAACCAGGGGCACCTCGGGAGGCCCTCCGAGCCGACGGGGCTGTGCTGCCACCTGGCGGGGAGCGCGGCTCTCGGGTCACCGGGGAAGATACAGCCGAGGCCCGGACTCGGCTGAACACGCGGGGGGCTCTTTGCTGGCCACGCCGCGGGCTTATGAAGTATGTTGTGAACTTTATTCTGTTCGGTACTTATAGTTTTGGTGACCGTGTTTTGTGAACTAAAGATCAGTGTGACACTTAATCTCTGTAATTTCAGAATTGATTTGTGTGGAAAGCATCCCTGAGGTGTAACGGTGAGGCCGCGTTGAATCAGGCCCTGAACGCGCCGCCCTTGGAGGGAGCCACGTCACCGTGCGCGTGGGCGCGATGGGCTGGGCGGGCGCCTTCCGCCCCCGCCCCGGGCTTTCCGCCACGGCCTGCTTCTCAGGCTTCCGGGCCCGGGTCATCGCGGCCGCCTCTGCCGCCTGTCGGACGCTGTGGAAAAGCAGCCAGGGAGGGGCCGGCGCCCTTCTGCACCAGCCGGGAGAGCCGGGCAGTCCCTGGCGGAAGGGCCGGGGCGTCAGAGCGGGCACGGGCCGACGGACGGGCCCCCAGGCGCCCTCCCCACGTGCTGCAGGGCCGGGCGGCAGCCTCAGGGCTCCTGGTGGCTGGCGACTCCTTCGTCCCCTTTGGCACTTGGGTCCTCAGTGTCGGAAGCAGCCTTGGCCGGTCCCTTCACCCTGGTGTGCGTCTGAGGGGGGATGGGTCGGGGGACTGAGCTCCGGCAGGGGACCCGGGATCAGACCCCGCCCTGCCCTCTGGGCCCCACAGGCTCAGGAGGAACGCGCTTCCCCCCGGCCGCCTTCTCGTCGGCTGTAACGGGGTCCCCGGTGACTCGGGGCACGTGAGGGCCGGGGCACCTGGGGCCCTTCCGCTGATGATCGCTCCAGACGTGCGGAGATGAGGTGTCAGCGACACTCGCTGGCATAGCCTTTCCCCGACACGGCCCGCTGGCTCTGCTCAGCCCTTCCCGGGCTCTCCTGGGCGTCTGGGGAGCTGCGGGTGTGCTCGGCTTCCTGGGGAGGCCGCTGCGACCATGGCTGAAGGCGGGCGCGCTCCACCTGCTGAGAGTGCCTGTTGTCCGTCTCGCGCTGTGATCCGGCTCTGCCTCCTTGTCCTGCCATGGATTTCTGGGCAAATTGGTGTGTGACTAGAACAGAACAGAAGCCCTGAGACTCCCCTTTTTCCGTGGACCCCGAGCAGGGTCCTGATAACCTGCCCCTGACCTTGTTACCTTGTTTGAGGTTTGTTTAATTAATTCATTTTTTTATTGAGGTGACTCGTGGAACAACATTGTGTGTCAGGTCCCTGACATTGTAATTCAGTAGCTTCATACACTAGAGCGCGCTCACCCTGAAGTCTCTTCCTGTCCTTTTTTTTCCTTTTTTGAGCCTCACCTGAAGGTATATTCACTGATCTTAGAGAGGAGGGGGAGGGGAGAGAGACCTTGCTCGGCTGCCCCCCCACCCCCGCCCGGGTCCGCACCCTGCCCGGGAGGGAGGATGGAACCTGGCCTTTCTGTGCGCAGGGCGCTGCTCCGCCCGACTCCGAGGCCTGGCTGGGACTCCTCCCTGATTTTAATAGTTTTTTCCAGTGCAGGAGACTTTTGGTGACTTCAGGGTGAGAAAAGACACCCAGAGTTGCGTAGAGCTCCATCGTGGAACCTGCTTAGGGACTGAGTTGGGGTGTGAGCTGCGAGTTTCTGCTCCGGCGCTTTAGGGGCTCAGCACAAACACTGGGATGTGGGGAAAAGGTGCTCTCAGGCACTGACCATGGAAAAACAGGTTTACAAAACGATGGCTACGTCTAAAGTGTCATTATACTGAAATTCTAATTAGGCTCTTCCTTGTAATTTTCAGCTGTACAAAGAAATTGAAATTTGTCCAAAAGTCACTCAGAGCATCCAGATGGAGAAGTCCGATACAGCCAGTGATAATTACGGTATGTGCATTTCTCTTTGATCTTGGGGTTTTTCAAGTTTAAGCAATTCTTGTGCGAACACGTACTCACTTACGATTCCCCGGAATGCCTTTGGGGCCGGTTCCTGCCGGTGCGAGGGAGCACCGGGGCTCGGCTCCCGTGGGTCTGACAGGAGCACCTGCAGTGGCTGCGTGGTACAGGCTTTGGTTTGTGGACGAGTCACGGCAGCGTCCACAAACCAAAGTCTCACCACAGACCGAGGGCCGCGCCTGGCTCTGACCCCGAGGGAGGGACCTGCGACGCCGCCGGCCCGGGGGCGGAGGCAGTGCTGAGTGCGTGTTCCGGCCTTGCAGCCCCGCGAGGTCCTGGAACTGGCTTACGCAGTCGCAGTCACCTGGGCGGCTGGCCGTGGTCCCCTCCGCTGCTCCATCCGGCCACCCCCTTCTCGGGGAGTCTCACGGTCGCATTTTTGTCCCACACCCCATTTTGTCACGGGCTGCTCGTGTCTCACTGAATGCCCATGTTTCCTGGACTCTGGACCGGTGTCACCCTGTCTGTCGTTGTCATGGTCTTTTTTGGGTCACGAGCACCAGGACGAGCCTCCTCCCGGAGCCTCCGCACTCGGGGCAGCTCCGTGGCCGCTCCGCGCAGTGTCAGCCGCTTCCTTCCTGGTCAGGATGGTCCTTCCAGGCGGTGCTCACGGGCTGGCTGGCCCCGCGGCGCGCTTTCAGGGGGGCACACTGGGCACCCCCTCCCCCCGGCAGCTGCTTGGGGCCTTCCCACGCGCGCGCTAGGAGTGGCGTGCCGCCCTGTTCAGGGGGCGACCCCTGGCTGGAGCGTGTGCTGCCGGACCCCTGTGGGCTTCAGTCGCCCCCAAGGGGCGCCTGTGGGCGTGCCGTGTTGTCCTCGTGTGTCCACGTGAGGAGGGTTAGGGTCTCCGTCGCCCGGGCACACGTTACCGGGGCGGGGGCCGCTCCCGCAGGACCGTCGGCACCGCCGCCTGCTGTGTCCGTTGGTGGGCCACGGCTCCCTGCTGAGCGACCTCGCGCCTCAGCCCTCGGCCCTCCCGCGGGGGTGCCCGCCGCCCTGAGGGGCCCGCCTGCCGCTCCGACCCGCGCCCGGCTCCCGGGTGCCCGGCAGACGTGCTGCCCCCTGCGGTCTGCAGGCCGGCTGCCACCTCGTGGCGTGGAAGGGGCGACCCAGGGGAGCAGCCGTGGCGCCGCCCCGTCGCTCGGTCTCCCGCGGCCTCATACTCTCAGGCCGGCGTTCGCCCGATGCCTCCTGTTCAGGCTGGTCCCCGGGTGTTTTTAACAGAAAAAAGTGTTGGTCTCAGTGCTCAACAGCAGGCGTTCGAAGGAATTGTATCCATTCTTTCCCCATACATAGCTCTCGGTTATAACAGAAGGAAAAAATTCTCCACGGAGATGCAGACAAACATGCCCATGTCAAGCCCTGTGCATGTGTAAGACTGTTTCTGTTGAAGTGGGGGCTTCTTGAAGCCCCCCCGGAAGTCACAAGCTGTCATAGGAATGTGATTCAGAACAAGCGAACGAGGGAAGACTCGGCCGCCGCGGGGCGTGGCCTGGAGTGCCCCGGGCCCCTGGCCGGTGTGGGGGGCGGCGGCTGGCAGTTCTGCCTGCGTGGGTGTCGGTTTCCTGGACCCGTGAGCTAAACACGGAAACAGGCGTTCGTTATGACGCGGCCTGAAGAGTCTCAGGGACTCAGCCCAGGCCCATGACGAGTTGTCCTGTCTTGTTCCTCGTTGGTCATGTGTTGTTTGAACCACCCTGCTCTCCTCTGCGTGCAGCCTGGAGACAGCCTCTGTGCTGCGGGATTATTTTCCTCCAGGAGCAGAAGCACGCCTTCATCCATCTCGCTTGCCCTTTACAGTGTCGGCCACGGTGTCTTACCCCGGCGGGGGCGGGGGCAGTCGGCGTGTGCTGCAGACGTGCCACTGATCGATCAGGAAGGACGTGGCGTGAGACTTTCTAGACAGAATTAGAGGTGACCAGGCCTTGTAGCCAGAGAATTGGAAGCGCCTGGATTCCCAGACCACTTACTGTCCTTGGGTCTGGTTTGCCCTATTCTTGAGGGATGTAGCAAAGCCCAGGATTCCTTAGCTTGTGGACTTTGAGCGCTGCACACCGGGGCCAGTGCAAGGCAGTTGGGCACTGGCAGAGCGTGAGATCAGTCGCGTTCAGCATGGGCTTGGGTTTAAGGCGCGTGGCTGTGGCTGCTCGGACCTGCGTGCAGAACTGGAACTTGCAGAGCAGTATCCGCAGGGCAGCATGCAGGGATGCACGCGCCCCACCGCCCCTCGGTCGGGACAGACCCGGGGACAGGGGTTTGCTGCAGAGTCGAGGGGACCCCACGGGGGCCTGTCTGTGCTGCGGAGGAGCCTGAAGAGGGCGGGCCTGCGCGTTTACTGGCGAGGCAGGCGGAAAACCAGCTGCTTCCCATTGCAGCCGCGAGGCAGCATGAGGGTCCAGGCCCTGGCGGCGGTGGCTCCCTTCAGAGCGATCGAGAAGGCGTCCTCCTGCCTCGCGAAGCAGCGCGAGCGGGAGGCGGTCGCGCCAGGCCCCACGCAGACGTGGGTGCGTGGCTGCCAGCGCAGCCTCAAGAGTGCGAGGTCCCCTCTGTCCTGTGTTCCCAGGGTTTTTCCTGTCTTCTGAGGATGAAGACGGTGTTCGGAGGCTCTACGTGGACAGTGTGAAGGACACTGGGCTAGCATCCAAGAAAGGTGAGCCACTGTTCGTCCGTCCGTCCATCCGTCCGTCCATCTGAAATTACCTTTCGGGTCTCCTCTCCTTGGTGGGCGGGAAAGACATGCCCAGACACTCCGTGAAGAGTGAACGCTGTCTTGTTGTAACCTAGGAACTGTGGCTGTTATGCCGTAGATTCAGGTGTGTAAGAAATGCCACAGCTGTGGATTTTAAATTGCGCTCTGGTGGGAATTCACGTTCATCCGAAGTGGCCGTCTTCCCCGCCACCCAGGCCGGGCTGGGGCCCCGGGTCTTCCTGAGCAGGACTTCGGGGGGCGCCTTGCTCCGGCCTGCAGCGGTGACGGCCCACGCCGCCATCGCCGACCCCCCGGAGCCCCTCGGAGCTGGTGTGGCTGGTGTGGCCGCCGTCCCTGGGGCGGCCCTCGTGGGCGGGGCAACCGAGGGCCGAGGTGCGGCCACTCTCTAGGCTGGAGCTGGACATCCCCGCAGCCGCGTCCCAGCCTGCGCAGGTGGGACGGGGTCCTCCCCTCGGGCCCGGGGGTGGGTGGTGTGGTTTTGCTGGCGGGGGGGGCAGCGCAGTGGGGTGGGGGCGCCTGCAGCTGGTGCAGCAGTGGAGCCGAGCGGCCCTGGCTCCTGTCGCACCCCGTTCGATGCTTCGAATGCAGGAGCCTGGCGTCAGACCCAGAGCCGGCCCCCTGCTCCCAGTGTCGGCAGGCGCTAAGGGCGCTGCGCTTGGATTTTGTCCGTCTGCTTCTGTGAGCCCTCGTGGGCTCTCGGCGCTTGCGGGGTGGACAGCTCGTCCCATGTCCCCGCCCCTCCCGGCTCTGCTCTCGGCCGGGCCTTCCTGGGGCTGCGCTCACACCGGCTACTGCTGCCCCGAAGGGCGTGTCCCACACACGTCTCTGGTCCCCATGGGCAGCCTGGGCTCAGTCCCCTGTTCTCGTGTGGCCTCGGCCGGGGCTGGGCTAGCCCCTTCCATGGCGCCCAGTGTTTCCCTGTGGCGAAGGCCACCGGCCAGTCCCTCTGAGCGGCTTTCGCCGGGCTGGGCCGAGGGGCCGCCTGTCCTGTGTGCTGGGTGTAGGAGCGCGTTCCTGGCTCTTCCACCAGGTGTCAGCACTGAGAGCCGGTGCTCCCTGCCTCCCTGTCGGTCCTTCAGGCTGAGCTCAGAGTCTGACGTGGGTTGTTCCACTGACTCATTTAACTCCTTTTCCCTCTTACGAAGGCCGTGGTCGGGGAGAGTCGGTAACAAGCGGCTGCTTGGTGACGCGCGACAGAAGACCCGACAGGCACACCCTTGCTCCCCCTGCCGGGCCTCTTCCCTGCCTCCGGGAGCCCGTGCATGAGCTTCCTGGGGTTCCTGTAACAAATTTACACACACCGGGGCTTCAAGTGACGGAAGTTGACCTCTCCCGGTCCTCCTGGTCCTGGGGGCCGGAAGTCCGAGCTCACAGCTCTCTGAAGGCTTCGGGGGCTGGTGGGGGGTCCTTCCTGCCTCTTCCAGCTGCTGGGGGCCCCAGGTGTCCTTGGCCCGCGGCTGCCTCCGCCCGGTCGCTGCCTCCCTGTCCACGTGGCCTCTCTCTGTGTGTCTCTCTGCCTCTCCCGAGGACTTGGTCAGTGTTGTAAGGGTTGGAGCCTGTTAGATAACCCGTCACGATGGTCTCCCAAGGCCCCTCTTGGTCACAACGGCAGAGATCTGCTTCCAAACAAGGCTGTGCCCCCAGCCCGGTCCTGGCGCGTCCCCCTGGCCCACCATGCAGCCCCACGCGCGCTGTCCTGGCGGGTGCCGCACGCCCGGAGGTTCTGGAACAGAGCTCATGGGGCCTGTGGCTGGGAAGGCTTCTCCGTTGTTTCTCCCTGCGCTGTTCCCTCCTCTGATGTCCAACCGAAAGGGTCGTCTCCAAGAGAAGATTTCAAAAAAAACTTCCCACGTGTAGAAATTTTGTATTTTCAGTTCAAATGTTGCGATGTTAAAATCTATCTAAAAATGGACTGGTTAGCGTCTCAGAATTCCACTCCGGTAGGAGAAACATGTTCTTGTTTCTCCCTCCCCCCCTCCCCTCCCGCCATGTTTCTTGGAGACACTTATGATAGAAAACTGGAGACTGGGGTCCAGGTGGGAGACCCAGGGCCGCGGGGGGGCGAGCCCTCCTCTGTGGGGTCCCTCTCCTGCAGGGCGGGAGGGGGAGCTCGGGCGCCGGGCGGGGGGGCGTGTCGTGCCTGCAGGTTAGCATCTACCTTTGCCCTTTAACCGTTGCCTTGTTTAAGTTTGATCTTAAACTTAAGTTTAGAAAGTAATAATCAGACTCCTTTCTTCTGAGCTGAAAGGATACTTTTCTGTTCTTCCCTGAACTCTCCCTTTCTCACACTTCCGGATTGTTCCTTTGCTAATGGGTGGAACTGCTCCAAGGCCGGCCGCAGCTTCTTGCTCTCTTGGTCTGGGCTACTCCGTGGGTCCCAAACGTGGGCGGCTCTCCCAGCCTGCTTTGCAAAAAGTCACAGAACCTCTGGGGACTTTCCCCAGGATGTTCCAAGTCCTGATGTAGTTTTGGCGGGAGGGGGGCAAAAAACGAACGGCGTTGATTCTGGAAGAATCTGCTGTCCTCAAGTGCATTCGGAACAGGACGGCCGCGTGTCGTGGCAGAGCGAGCCCCCTGCGTTTCGGGTCACAGGAGTGGGGGAGGCGACAGCCGAGCCACCCGAGCAGCGTGAGAGTGGACAGCTCGTCCACACCTTGGTCAGAGAGCACTTCTGCCTTTTCCCCTCAAAATGTTAAGGCCGCTGCCTGAATTGGCATCAGCGAGGAGGCATCGGCGGGCGCTGGGCGCCCACAGACCTGGGGCGAGGGGCCTGGTCCCACCGGCGTGTTCAGGCGGCACAGGGCAGGCACAGCCGCGCCCGGGCCCTCCTGGCCGCCGAGGCCCCGGGCACCTGCGGACCACTTGCGGGCACCTGTCTGCATGAGGGAGTGCCTGGCACGGGCCGCGGAAGAGAGCTCAGGGCGCGCTGGGTGGCGGAGCTTTGAGGAGCCGCCTCCGCGCGGACTCTGTGGGAAACTAACCACTTTCTGCTGCGTTGCAGGCCTGAAGGCGGGGGATGAGATTCTCGAGATCAACAATCGCGCCGCCAGCAGCCTGAGCTCCTCGGCGCTCAGAGACTTCCTCCTGCAGCCCAGCCTGGGCCTCCTGGTGAGGACGCGCCCTGGGCTGGAGGGGGGCTTGCCGCTGCTGGAGAGCCCGCCCCGCCGCGCCGACGGCCCCGCGGACCCCGGCCAGGGCCCCCTCGCCTTCCTCGCCGGCAGCCCAGGTAAGGCGCGCGTGTGGCCGCAGCCTGAGCCCGGGGTGGCCCGCGGGGTGGACCGCGCCGCTCGCAAGCGCGGGGACAGGGTCCGGGCGGCTGCCTCCCGTGTGCGTGTGAGATGAGCTGATGACCGAGCGTGTGTTTCCTGTCGAAGTGTCACAGGGACGGGGGACTCTGGTGCCTGGGAGGACTGCTCTGTCGGTGGTCATCCTGGAGGAGGGCACTTGGGCAGGCCGGCTCTCTGGGGGCTGCGGGCGGAGATGGGGACACAGAAGTGCCGGGAATCCGGGAGGGGCTCTGAGTCTGACCCCTGCCGTTCCTGTGACCGTCCCCCACCACCCAGCCCGCACCCCATCCCCTCCGTGTGACAGGACGGCATGCCCGGCGCAGACAGCCCTTGGCGTCTGTTTTCGCCCACTCGTCCCCTGGGCCCTTCCGCTGCAGGGTCGAGGGAGCCCATTGGTGGAGCCCCCACCCTGCCCACGGGCTGTCCGCCTTCCCAGGGACGCCTGGCCCCCCTGGTCCTCCGATAGCCTTGCACTCAAGCTGGAAGAGCCTCACCCCTCGCGGTCCCCGGGCCCCTGCACGGGACCCGTGTCACAGGACCCAGTTCCTCCCGGCTGTGCCCCCGGAGCCACATTTGTCCCCTGTGACCGGCCTCATGTCTTCACGCGGCTCCGGAGGGCGGGAGGGTCCTGAGGGACCCTGGCCTGGAGCTGGGGCTCCCCCAGTGGGCTGGTGTTTTCAGTTGATTTTCTTTGAAAATCTTGTGTTAAAGAAACAAAGTCTTCGTTTCAGAATCTGAGGGTAGGACCAGGCCAGCAGGGCACGGATCCCCGAGGTTGTGTGCGGGGCTCCGTGGAGGTGCCGGGAAGCAGCCGTACAGTACAGTAGGCGCCCTTGACTCCTTGCGCTGCCGCTGGGTCCGTGGCCCAGGCGGGTGTGTGGAGAGCGGCGCCTCAGCCTGTCGTCAGCAGGGCGGGGTCCGGAGGCCATTCCGCTCTGCGACCACAAGGTGGCAGGCGGCAGCCATGGCCGGAAACCCAGCGCGAGGCAGGCGGCTCTGCAGCAGTCAGACCCGGTGACTGAGAAGATTTTATAGAGCCTGGAAGTGTGGACTGCACACGGCCGATTTTCAGGTCTCTCCGAGCTCTTCCTGGGGATTGTGGGCGTGAAGCGAGGTTGCCAGCTGGACTGCTGGCCGGTCCGCTGTGGCCTGTTCTCGGAGATACGGGTCCCCTGGAGCACAGCCCCGCTGGGTCCTTCCCGCCCTGCCTCTGGCTGCTCGTCCCCGCAGGGCAGAGCTGAGCCTGGGACGGGGACGCGGGGCCTGCAGACCTGCGGCGCTTCCTGTGGGCCCCTCACAGGTGCGGTCTGCTTGCCTGCGATGTCGGGTGGCATGGAATGGCTCGCTGTCGGCCCCTTGTAAGGCGGTCACTCTGTTCGTGCACCTTGTCTTGAAAAAGGCTCTGAGGCTACCTGGCAAACCTAAAAATTTTATTAAGCTTTTTAAAATTAAAAACATTCCTGTATAAGTGTGTGCTCTAGGAATATGAGTGTGTATACATGTCTCATCTTTTATATGCTGGAGCCTTAAAATCGACCACCGACCTTCACATCCTCCAGACACGCTGCGGGAGGCTGAAGCCCCCAACAGCGGCACGGAGCTGCCCTCGGAAGGTCCGTCACTGCTTGGTTTTCCTCCAGTTCAGTGACCCCGCCTGGCTGCTGCGTGTTTACTGTGCACCGGGCATTGTGTGAGAGCGTGAAGGCTGTCGCGGGAACCAGGGCACGGGGAAGTCCTCAGGTCGACATCGCAGGGGGGCTTTCTGTTCGGTAGCTGCTGCTGCTTTCAGCGTGTGGCAGTGACCGCAGACCCTCCAGCACAGAGCCTGCCGGGCGGGCCGGGTCCTCGCGCTGCTTTGATGACAGAGCAGGAGGCGCACGTCACGGTGTTGGTCTCTCGTGTGGTTTTTAAGTTGGCCTCAACAGGAATCACTTCCGGAAGGGTCTCAGGGGCTCAGCCCGGCCGCGCCGGCCGGCTGGTACAAGCAGACCGCCGCCGGGTCTCCTCTGCCTTCCTGCCTTCCGGGCGCTGCCACTTCCTGGTCCCCATTTCAGGAGAAAGATGAAAGGGCAGGAGTGTAAACAGGATGGAGCAGCCCGAGAGCGAGCTCGCAGCCGCGCAGGGCAGAGCGGCGCCCGCAGAGGGAGTCCGTCGGGGGGCGGGGTCCCCAGGCCTTCTAGGGTGCTGGGACCGTCTGGTTTTTTATTCCTTATCTGGGGATATGGTTTTATTGATTTGAGAGAGAGGAAGGGACAGAGAGAGAGAAGCATCCGTTGGTTGGTCGCGTCCCAAACGCTCCCTGCCCAGAGGCTGAGCTCACAACCTTCTGGCGTGCAGGGTGGCACCCGTGCCCAGGGAGCCCCCTGGCCGGGGCGCTGCCGGGAGCCCCTGAAGGTGGCCGCCGCGGGTGTTTGGCCGCGTCGGGAGAGGGCCAGCCACGGAGCCTGCGAGCCCTGGCCGATGGCGGTTGCGGGAGGCTGCCCGCAGCTGGCCCGGTCTCACGGGGCGGAGTGCGCAGGCCTGGCCAGGCCCCCCACCGAGCCCCGACTGCGCTGTGGTGGGCTCTCAGGGCAGAGTGCGCCTGCCTGTCCCCCCAGGCAGACGTTCCTTCGTTTGCCTGCGTAGACGCTGCGCCTGCGGCTGAAAGCGGCCCCAGGACCAGCCCAGCACACGGACACTGACCGACGGCCAGAACAGGCTGTAAAGAGGAAGGGCCTCAACACAAATACCCATCCCTGCCATTTAACTTTTACTTTTTGAGGCAAGGGAAGAGCTGAGAACAGCATAATGCTCATTCTCAACGTCGGCTTTATGCCCCCGCCACGAAGAACAATGTGCTGGCTTAGTGTGCGCGTCCCTGAAATGAAGCCCTGAAACAAGGACTCCTCAGTCAGCAGCTCTACAGCCCCGCGCCCCGCGCGGGTTGCCCCGCGCCGCGCCCAGGCGGCCCCCCTGCTGCCCTCCTTTCGGGTTCCCTCAGCGGCGCTCCCATCCGCCTGGCCTCTGTGGGGACCGGGCGGCGTCATCACCCCTGGACTCTGCCGAGCGGCTGGCTGAGCAGGCTCCCCGGGAGCCTGACGGCCCCTTCCTGGAGTTGCAGCCGAGCGCCCACCGGGCGGGTGACTGAGGGAGGCAGCCGAGCACCGTGCCTGACCCCGGCCCCGTGTGTTGTGGCCGGCGGTGCCCGGGGGGGTCCGGGGACTGGCTGTCTGGTTGCCTGGCCACACCTATCGGCTGCTCAGTGGGGGCTGTGGTCTGAAATGAGACTGGGCACCCCTGCTGCAGGAAGGAGCTTGGGCAGAGTCTGCGGCACAGGACGGCCTCTGCGCCCCGCGCGGAGGGCGCCCGGTCAGAGCGAGGACATCTGGCTGCTGCCCGCGCAGAGAGCCAGGCGGCGCTGCACAGGCGCTGCGCGCCCCCCAGCCCAGGGGTGCGAGGGGGCCCGTCCGGCCGGGCGTCCCCGCTGACCACAGCGCGCACTGCGCCCAGCCCCCCGTGCCCCTGCCTGCGCCCAGAGCTCTGCGCTCCGTGGTCTGGGCCGGGCCCCTGGCAGGGGCTCGTCCCGCTGTCCTTGCCGGGGGCCCCTCGTGCTGCTGTGACGGGTGGGCTGCCCTGGGCTGGCGGCAGCGGCCTCGCGCGCGGCTGTGCTGGTGGGCGGCCGGTCCCCGCTGTCCTTGAAGTCCCGCGTGTGAACCTGGGGTTTCCGCGGCTGGTGGGCGTGGGCTCCTGGGGCCGCACCGGAAGCTGCGAGGCGACCTGGGGCCTGAGCTCGCAGTGTGCACATCGCCCCTCGTGTCCTGCTGGCCAGAGCGGCCTGGGCCAGCCCCGACCCCCGGGGCGGGCAGAGCAGAGCCCGAGGGCTGGGCCCGGCCGCCTTGGCCGCCACCCGAGGCTGCCGCGCTTGCCCTTCCTCTGCCGTCCGGTGAGCTGCCACCTCCGCTGCGGGAGCGAGCGGGTCCCAAGAGTCCTCCTGTGTCCTGTAGTGTTTTGCCACTGAGATGCGTGGACGGGAACTCTCCAGCCTAGGGTGCGTTTTGCTTCGTTTACGGAGCCTGTTGACCAAGAAAAGGTTTACGTTTTAGTAACGTTTGATTTTCTGTCTCAAGTGCCATGTGCTTTTTGTGTCTTAAGTCCTTCTCTCCCCAGGTCGCAGCCGCACCTCCTTGTTTATTCTGGAAGGTTGGAGTCAGGGTCTTTGTGTGGGGCCGCCCCTCCCTGGCTCCGGCTGGGAGCCGGGGTCCAGCTTCATGTTCCCACCTGGGGACTTTCTGCCGTCCCCATGCCATTTATCAGACGCTCTGCGTTCCCGGCCCGCGTGCACGGTGGGCATCCTGGGCTCTGCTCCGGTCCCTGTCCCCCGTCAGCCGTGTCTCTGAAGCCTCACAACACGGTTTGACGTCCAGCAGGATAGCACCTGGTCTTGTTTGTCTTTAAAACTGTCTCTGCTGTCGGGCCTTGTGTTCTTCCGTGAGTGAGTTCCAGCGACCGTGCTGCTGCTGCGTGTGTGTGTGTCTCGCATGGTGACGGTGCCGGGATCACTGACCCGGCGCCCCCTGGTTGGATCGCCACTGTCTCCCCAGGCGAGCCGGAGTGGCCCCTCTAGAGTGGCCCGTTAGGGTCACTGGGTGTCTTGTAAGGAAGGCAGGGTGTTTGGTCCAACCCCACATCTGTCGAGTCTGAGTCTGCGTATGGGGACCCTCGTGTCCAAGGCTCTTCAGCTCTCGGAAGCCCTGCGGGGCAGCGTGGCGCTCTGTCTCCTCCTTCCGTGTGTGCCGAGCGCAGTGGGCGACGGGCGTGTGGCGCCCTCCGCGTCCCCGCTCTGCTGGGCTCGGCAGAAACAGACCCCGGGGCTGTTGTGCACATTTGTGGACCGGGTCCACCTCTGCGTACAGCGCATTGGGGGTGGGAGCCTCCACACGTGGATTTCGGGGGATACTGAAGCTGCTGTTACACCTTAGAAGTGAGAAAAGCACACTCTTTTATGGACTCATGAGAGTGGTGGTGGCAATAAACGTAGTGAAAACTGGCATTGAGTCACGATGGTAGAGCCTGAGCCCGGGGCGGAGGGCGGGACAGCGCGCAGCCGGAGCGCCCGCCTGGCGCGGCCGAGCGCCCACGGTTGCTCCCTCCTCCCTCCCGCAGGGCACGGCCTGTGTGGCGCGCAGGGCAGCAGCGCGGAGGCCGCCCCGGAGGAGGCCGAGGGGCCGGACGCCGAGTCCTCGGATGACACGGATCGCAGCAGCAAGGTGAGCGGCTCTCACCCTCGCTCCTCTCCCCGCGTCCCCGCACACGCGGCGCCTCGGCCGCGGGTGTGCTTAGAGCCCGCCCCACGGGCCCAGCGTCGTCACTGCTGACGTGTGGCCAGACCAGACGGGAAGTCCACGTGGCAGCCTTGCCCGGGAGCGCGCAGCCGGGGCGGGGGTGGGTGAGGAGCCCGGCCAGGAGTGGGCGCGTCTCCCTCCGCCCGTGGCAGTGGCACTGCCTCTGGGCCGACTCGGCGAGGGGCTCTGCCGTGGGCCCGGCCCCCGGGGGCGCGTCGCCACGTGAGGGGGTGCCTTGGGTGCCTTAGGCGCCCAGCACGCACGCCGACACTGGAGGCACCGCCCAGGCCCGCACCCCTGTTTCAAAGCCTGCGATCCCCAGGGGGCCCCTCCATCTCCCTGCATCCCCGTGGCCCCGCGGGACGCCCCCGTGGCGTGTGCGTGTTCCTTGCGTGTCTCCTGTTGCAGGCTCCTTCTGGGGACCCTCCCCGGCGAGCCCAGCAGGCAGCGGCAGGTGGCGACAGCCCGCAGGTGCACACCGGTGGCGCGTGCAGGCTGGAGGGCTTGGTGCCGCCGACGGCCAGTCGGGGCGCAGCGGACTGGGGCCGCCCGCGCCGCGTGCACAGCCCCCAGCACACACACGCTCGTCACAGTTACTTTGGGGCCTTCGCTTCCGCCTGCGTGTTTTGTGGGGGAGGTCAGTCGCCCTCAACAAAGGCAGGTATTTCCAGACCGAGGGTATTTTGAAGGGTGTTTATTTAGTTCTTTCGTTATTGGAACTCAAATTCTAGTTTGGTTTAGGAACATGGCTGTTCTTCCTCTTCCTGAACCTTTAACTCTGAACGCTTGTGAACTCGGGTGGTTTTTACCTCGCTGTGGGTCCGAGGTCATTAAACTCAGTGAGTCACAGGGCAGGAGGGGCGGCCGGGGGGGCCAGGGGGGCCCCGGGGGCCCCGGATTCATCTGCCCGGAGCCCTTCTCCTGACCGCGAGGCCCCGAGCGCCCCTGCAGCGGCGGTCACGGGGCCTGTGTGTCACTGCGGCGTCGCTGTAGAACGCCTTCACGGGCCGACACGCGGGGGCAGCGGCTGTGTGCGAAGGTCGGGTGGGGCTGCCGAGGCCGAGGCAGCCGAGCCTGCCCCTCCACGTGGTTGGGGGCGCCGGGCGACCCTGCACGCAGGAACACTCCCCGGGTTTCACCTGATGCAGTTTTTTTCCTTGTTTGAATTAATTTGTCATGGGCTGCAGGACACACTCATTCTCCTTTAAAATAGCTTTTTGTGAAGCGAATGTGGTGGTGGCGCCGTCTGGGTCGTCAGCGAGCCCTGGTCGTGCTGAGCACTGGGCAGCGGCCGGGATGCCGCCCCAGGGGAGCTCGGCGCGCCGCCCACAGCCCCCGGGAGACGGCCGCTGTCGCTCCCTCTCTTCCTCACTGACGGCAGAGGGACAGCGAGGCGGAGCGACTTGCCGGAGGCCGCCAGCTCTGAGCCGGCAGCGCCGGGCCTCGCGTTGTGAGCGGCTCCGCGGCTGCGGCCGGCGGGAACACCGGGCTTCCGGAGAGGAGGAACCTGCGGACGAGCGGCGCCGTGCGCCAGGGCAGTCGGGCCCCCCGCCATCCTCACAGCCCCTTAGAGTTAAGCTTTCTGGTCTTTTCTATGATCTAAAGGAACAGCAAGTATGTATCTTAAGTTTCTTGATTCAGGTTAAGTATTTTTTTGATGCATCAGTGGGTCATTTTTTCGAGAACTAAGTGGAACTTTCTGCGTCGGAAGCTGCCTGAGCAGGGAAGGTGATTTGGAGCAGCAAGTTGGGTGTTGAAATGCATGAATAAATGAATAAACAAATAACCACATAAGTGTAAGAAAACAAGTAATCATTTTTTACTCTGGAAAAACATGTGAAATCTGTTGATGTAATATTTTTGCTGTTTTTCCTCAATGAATTGTTTCAGGAAATACTGGTCAGGATAAAGAGAATGCACGTTGGGATTTTCTGTTGTCCTTTTTTTAATAGCAGCTCTCGCCTCGCCGGCTCCAGCTGGCTGAGGGGCGGGGCTTGCACGCAGCAGGGGCCGCGGGGCCTTCCTCCCTCAGCCGCTTCCTCCCTGGGCCTCTGTGGCCAGAGCCTCAAAGGCCCCCCACCCCCCTGCCCCCGCCCCCGCCCAGGGGCTGCTCGTGACCCTGCTTTTAACCCCAAAGGCTTGTCCCTGGAAACTTCCTGGCCCTCTGGCAGCTGTGATACTGTTCTTCCTGTAGCAAGTGTGTTAGAATAATTGTCAGAACGTTTTCATTCTGAAAGCTGCTTTTTCTGTTTGATCCGAACTGTGACTGTGTCAGCAGTGTCTGCTTTGGTGGCAGTAGCATTGGCGGAAACTGTGAAGATGCGAACTGTTAAAGGGAAAGCCCTTGCGCTCTTGGGAGCTGCCCCCCGCCGGGCGGCGAGGGGCGTCTTGGGCAGCGCGGGGCCAGGGAGGCGTGCGGGCAGGTGCTGCGCACAGGACGCTGCCAGTCAGCTGACCCAGGCCACCTGGCAGTCGCTTCCCGAGAAGCGTTTCTGCTTTGCTTCTACGTGTTCCCTGTCGGTTCTTCCCTCCTGGAACTTCGGCTGCGCAGGCGGCTGCCGTGAAGGCATGAATTCCTGCCCACAGCTTGGCCTGGGACACCCTCGCCAAGGGCGCCGGCGGCCCTCGCGCGGCTGGGGCTGCCCCGTCCCCGTCCGGTCCTGCCCGTGTGGCGGTGCGGCTCTGCGTCTGGCCGGGACCACCGGCGGGGCTGTCTCGGGGGGAGCTGTCCCTCGGGGGAGCGGGGCGGCGTCGGGGCGCCTGCAGCGTCTCTTAGGAGCCTCTTCCTGTGCGGCCTCTGTGTTCGGCGCGGCAGACAGGATCGCCAGAGGCCGCGTCCCTGAGATGTCCGTGCTGTGGAAGATCAAGCGCAAGCCCAGGGCTGCCCCCGGGGCCGGGGGCTCTGGCTGTTGGTCGTCTCACCTGGTGAGCCGTCCGAACGCGGTCCGGCCGCGCTCGGTTCCGATACCCAGGAGGGTGCTTTCAGGCTTCCCGTTCCTCCTCACTGTGTCTTTGTGCCTCTGGAGCGGAGTGGATGGGGAGAGTGTATTTTGGTATGGGGGCGGGGCGCCAGCAGTCGGGGGGCAGGGGTCTGTGTCTTCTTTGTTATATGGCGGAAGGATGGATCTTAAATTTTAACTGTCATTTGCATTTCCCCCTTTCTTTCTGTTTTTGAGAAGAGATGTGTCTCTTGTTGGCCGGGCAGAGTCCCCGTCTCCTGTCCCCTGTCCACCCCTCCACTGGGCGGTCCCAGCGGGCAGCCAGCCCTTCGGGGGGGAGGCCGTGCAGCCTGCCCCTTGGACTCTGCCGCCGAGAGCTGGAGCAGGAGGAGGTGGGTTTGGGAGGGCCGGCTCGGGGCCGTGATCGTGGTTCGCGCAGACGGCCTGCCTCGTCCGCATTGTTCCTGCCATGGGACTGCCCCGTGAGGGGATTTAGTGGGTCAGGGGTAAGGGACGGTTTACCAGAGTCAAAGTGGGCCTTTAATAGCTTCATCCGAACGTCAGAGCCTGCTGGCTCTTAGACTTTGTGTTATTTAAGGGGCCTTGAGTTTTGACAGGGAGCAGGTCTGATCTCTTCGAGCAGCCTTTGTCCTTGGACGTTTCTCTTCAAAGTTCTCTCCAGAGGACACCGGCGGGCCCCGCTGGGCCCCGTGGCTCTGAAGCTGCTGGCGCATCGCTGCGGTGTCTGTCGCCCAGGAGCTGACGTGGAGGCTGCCCGATCTGAGGCCGCCTGGCCCCTTTAAGTCTGCGGGGTGTGCTCAGTTGTCGGGCCTCAAAGGGCCAGTTTTGAAGCTGGGAGCTCCCCTGCAGGTAGGATCTGCTGCGGGGCCCAGCCCGCGCTTCCTCTTCATCTCGGGGAGGAGGCGGCCTTCAAACAGGGCGCCGCCCCCGCCCCTCCCCCGCCCCCACCACTCTGAGTCCTGACCCGGAACGGCTCTGAGGGGCTGGGCGGGCTTCTCCGTGTCCAAGGTGACGACCGTGGTCCTGCATCAGGGCTGGTCCCTCGCCCACTGGGGAGGCCCAGGCTCCACGCCCCTGCCACCCTTGGCCTGCGGGTGCGTTGGGAACCCCCCGGGGGTCCCCCTCCCTGGGTGCGTGTGGCTCCCGCGCTGGCTGCGGGGGCGCTGGCTTTGGGGCGGCCGGACGCCAGGGAGCCCTCGGTTTGGAGCCGCGGTCGAGGCGAAGCCGCGCTGGAGGGGCTGGGTGGGGTTTCCCGTCCTCTGACCGCGGGGGGCGGGGGGCGGGAGGGCAGGGTGGCTGGAGCCGCTAAAGCGTGTGAACTCTAGGCTAGACACGCTCTGAAGCGGACCTGTGGGTCTTGCTTCTTTCTCAGGATGTTTTGGGGTAATGTTTGATAAAACAAAATTCTTTGTATCTTTTTAAGTTGTTTACAAGCAGAATTTTATTAAGAACCTTATAAGTAACGTCCTTTGACTGACATGCGTGCTACCTTGTGCTTCCACGTTGTTAATTGTTTTCTTAGCCTGTAACTGACAGTAAGAAGGTGACGTCCGTTTGGACTCCTTTCCTTTTGATCAACCTGAGAGTTTACACCTGGAACCAGAGACCCGTGTCCCCAGGGGAGAGACTCCTTTGCACCCCTCCCCCGCCCCCCCTTCAGGGACCACCTGGCTGCCTCTGCCCCGGGCTTAGGACCAGGTCTGAGAAGGAAGGGACACTCTGAGCTCTCAGGAGAGGCGGCCGAGGACGCCTTGGGTGCCCCCTGGGACGCTGAAGGTGTTTCCTGGCATCTCCGAGGACTTGTGGGTGGCCTGGCTTGGGGGGCGGGGGAGGTGGAGGGCGCCAAAGGCCCCGCCCACATCCCCCTCCACGGAGCCTCCCTGGGCCCGTTCCAAACCAGGGCCCTCGGACCCTCGACGTGGCTGACGTTACTCAGACAGTGTCAGGGACCCTGCTCACCCTCTTGAAAAGGGGAATCCGGAGGCACCCGTGGTGGAAGAGAGGGCGGAAGGCCCAGCAGCTCTACCCGCCGTCCCAGGCCAGAGGGGCGGGGCCCGTGCGGGTCCTGCCCTCGGTGCGGCACAGCCCCGGGTTATAACGGGTGCCTTTTTTTCCAGGGAGGGCATCCTGGGCCCGTATGCGGGGACACAGGACTTTCTTTGGCCTGTTCTCTAATGGGACAGCGAAGGGGCGCCGTGCCCCGGGGACCCCCGCGGAGGCAGCCGCTTGTGAAGGGGCAGGTGTGGCAGGTGGCCGCGGTGGGGGGGTTGGCCTTGAGCAGCCCCTGCGAGCCGGGCTGTGCGGTGCTGGTTGTTTCCGGTCCCGCTGTCGCGTGCAGACCCACAGCAGCAGCCTGCGCTTGGGGTCCTGGGGGGGAAGGCGCCTCGGGGACCTTCCCCACGTGAGGTCTTCTGTCCCTGCCGTGTCCGTGCTTCAGGGCAGTGGCCTGGGGAGATGTCATTGGGTCATCTCAGCACATGGGGGCTTTTTTTATGTGAAGGGATCTGTTTGTTCTTCTTTAATTTCTAAGGCAAAGCCATATTGAATTGTAAGTGTAAGGACAACGGTGCGTTGGAAAACTCTCGTGTAGCTCAGCACAACTGTTCACAGCCATATCGAGATCCTTGTCATGGTCGGTGCATCCCACGGGGCGAGTTTTTGTCCCTCCCCGAGGGGAGGGTTCTCTGTGGGCACTCGGTGTTGGAAAGCGGCTCCTCAGGGAGGCTGCAGAGCGCCACTGGCAGGCGCTCGACCCTCCCGGCCGGCGCCGACGGTGGCCGCTGTCAGAAGCCCGGAGTCGCGGAGCCGGGGTTGGGCCCTGGCTGCCCTCCGGGCCGGGCACCTGGCAGGCAGGCTGCCTTCCCCTGGAAGGTGATCCCGCGAGGGGTGGAAGGCACGTCAGGGTCCGCGCCCGCCCTGGCCGCCGCCGCTGGGCGCCGGCTGCTGCTTTGGGGCGAGGGGCGAGGAGCCCTTCCCTTGCGCGTGCCCCTACCAGCGGCGCCTCGGCAAGGACGCCTTACAGGGAGGAGCCGGGAGAGCGGCCAGCCCGAGCGGGCAGCCGGCCTCCGGGGAGACCGCCTCGCAGGCGGGCGGTGCCTTGGGACACAGCGATGACCCAGAGCTTGGGCCTCAGGAGAGCCCCGCAGTGGCCCACGGGGGGCCCCAGGCGCCGCCCCTGCGCGCCCGGCTGGCCCAGAGGTCCTGAGCTGGAGGGGCCTGCCCCTGGGGGTCCGCGCGGAGCCCTGCTGCTCCCGCAGCGCCCACCGCCCACCGCCCACCGCCCGTGCGCCCGGGGAGCTGTGTGCTGCCTTAGGGCCCTAGCGTCCCAAACTCCGCCTGCGTCATCCCAGACCGCGGTCAGGGAGGGACAGGGCTTGGCCACTGACACCCCCAGCCTTCGAGGGGAGTGGCTTTTCTGCCTTTGAAGAATCTGGAGAGAGAGAAATTATGGACGTGCGGACCAGGAGGCACCCGTTGTCATGTGGGAAGTGCCTCGGTGCCAGGAAGAACCTCAGCTCGGAAGACCGGCCTCATCACGAGGAAGTTCCTGCGGCCCCTGCCTGGGAGCCCGGTGGTGACAGGCCTTGTCTTTCGGGGGAAGTGCATCACGGTCCCTGCGCCGCCTCCATCTCGGTCTCCGTCTCCGTCTGGGCGAGCTCCTCGCCTGGTGGCTGAGGACCAGCCCTGCCCCCGGCGGCTGGTCTGCACGTGGCCCCCCGCGGGCTGTGCCGCCCTGGGTCAGCCCCACGCTCCTGGGCCCCGCGGTGCCCGCTCCTGCATGAGGAGGACAGTCACTCACCTAACGTGGGGGCCACGTGCGTCAGGCCGTGCCCGGTGCGCGGGGACGCGTGCCCGTGCCAGCGGCGGGGGTGGGGCTCGGTCTGAGCGTTACCGCACTCTGGCCTGTGGGGCGCCTTTGGGGACGGAGCAGTGAGGCTCGGGTGAGGCAGCTCAGGGCCCGCGAGGAGGGCCAGTGCCAGACCAAGCGCCCCAGGGAGCGCCCGCCTCACCGCCCGCCCGTTCTCCTGTGCTCTGCAGAGCTCGGAGCAGGGGGCCGCGGGCCGCCGCAGCCCCCACGAGATGAACCCCCGCGACCCGAGCCCGGCCCCCCCGGACGCTGGCGGGCTGCAGCCGGCCACCACACGGCAGCTGACGGACGCCGACAAGCTGCGCAAGGTGATCTGTGAGCTCCTGGAGACGGAGCGCACCTATGTGAAGGTGAGCCCTGGCAGCCCGCCGTGGCCCCCCCGCCCCCCGCCCCACCGCCCGGCTCCCTGTGCTTCTCCCGAGTGAGGGGCGGAGCCGGCCTCTGCTTCCCTGTTTTAGGGAAGTGCGTCCATTCCTGCCGCAGTTCATCGAGGTTCGCAGGGCGGGGCCACAGTGCGTTTTCAGTTGCTCAGGTGAAAAAAAAACGATTAATAAATAGTAACACAAGAATAAACCCTGCTTGCTGCACTTACTGTAAACATTGATTTTAGTTTAGAAAAACGTGTTACTCTTAAAGTCTCACTTGAGTCTAGGCAGAAGGGTATCAGATCTGTTTTCTTTGTGTTATTGCTTGTCCTGTCATTCAGTTACGTCTCTGTGTGAGTTCTTTATATGTAATTCACGCTGTGTTTTTGTGTAACACGCATGACCACGTGACTCCTGTAACTGTGATGATGATGTATCCTGACGTGTAGTGAGTTACGTGTTACAATGGCACGGTCCGTTTTGAGTGACCGATGTTAGTCTTTAAATCAAGGGCCAGCCGGGCCAGCTCTCCGCCCGCCTCACAGGTCAGCTTCTCCGGGGCACAGCCGGCTCTCTCGGCCTCTGCGCTGCCGCCGCAGCGGAGGGGGCAGGAAGGGAGGCCGCGTGCAGGCAGGCCGAGCTGCTGCCAGAGAAGGCCCGCCCGCCCGCCCGCTGCTGGCTGGACCGCGGCTCCCGCTCGTGTGGGGCAGCGCCCGCCTGTCCCTTTAGATTCTCTGAAGACCTTCGCACGGTGCGTTCACGTGACGGTGTTCTCTCCACCCTTAGGACCTAAACTGTCTCATGGAGAGATACCTCAAGCCTCTTCAGAAGGAAACCTTCCTCACCCAGGACGAGGTGCGGTGCAGTCCCCTTGCTCGGAGGGCCGGGTCGCACGGCAGCGGGCCTGGCAGGGGGCGGGGCGGGGGGAGCGTGCGTGGCACTTCGTCCTGACAAATAGGTCAAATCATCGCGCCCGGAGCGGGGGGCCACCCAGCCTGGTGGGGCGGGGTCCTTCTCTTAATTGGGATGCAGTGATAGAAAACTTTTGAAATCAGGAGCAAGTAAAGTTTCTGAACTAATGAAATATAACAGATATTAAATTCTTTTCCTTTCCAGCTTGATGTGCTCTTTGGAAATTTAACCGAAATGGTGGAGTTTCAAGTAGAATTCCTCAAAACGCTAGAAGATGGAGTGAGACTAGTACCTGATTTGGAAAAGCTCGAGAGAGTCGATCAATTTAAGGTGAGTCGACCCTCAAAGGGTGCGGAGCTGCCCGCTGCCCCGTGGGCCACCCCGAAGGTCAGGCTCAGTCCAGGAGGCAGCGTGCGCCTCCGGGCGAGGTCTGCTCACGGCGCTGCGTCCTCCTCGGCCTGCGGGGAGGGCCCGCTCCGGAGGGGCCCTGGGGGGAGCGGGCTGGCCTAAGTGCCATCTCCGCGCGGCACGGGCGCGCCTGCCGGCTCCTGCCCCTCCTCCGGAGGCTGCCAGGCCGTGGCCCCCACCCTGTGCGCACGGGGCCCTCACGCTTGCCGCGCGCGGTGCAGAGCGCGTCCCTGGTTTCCCCGTGGACTCTGATTCACCCTCTTCTGGGAAGTTCTGCTAAATGGAGATGCTTGTCGTCGTCCCCGTCGGACGAGAGCCCGGGGGGGGGGGGCGCTTTTCCTTCCATGGGGACGGTCCCCATGTTCCCTCCACCCAGGGGGCGGCTCACGCGGTGCCCCCTTCATCGGAGCCCTCCCACCGGGCTCGGCACGTCTCCCGCGGTGGCAGTGGCGCCCACTTCCCTGCAGCCGCGATGAGCGCCTCTTGCCTGTTCCTGGGCCGCGTGTGTCCCTTCCGGTGAAGTGGCTGCCCCAGTCACCTTCCCGGTCCCGTTACCAGGCGGTCTGGTTTCCTGTCACTGAGTTTTAAAGTTCTTAGGATGCTTGAGTGTAGGCCTTTGTCAGACGTGGGAGTGGCAGACACTCTCTTCCCCTCGTCGGGGGCCTGCCTGTAAATCCCGTTTGCGTGGGGCCCTCTTCCCAGTTGTCTGGCCTCGCCAGCCCGTCCGGCAGCAACGCGGCAGGCGGCCGGGGCCAGTCCCCAGTGGGCTTTCTCGGCGGCGTGCTCCCTGAGCTGCTGCTCTTGGCGCGCACCGTCGCCGCTTCGCCCAAAGCCTGATGGCATACTTGGCCCAAAATATCAAAACTCGTTAAGACAGGCAGACCGTGCTACGCAGAACCCCCGTCCTAAGGAAGAGTTTGCAGACGGGGTCTTGAGGCTGAGTGGGTTGCGAGGACATGGCCCTTGGAAATCGGCAACGCCCGTCGCCAACGGGGGCTCGGCGCGGCACTCACCTCACCTTCTCTCGTTGTGTCCAGAAGGTGCTGTTCTCCCTGGGGGGCTCCTTTCTGTACTACGCGGACCGCTTCAAGCTGTACAGTGCCTTCTGTGCCAGCCACACGGAGGTCCCCAAGGTCCTGGTGAAAGGTACGGTCGTGCGGGCGGGGTGCCGGGGGCGGGGACGGCAGGGGCTTGGTCGTCCCTGGCCTGCAGCTTCGTGGCCAGCCACGGCCGGGCGCCTTGGCATCAGAACTGAAGAGCTGTTGATGGGGACGGCGCCCGCTCCCGCAGGCCGCTGCCAGGGGCCCCCAGGACGGAGCGCCCACAGAGCTTGGCCGGGCCGGTTGTCTGTTTTCTTAGGATAAAAGCTTAGTCTTTGCTGTTCTGGGCCGGAACTGAGGGGCCATTTTGCAGCGGTCAAAACACACGGGGGTTAGACGTTCTCGACTCTGTTCCTTTTCTTCACTGGTTCCATTGTGACCCACCGCCCGCCATCCGCCTTCCGGTGGCACCCCGTGCGCCTGGCACCCATTTCTGTGCCTCGCTGCGTGACGCCGCCCCAACTCCCACCCCCGCACGTGGCTCCCGTCACGGCAGTTGCTCAGGGTGCAGGTATTTCTTGCACGGAGCAGAGCAGGCTCTTAGGGTCGGCGGCCCCTGCCCCCGAGTGTCCTAGGAGGCCCTGGGCCCCCTCAGAGGGCCCAGAGAGGGGTTTCTTCCCCAGTTCGGCGTGTCGTTGTCTGTGACAGATGAAAGAATCAAAGAAACGCTTGCTTGGAAAACAGCGTAACATTGAGAAGGTTGGATTCCAGAGAGCCTCTGGGCACCAGGCTGCCGCCCTAACACGCCGCTGCGGTGTGCAGGCCGAAGGGACGGAGCTTGGCCCGATCGAAGCTGTTCCAGGGCAGGCGGGCTCCATGCCGCCCCCTGCAGGACAAGGGCCTGCCCACAGGCAGCGTCCCTGCCCAGAGTGCAGGTCGGCATGGAGCTGAGAGGGGCGTGGGGCCCCTGAGCCCCGGCTCCTCGCGCACGCACGTGCGTTGGTTGTGCAGTGGCGTGCGCGCGCGCACGTATGTGTGCGTCTTCCCACGGTTTGCCCAACTGCTGGTCGCTGCCAGGCGGTGAGTGTGGGCACGTGGGATCTCCGTGCTCCCCGGGAGAGGGACGTGCCCACTCCCGTCCTCGGAGCAGCTCGTGTTATTTTTAAACATTCAACTAGATTATATTCTGCCCCATAAGTTTTCCTCAATTCAGTAATATTTGTGTGTACCTGAAGAATATTACCATATCTTTCAAATTATGCCTTAAAGCATGAGGTCTGACCTACATTTTTCTAACGGCCGAGCGTGCCAGGAGGGTGGAGGGCAGGCGGAGAGCAAGGACCGGCTGGTGCCCTCCCTCAGCTCGCCGCACTGCCCCGGTGGCCGGCCGCGGGCCCTTCCTCTTTGCCCGGCGTGGAATGCGCGCGGCCGTGTCGCTGGGCGTGAGGACTCGAGATTCCCAGGCCCCTCACTGACGTGGACCGAGGCTCGGGTGTCCCGCAGAGGCCAGGACTCCCTCGTGCGCTGGCTGCGGGCCCGGCTGCCCTCCCTGGCACGCGGGTCACCAGGCTCTCACTCCCAGTGCCCTTCCCTTTGGAAGGAGGTGCCACGGCCGGTGGGTGGAGCCCGGTTCCTCTTGATGGGGCTTCCAGGGCGCAGCGTCGGGCCTTTCGGAGGCTCGGCCCCGCTCCTGCCGCGGTCTGACGTGGAGGGTGGCGGTGGAAGGCTCACCCACAGCCTCCCCTGGGGCTTCACGCACCTTCGGGTCTCGGGGATCTCGGCCTGTGCCGAGTCCTGGCCGAGGGAGACGCATGTTCCATGTCTGTCAGCAGCTTTTGGGGAACCGGTTGCTCCCGTTAAGTTGCTTCGATCTGTCCTTTGTCATGTTCTTTGCCCGTGCCGCCTCCCCCTGCTCCCGTCTCCCTTTCTGGGGACCCACAGCTCTGGGGCCACCCTCAGGACACGGGACAGCCGACGGGCGGGGCCGGGTGTAAGGGTGCGGGCCCGCTCGGGGGCAGAGCCCTGACTTGATGCAGCACCCGGGGGGGCAGGCACTCGCGGCGGGCGGCCCCTTCCCAGGGCTGTGGGGGCCGCCGGCCGGCGGTGGGGGTGCTGGCGGGGAGAGCATTTCAAATGTTTCCGTAGGAGATGGAGCGAGGCAGACAGGTCAGGAGGTGCTTGTGGCGAAGAGACAGTGTGTTACAGTTTCCGAGAGGAGGGTCATACCAGGCCGTGCAGGGCACACGGGGGCACAGGGCGGGCCTGGGGAGAGGGGGGCCCTAGGGACACTGGGCAGGAGCCTTTCGAGGAGCAGACTTAGGAGGGCGAGCCCAGCACCTCCAGGCCCTGCGTGCAGGTGCCCCCAGTCTGCCGCCGGCCCTGGGGGGCTGGGGGGTGGGGTAGGGACCGCGTGAGAGCTCATGGAAGAGCTGGGGGGTCCTGGATCCGTTGTTTGTGTGAGGAAGGGGCTCCCGGGAGCCCCGCGTGGCCAGGCTGGGGGCAGGCAGCCCCAGGGCGGTGCGGCCCTGGCTGTGGAAACACCGGGTAAGAGGCCGCTCTGAACACGGAGAGGGGCAGGGTGGTCCCGGTGCCCCCCAAGGAAACGTGCAGACGGCACTGGCCCTCTGGGCCCTGTCTGAGCGCCACCCCCCGCCGGGGACGGGCCCGAGGACTGAGGCCGCGGCACCGAGAGGGGTCCGCGGGCCACCGGCCCACGTGCTGCGCGTGCCCTTGCAGCCCGGACGGACGCGGCGTTCAAGGCCTTCCTGGACGCGCAGAACCCGAAGCAGCAGCACTCGGCCGCGCTGGAGTCCTACCTCATCAAGCCCATCCAGCGGGTCCTCAAGTACCCGCTGCTGCTGCGGGAGCTTTTCGCGCTGACCGACGCCGACAGCGAGGAGCACTACCACCTGGACGGTGAGCCCCGCCCCCCGCCCTGCTGCCCCCACACGCCCTGCGAGCCTGCCTGGCCCGCGACCCCAACGCACACCTCCACGTGGCCCCCTCACGCCCCACCTGCCTCGTTCCAGTGGCCATCAAGACTATGAACAAGGTGGCCAGCCACATCAATGAAATGCAGAAGATCCACGAAGAATTTGGGGCTGTGTTTGACCAGCTGATCGCCGAACAGACTGGAGAGAAGAAAGAGGTAAGGACTCTCCCCCGCCCCGCTCCCCCCTGCCATTCTTCTCGGAACACGTGACAGTGGGGAAGGACGGTGGCTCCAGGGCTTTCGTGTCCCAAGCGGGACCCCTGCGGGGCGCAGGGGAGCCTCGTCTGACAGCCCGTCCCCCTCCTCGGGGCACAGACGTCTCCACCTTCGTGATCAGTTTTGACACGTTCACCGCGTGTGAGTTTCTGAACCCCCATGAGTCCTTTTCTTCCTGCTCTGTTGTTGAAATTCTGGGGGCACCCGGGAAGGGGGGCAGTGACCGAAGGGTCTCAGACGCTGTTGCCACGACGCGGGACTGACCTGCGTGGGCCGAGGTGCCGGCGCCCCGAGAGCCGGGGGGCGTGGACCACGCCCTGAGCCCCCGCCCCCTCCGCCCCCGCCCCGCAGGTGGCGGACCTGAGCATGGGCGACCTGCTGCTGCACAGCACCGTGGCCTGGCTGAACCCGCCCGCTTCGCTGGGCAAGGGCAAGAGGGAGCCGGACCTGGCCGCCTTCGGTAGGTGTGCGGTGGGCGGAGGGCGGAGGCGCGGGGCGGGCGCCGCCTGGCTTTTCATGCTGAGGTGGTCTCTCTCCCAAGGCAGAGTGTGTTGGGTCACAGGTGATGGCGGCCGCCGGGCTGGGTCACCGGCCCGTCACGCGTGGTGCGTTCAGCTCTCCACCGGAGTATGTCCGGTGTGGCCACCCTGCTGCGTGGCGGCGGGGGATGGCTGGGCCCGGAGCAGCGGACCAGCCGTGGACCCAGGAGAGAGAGCGAGGGCCCAGCCTCGTCTCTGAGACCCCGGCCTCAGCCCTCCTTCCCCCCACTCCGCGGTGCGTGTCGCGGGGGTTCGGCGCCTCGGCCACGGCAGCCCAGGTGCTGTGCGGTCCCCTGGCGGCGGGGGCTGTGACCGCGAGCTGTGTGTGAGCAACGGTGTGAGTGTGAACGGGCCAGTCTGGGGGGGCAGCCGCTGAGTTGGAGGGCCCTCGTGGCCCCGCTGCCCTGCTCCCCTGCTCGTGAGGCGGACACGCGGGGCTGGTGCCCTGGGAGCTGGGCGGGGCCCAGGAAGGACGGCGCTTGTTGCGATAGAAACCTTCTGCTTGGGGCCTGCAGCGTTGTTCCTGAGCCCGAAACCGTCGCAGCTCAGGCTGTTGTTTCGTGTTGTGCCTTCCAGCCTCTCCCAGCAGCCTCGTGGTGGGAGCCCCGTGCACGTCCTGAAGCCCGGGATCGCCGTCTCTTTCCCGATTTGTTGGGGCGGGGGCGGTGGGCCTGTCCGTTACCGCTTCTTTACTCAAACAGGTGGTTTTCCTCCGTGATGCGAGCAAGGCGCTCCCAGACGGAGCACCCCGGGGCAGGAGATTCATGCGGCGCCCCACTCAGGCCTCTCTGCCTCCCCGAGACACTCGGGCTATTCCTGACCTTGTCACAGAGCCCCTCCAGCTCTTTAGTGACGCTGTGTCACTAAAACAGCGAGGGCCAGGGAGGGGTGGGGAAGTGCGGGCGGCCTGTGCCGCGCCGCGGAGCGCGGGGCATCTCCCGTGCTAACCGCTTCTGACGGGGGTGTTTGTGGGGCGGGGACAGGATGTGTAGCCAGTGTTTCCAGTGGCATTTCCCACGGTGCACCCCCTTCTCGAGGGGCCGGGGAGCTCGCGGGCGCTTCTTGGGTGGCGTCCACGGGCCGCTGGGCGCTGGGCCAAGCCGGCAGCGCCAGGTCCGCAGGGCGTGTCACGGCCGTCTCGTGGGTTTGACAGGTTTCTCGCCGTTGGAAAGAACGGGATCTGGAGTAAGGAAGGGATTTGTGGAAGGAGGGCCGCACCCTTCCTCTGCAGAGAGCCTCACACTGGCCGTCGGGGCCTTACTCAGGTGGTTTTCCTCCGTGATGTGAGCAAAGTGCTCCCAGACGCAGCATCCCAGCGGCAGCCCCCAGGGCTGCGTGGGGCCACGCAGCGCGGGCAGCACGCGGGTGAACAGGCACCCTTGTCCCAGTCCTTAGGAAAGCGGTGCGGCGCTGTGAGCCCGCGGGTGGCACAAAGGGTCGGGAAGGTGCCAGGGCGGGGCTTTGGGTCCACTTGCTGGGCAGGCTCAGGTGGGGGGCAGTGGGTCTCTCTGTCCCCTGCCCCATGGCTGTTCACAAGGGAGGTGTGCGGCTGGCGGCTCCTGGAGCAGGTGCGTCTGTCCTGGCCGTGAAGGGCTGCTGCACCCCGGCCCCGTGACTGCGGTCACCTGCCATCACCTGTGACAGAGGCACAGGCCTGTAGGCAGCAAGGACCCGTGGCGGGGACGCGAGCTTGTCCTTGTTCAGAGTCCTCTCCAGAGAAACCGCGAGGGGCGGCGCAGGATGGAGTCAGGGCCCAGAGTCCGGCAGATGCCGGTCACTGTAGTGAGCTTAAAGGTGACACGCCGGGCAGTTTCCGCCTGATGTCCAGGGCCAGGAGGCACTGCGGGACCCTCGGAAGCCCGCTCTGGACTGGGCAGTGCCGTCCCGAGGGCGGGAGGGAGGGGACCACCGGCCGGGCAGCTTCGGGGGGAAACGTGCAGGCCCTCGTTTGGTTTAGAGCCCCTGGTCCCAGGAAGGGCAGTGGCTTTCTTCTGAGATGGAGGAGGCTGCCTGTCGCCCAGGACGGGACAGCCCGAGCTGCTGGCTGTCACCTGCTGCAGGACAGCAGCACTCGCTGGGCCTCTGCCTCCCGGGGTGGAGAGGGTGCTCCCGCTGGCAAGGGCCTGGGAGCTCAGGCCTGTCCGAGGGGCGAGGCGCCGCGAAGCCCAGAGGGGGCGGGCAGCCCGGCGACCGGGGTGGGCTGAGGGGAGGCGGAGGCGCTGGCAGCCGGGGGCGGGCCACAGGCACGGGCACAGCGGCCCCGCGTGGGTGAGGTCGAGGTACACGAGGCAGGCCGGAGCCTTCAGAGCCACGGCAGCCTCGCCACTGAGCTGTGGCTCCAGTCACACAGTGGGTCTTTGGGACTGAGGCCCCTGGGTGCCCTGCCCTGAGACAGAGCTGTGTTCCTTACGGATGGACCTGCTGTCCTGGACGCTGTGACTTCTGCCGCCTTCGCGGTGGGAAGGCCGGGGTGTCCCCGGGGCCAGCGCTGTGTGGCCTCCCCGGCCAGCGGGTGGCCTGGTCGGGGGGAACAGGCCCATCTGTTCTCCGGGACCCCTGAGAAAGCGGGTGTTGTGTGGCGTGAACGGCGTGGTCGGTCCCAACCTGGTGACCTGTGCCACTGTTTGCTTCTGGAGGCTTCTCTTCCTGCCAGGGGGAGGGGGGCGGGAGGGTGAGCCGCATCCTGGCACTGGCCTCCAGCGGCCCGCCCCCCCGCCCCCCAGGAGTCTGGAGTCTTTGTTCCCTTGGTGATTCCGTGTCCGTGTGCCAGGCACGTCTCCTCCCGTGGCCCTGGCTTGGTCCCCGCTGTTGCTCGGGGTGAGAATGTCGGGGGAGAGAGAAGGGGGCCGGGGCCGGGGCCCTGAGCGTGACCTGCTCCGCGTCATTTTGGAGCCCATGGCAGATGGTGCCCTGTGTCTCTCCGCCCCTCAGAGAACAGGAGGGCAGCTCCCGGCTGCCGGCACGGGAGGGGCTCCTGTGAGTCAGCCCGTAGCGGGGAAGTGGCCTTGCTGCCTCTCCGTAACTAACCACCACGAATTCCAAGGGGAAAGTCAGTCGCATTTCCTGAGCTGCGCCTGCTCTGGGGACAAGTCCCCTTAGGCAATGGCACTCTTTTTTAAAAAAGATTTTATTATTTTTGGAGAGAGGGAGGGGGAAGGAAAGGAGAACAGCATCAGTGCGGCGTTGGCGCTCACGCGCCCCTGCTGGGACCCGGCCCGCGGCCCCACGCTGCGCCCTGACTGGGACTCGCACCCTGTGACCCTTTGGTGTGCAGGCCGCTGAGCCACACCAGCTGGGGTGGCAATTGCATTCTTGTTGTTAAAGATGTTTGTGTTATTCCCCCAGCGACCGGACACAGACGTCTCGGTTGAACGCGTTACCGGCCGACGTTTTGAACATGGAACGGCAGTGCCGGGCAGGGCGGGTTGCCCGCCTTGGCTCGGGTCGCTGTGCGGGCTTGCAGCCCGGGCAGCTGTCGCTACAGGCCTGGAGCTGCACAGGCGTGACGGGCGTGGGAGGCGGGCGGGGGCCCCGGGGAGCCCGCCAGCCTCGCCGTCACCGGTTGTGTCTGTCGCCCACGTGGCCAAGGTTAAGGGAAATCCCGCGTGTCACCGGCCGTGACGGCCTTTGTTTGTTTTTTTGCAGTCTTCAAAACCGCTGTGGTCCTGGTGTACAAACACGGCTCCAAACAGAAGAAGAAACTTGTAAGCGAATTGCACTTCGCCCCACAGCTTGGAGCTCTCCCTCCGCTCTGCTTCCCGTCCTGTCTGTGTGGTTGCAATTCTGCCCCTTTGCCAGGCGTGAGCCTTCGGGGATGTCTGTGTTTTCTCTCCCCTTTCCTTGTATGTGATGTTGCGAAGGCCCCAGGAAACTGCTGTCCCGCCTCCTTGCGGGGCCACGCTGAGGCGCGGCTGGGCTGCGCGGCTGCCGCCTCCCGGGCCCCGCACTTCCCTTCCCCGCCGCTCTGTTCTTCCTGTGGGCCCCCTCCTTTCTGCGGGCGGCTTCACTGTCACGGGTTTGGAGGGCGGCGGGGGGTTGCCCGGGCTGCGGAGACGGCCCTCACTGGCCTGGCCTCCCGCAGGGAGGACCTCACAGGCTCTCCATCTACGAGGAGTGGGACCCCTTCCGGTTCCGGCACATGATCCCCACCGAAGCCCTGCAGGTCCGCGCCGTGGCCAGCGCAGGTAAACCTGCCCGTGCGCGGGCTGCTCCGGGCGTCCACACCCGCCCGGCCGCCTTCCTGCCTCCCTGCACAGCCGACTCCCTGCCCTCGGTCTCTCCGGGCCCGCCCCCGCCCCGCCCGGGTGAGGCAGCGCGTGCAGGGGTGCCCGGCCCTGCGTGTCGTCCGAGCCGGGCTGGCGGCTCCGGGCCTCACCTCCACGTGACGGCGACTGACGCCCGAGCAGCAGGCGCCCTGCGGGACCCCCGGCCCACGCGGGTGAAGCCTGGGGGCAACCCCGCCTTGCGACCGGGCCTGAGGGGACCGCACGGCACCAGCGGGAGCGTCTGCATGCTGCGCGTCTTTGTGTGCGCGCACCTGTGGGGGGCAGTGGGCGTGCCGAGTCCGAGGATGCGGTCGGCACACGGGACCTGAGCGGCGCCCGACGCCGGCCCTGCGCCGGGGGCCCTGCCCCGGGCTTCTTTTGAGGCCGGGCTCTCGGGCGCCCCTGGAAGGGGCACCTTTGAGGGCCAGGCGGAAGCGCTCGGGGGTCCAGTAGCAAAGAGAGGCCTTGGGAGCGGCCTCCGCAGGCGCACGGTGGGTCTGACGTGGGCCCCGGTCTCTGCCGTCCTCTCCGTTTGTGCTTGTCACGCCCGCGGGCAGCGACCCCAGTCAGAGCCCCCTGCAGCAGCTGCCCCCGGCGGGGAGTGGCCAGCCTCCAGTGGGTCCCCCGGGTCCAGTGGGCGCGTGCCTTGTGCAGCAGGAAACTCGCGTGCAGAGGCCGCGGCGGACACGCGTGTCTTGGGTGATCATGCGCCCAGCAACGTCTCTTGGGCCGCCCCGCGCAGAGGCTCACCCCGGCCCTTTCCACTCAGTGTTGGATTTTGTAAGTGGGTTCGTGCTGGACTTCACGGAACCCGCACGCAGGAGGTCTGCAAAGGGCGGCGGTGGCGTTTCGAGGTTTGGGCCCTGGAGCCCTGCGGCGCGGGGCTGTGCGGCCTTGTCCGCGGCAGGGCCCCCCCGCCAGGAGCTAGGGCAGGAGGCTGTGCGGGCCGCACACGAGGCCGCCTTCGACAGGACGCCCGTTGCGCCTGGTGTGCCGCTGAGTGTGAGCCTGTCGGGGCGAAGCCTCCTTTTGGGGGAGCTGGCGGAGCAGCCGGAAGGCCCCTGGCCACGGGGGGCGTTCCAGGGGCTTGGGGCCAGGACGCGCGTGCCGAGACGGGGTCCCGGTGTGGGTGGGCCTGTGGGCCCCTGTGCCCTGGTTGGGTGGGGAGCAGCCCTGCAAGGCCTGTGACAGGCCGGGGCCTCGGGCGCCGTCTCGTCCCCGACCCCGTGTCCGGGCGTGCAGCGACGCGGCGGCGCGCGCTTATAAAGCCCTGCGTAGGATAACATAGCGCTGCGCGGCTACCTTGAAACGTAACTCTTTCTCACCCTCGCGGCACGTGATTTTTGCTCACTCAGAGTGGGCAGCATGGGGGCTGAGGAGGAGGAGCCCGTGGGCTTCCAGGGCCCAGGGCCCTCGGGGAACGGGCCCCCGTGGAAGGCGAGGGCTCGGTGGGATCTTCCTTGGACTTTTGGGGTTGGTCTGGTCCAGCTGGTGCCAAAACAACCGATCACTTAACGGGAACGGTTCAGCCAGACCTGCCGAGCCGCTGGAAGGGTCGGCTCCTGGCAGCAGGAGGGACGGGCTGCCCACCACCCGGAGGGAGGTGTTTGCGACTGGGGATGTTCTGAGCGTTCTCCGCAGTGCTCGTCGGGCTTCGGGGACTTTGTGTCTTAGGGTCGCGGGGTCACGGCGAGGGTCCCGCGTCTGACGCTGCCCGGCGCGTCTCCTTGCGCTCCAGGGCCGGGAGTGCTTCTGTGAGATGCAGACCAGGCTCCTGAGGCACACGCTGACCCGTGCTCTTCCCTCCGCCCAGATGCAGAAGCCAACACGGCCTGTGAGATCGTGCACGTGAAGTCGGAGTCAGAGGGGAGGCCAGAGAGGGTGTTCCACCTGTGCTGCAGGTGAGCCTGGCGCCGCGGGCGCGGCCATGTGGCCCGGGCGGCGGGGGGGGGGACCCCGGGCTGCCCCGAGCGGCCTGTGCACCTCGGGGGTCTCCTTGCTGCAGCTGAACACAGCTGAGAGGTCGCGGAGCACGTTCACTGACAGGGGAGGCAGAAACCTGGGTAACTGAGTGTCTTTGTGAAAGGAAGTGGGAGCTTCTGTGTGTGCTCAGCGCCCTAGGCGGGTCTCTCCCGCGTTCGCGTTGGGGGACTACAGGGGCGCAGCTGCCTGCGGAGCTCTGTGCGGGTCTCTGGGTCGCCTGCGAGGTGCGCCCACAGGGCCCGAGTGCAGGGGCGAGCGTGTGCGGGCGTCACGGGGCCCCACGCCACACGGGGGAGTGGCTGTCCCCCGATCTCATCTCCTGTCCACCCCCTCCCCTTCCCCCCCCCCGTCCCGTCTTCTCTGCCAGGAGAGTTTGAGGCCTTTTTCTCAGATGCCAGCAGGTCTCTGTCCTGTTTTTTGCCTAAAAAGATCGAGGTGGGGGTCCCAGCACCCCGCTGCACTTGGACAGATTTGGCCTCAGTTATGATCTGCGCACGTTTCTGCTTTTGTGGGTGCTCAGGCCCTTAGTAATTTCTGTGGCGCTTCCCCCAGGGAGGCCGTGGGCGCCCCCTGAGGAGCCGCAGAGTCAACCCAACGGCCCCCGGGGTCACGTCGCTCGGGGGCGTGGCTAGCTGGGCTACGCAGAGCCCGGGGCGCGCTGCCTCAGCCAGCTGGGCCGAGGGGCTGCTGTCCCCTCTCACACAAGGGCCGCAGGCGCACGGGGCCCACCCTCGGGGGCGGGGGCCGTGCTCCTGTGCGTGCCTCCAGATCGGCGCACCGGGCCGGGCAGCCGGGCCCAGAGCGAGCAGCCCAGGAAGCTGTCGGGTGGGAGATGGCCTTTTCCTTGGCTGTCTTTGGCTGGCCCGCACGGGGAGGGAGCAGGTCCTCACGTGCCTTTGGGCCGACCCGCCCAAGGTTCTATGGGGGAAGAGAGGCCGAGCTCTTTGCTACTGAGCCAGACCGGGCGGGGCTTACCTGGATGAGACCCCTGAGCGCAGGGCCAGGAAGCTGCTCCTCCCCGGAGCACGGCCCACTCCGGGGCTCGGAAGGGGAGGGGAAGGGGAGGGCGCTCGGGCCTCCTGCTGAGCTGAGTCCCGGGAGGCGTGGCTGTGGAGCCCAGGACCCGGCTCTGGAGGAAGCGGAGAGTAGGGCCTTCACCTGTAGGCGCCCTGCAGTGCAGCGAGAACCTTGTGGTTCATTTGTAAAAATGTTGTAAGTGGAGCGTCTGCCTCCTGTCCCGGGAGCCCCATTTGGCAGTGGCAGCTCCCCAGTGCAGAGCCCGCCGGCCGCCCGCCGCCCACCTGCCGCCCCCGGGTCTGCTCCGCCCCCGCTCGCTCGGCTGCAGGGCTGGGGGGGGGGGCAGCGTGAGCCCCGCCCCGGGCAGAGGCTGGGGTCTGCGGAGGCCCCGGGTTGCATCCGCGGCCCCGCGCGTGGAGCCCCGTCTCCCTGACGTGTTCACCTCCTCCCCCGCAGCTCCCCCAGGAGCCGCAAGGACTTCCTGAAGGCCGTGCACGCCACCCTCCGGGACAAGCACCGAAGACAGCTGCTCAAAGCCGAGAGCCTGCCCTCCCCCCGGCAGTACGTCCCTTTCGGAGGGAAGCGGCTGTGTGCGCTGAAGGGGGCCAGGCCGGCCATGAGCAGGGCAGGTACTGCCGGGGTCCAGGCGCTCAAGGTCCCTGTCGCCCCCGCCGCACGGTAGCCCCGCCGAGCCCAGCACGGCGTCCGGGCCGAGCAGGACGGGCCGTGGCCCACAGGACGCGCGCTGCGCGTGCTCCCCTGGCCTGAGGCCTCGCCCTGCCCCGGCGCCCCGGGGGCCCACCTGTGTGTGCCCCCCTTGCCCCCCTCACCTATTCTGCTGCTGCTCCTCCTCCTCCTCCTTTTCCTCCTTTTCTTGGCTGGTGAGCTCCCCCCGCGCCCCTCCTGCCACCCCCGCCAACGCCTCGCCGAGCGTGCTCTCTGGGATCGCTGCTTTGCATGACAGCCAGCTTTGTCCCGTGGAAAGCGTGTCCTGTCTCAGCAAGGCCACGGCCACTCCTCTGAGGACATGGTGGCTTTGTGGCTGGAAGCACAGCCCGCCTGTCTCAGTCGGGAGCCCGTGGGGCAGGCCGGGGGCAGGGCAGGTCGCAGGCGGCCTGCGCCCGCCGGTAGGCGCCGGCTCCTGCGCGGATCGGGCCGGCCTCAGCTGCTGCGGGAGGAGAGGAGCCTGGGCTGCGTGGCCCAGAGTGGACGTTCCTTCAGGGCGGGAGCGGAGCCCTGGGAGTGCGAGGCGGGGCGCTCTGCGGCCACCGCTTGCGGCGGGCGGTGGCAGACGTCTGGGAAGAGAGGTGTTTCCATGACACGTGGGTGTGCGTGCTGTCGCGGGAGCCGGGCTCCTGCCCCTTCTCCCTCACGCGCCCCGACGTGGCCGGGAGGCGCCCCATGAGAGAGGCACCCCTCGCGTTTGCCCCAGGCGCCTGCCTGTCGCTGCGCCCCCTCGTGTTGCAGGGCGCGAGCTGGCCCGGGTGGGGCTCCCGGCCTCCGTGGCTGCATGTGGACACCACACTCCCACAGCCTCCCGGCCAGCGACTGTCCTTGAGTCCCGTCTAGTCAGTTGTTGTCTGTTGGAAACCGACTGTGGCCAACACCCAGCGTTCGCTCTCTGGGGCCCCCCAGGCCCTTGGTGGCCCACAGGCCCTGCCGACCCCACAGCGGAGGGCCTCCCACGGGAGCTGTCTGTCCCGCTCCCGCCCCCGCCCCACGCCAGGGAGTAGTGATTGGGACCAGGAGTGTGTGTCCAAAGCCCCGCCTGTCATTGGCCAGCTTTTAGCCGCGTCAATGAGCCTAAGTTCTCTTGGAAAGGAAGCATTTTGAGTCTGTTCCTTTTGATATCCTTTTGGGAAGAAAACGTCACCGACCCGCAGCCTGCCCCTTCCTCACGAAACCCAAGGAGGCCTGAGGTTGGAGCCCTGGGCGCTGGCTGGTGGGAGTTTTCTGTCCGGCCCGTCCAGGCTGAAGAAAGTCTTCCTTCTGCGCGAGAAGCTGCTTGCTCCTGCCGCGGTCTCCCCACTAGATGGCTTAGAAACGCCCTCGAGTGGGTGGCACCGCCCAGGCGACCCATCTGAGCATGAGCACGGGAAATGCTTGCACCTCGTTGCCCCCTGGGCCGCCTCTTCCCTGGGGAGGGAGGCCCGCACTTCGCGATGCGGCGTCGCGGACGCCAGGCAGTGTGTCTCGCTGCTGTGTCCGAGTGGCCGGGGAAACCAGGCCCCTGCCTCGGTCCGCGCAGCTCTGAGGACAGTCTGGGCTCTCGGTCCATCTCCTGGCGACGCCGAGGGCGCGTCCGCTCCTGCTCCCGCCCGTGAGTTCTCGTGACCGCGCCCCGCGTGCTGAACCGGCTGGAATTGTGTGCCATTGCACGTGTCCCCACCGTTTGTGCTTTCCTGCTTCCTGTTTTCGTGACCCTGTGTCATTATCCACCCATTAGCAGCTCGGTTTGGCACGTTTCAGAAGTGCAGGCATGGACCCACATGACCCCTAAATTCACCGGCGTGCCCCTCCGCCCCCCCTTCCCAGGGGCCCCTCCCTGGTCTGGGGGCCCCCCCGCTGCTGGCGCCCATGAAACCGAGCAGACGTTTTTGCTTCTTCCAAATGGAGTTGGCTTTTCCCGTATTTCTGTTTTTCCTGGAAACCGTGCGCTTGCCCCCCATGCACTGTCCCCCATGAGGGGGTGACCACGCAGGACAGAGGCAGGGGGCACAGCCGTCCCCGCCCTCTCGCAGCGCTGCACCTGGCCACCCTGCAGGTCTGCATGCAGCAGGCTCACCCGTCCGCCTGACCGGCAGGCAGCGTCCTCTGTCTGTCTGTCTTCAATGGTCCTGGCTCCCGAGAGGGCAAGCGGGCGGCACAGCAAACTCAAGGGATCGCTTTCCTTAGCTGTCACTTCACGTAGCACGTGGTGCTCGTGCGTGTCTTCCTTGCCTTGTTCCCCAGAGCTGCTGGCGTGAAGCATGTTGCCAGCAGGGACATTGGTCACGTTTGCTCAGCCTCTTGGCTCATGCGGGGTGTGTCCGCGGACAGGGACTGACTGAGACCCTGGGAGCCACTCCTCCCGCGGGCTCTGTTAGGGGGACGCATGCCCTCAACCCGGCCGCAGGTCCTGGAGGAGCGGCGCACTGCATTTCCCCGAAAGCAGGTGGCAGGGACCAGCCCGGACGCCCCCCAAGCCCTGTGCCGCGGGAGGTGGTTGGGGCGGGGTGCCGCCTGCCCCATGTTCAGAGGTCCGTGGGAGCGCGGCGGGTCTCTGCGTCCCCCTCCTGCAAGGCGCACAGGGCAGAGGGGTGCCCCCGCCTCCCCTAACCTGCAGCCCCGGGTCCCTCTGTGTCCCCTCGCCCTTCCGTCAGCTGCCCTGGCACCTGTGTGAGCTGAAGTCTGCGGGACGGACGGGTGACGCCTGGGCCGAAGCCCCAGCGGCGGCGTGCTGCCCACCGCGGCCGGACCGTGGTCTGCGCGGTGCCGCTGGCGCCCCTCACGTGAAGCGCACGGGTGTGTTTTCCTGTCTTTGTGTGTGTGCGCAGTGTCCGCCCCGAGCAAGTCTCTCGGCAGAAGGAGGCGGCGCCTGGCACGGAACAGGTTCACCATTGATTCTGACGCCGTGCCCTCCAGCAGCCCGGAGCGAGAGGCCCAGCAGCCGCCTGGCGCCGGGGACACGGACCGGTGGGTCGAGGAGCAGTTTGATCTCGCACGGTACGAGGGGCCGGATGACGCCAAGGAGACCGACATCCTCAGCGACGGCGACGAGTTCTGCGAGTCCGCAAGGGGCGCCGATGTGGACGGGGACCTGCCCGAGCGGCTCCAGGCCGCCTCTCTCAGCCGGCGGGGCGGCGGCCGCCGGAGCCTGGACAGTCACGCCTCCCGCATGGCGCAGCTCACGAAGCAGGCGGCCCTGCCGGGCGCCGGAGGCGGCCACGACCCCGCGGGCGAGGAGGTCGTCTGGGTCAGGCGGGAAGACGTGGCCCCGTCCCAGAAACTCAACACGGAGATATGACCGTCCGCCGGAGAGCGCGTGTACATACTTGTCCCCGCCCTGCCCTTCCTGTCCCTCCTGTCCCCTCCAGGACGAAACTGTCCCCTTGGTTCGCACTCTTGCACACACGGTTCTGGCAGCTGACTTTGCTCGGAAGCCATGTGCCGCCCAACTCATCCCCCTAACAGCACCAGAAAGGATGGCTCAGAATCTGAAGTGAGCGCGCGTCCCTCCTCCTGACCGTGGCCAAGGGCTTTTCTTCGCTCCCTGTGAATCAGGGCCGGACGGGCAGAGAGAGGCCCTGCAGGACCGGCGGTCACGTTACCCCAGGGGGTGCTGGTCGGCGGGGCGGCACCGACGGAATTGTGACGAGGTCACCCTGTCTGAAACCAGTCCGAGCATCCCCGGGGGGGGCATGCAGCGACGGAGCCGGCGCACGGCCACAGGGTCCCCCGGCTCCTTCCTCCCAGGCGCCGGGTCCGCCGTGCGTCCTCAGGATGTGCAAGGGGACTGGGGCGCTTACGCCCCGACAAGCCTCTCCTCCCTTCTGGCCTGGTCTGGGGCTGGTCCTACGTGACGCCAGTGTTTGGAAGCTCTAGTTTTGCATAGAATTATAAAGATGCCAAACTCTTTGAAAAGAGATCCAAATTTATCACTTGAAAAAGAAAAATGCTATTTTTTTGTATTTTACCTGAGAGGCAGGGCACAAACAGATGAGAACTTTACAGTGTTAGAGTACCTGAGCCTAGGAGCGAGGGCTTCGCCTTTGCAGAGAGGGCGGGCGTGCGGTTTTATGTTCATGTGTACGAACGGCTGGCAGGCTGCTCGTGTTTCGAGACATGGTTTTCCCAGAAGACTGTTCGTTCGTTTGTTTGAATCTCTGTGTGAGGTGGGTGCCCGGTCGCCGCAAACAGGGCTTCCCGAGGGGGCGGCGTGTGTGTCTGTTGCCCGTGGGTGCGGGGCTCCTCGCGGGGGTTGCCGTGGTGACCGTGGGTGTCCCTCGTGCCGCCCCTTCATCCGGAGATTGCCTGCCCTTCCCTGACGCTCCATAACCGAACCTCTTAACCACCTCTTCCAACACGTGTCGTCTTGTGTTTAATGCTTTGTTCATGCCAACGAAACAGGGTAAACATGCTAAAAATCTAACGTTCTACACAGGTTTCCACGTAGGGAGAACAAAATCAACTTAAAGCACTTTGGATTTTTTTTTTTTTAAAGGTTTATAGCTTTCCCACCCCCACTTCACAATGTCCACTTCCTAAGAAGGATTTAAATAATATGAAAACTTTCTTTTTTGAGAAATTCTCTATTTGGTGTTTGACACATCAGTAGGTACTTTAAAGACCTGAATTTTATAGTCGCTCTAGGGGTTCTATTTTATACGAACGAGTCGTGACTTCATATTCCCGGAGTAGAGGTCAGACCCTCCCGCCCGCCCCTGCTTGCCTCCTGCCCCCGCGCCCCTCCCCCGGCTCTCGGGCTTCCCGGGCTTTGGGCTTGATCCTCTGGGAGTTTTATTCTATGAAATTTTTGCTATACTTTCTGGTTTTCTGAAAAAGCTTTAGAGCGGTTTCCATGCCCTTTGTGTCCGCGCACTGCGCTCGCCGCCCCGGGCCGTTGCGTGGGCGGGAGGCGGGAGGCGGGAGGCGGAGCCCGGGCCCGCGAGCCGTGCTGGGGCCCCCGGGGCGGCCGGCCGCAGGGGGTGCCGTGCCGCGTGTACATAGGTCATGGCGTGTCTATGTCCAGAGTTCTTATATATTTCTTTTATAAGCTGAAAGAAGGTCTATTTTTATGTTTCTAGGTCTATGAATGGAACGTTGTAAATGCCTGTCGAACAATAAAAGCATTGGAAAGTGTGTGCAGCGTCTGGGCCTTTTTGGGTCAATGGCAGCGATTGGCGGGACAGAGTATCTGGGAGGAGACTCCTGGGGGCGCCTTTCTGTCCCCAAATGCGTGGGCTCACCAAGCGCCGGCTGAGTCGGTGGAGCCCGAGGTGGTTTTGTGTTTAATGTGCCCTTTTTTACGAAGGCGTGACTGTCGCGTTAGTCCCGCTGTCCCGCGGGATGATTCGCTGTCACTGCTCATTGTCCGCGCCGGGCGCCGCACGCAGGTGCCGAACTCCCGCGACAGGAACGTCGGCGATCCCGTTTCCGTGCCCCTGGCAGAGGCTCAGCGCGCTGTTGGCCGCGGTCACGTCCCCAGGACCCACGCCTGCTGCCGCTGGAAGCTGCTGCCCTCCGCGCCCCCGCCCGTGGCCCCCCCAGCCCCCCTCCCGCTCCGAGTTTCTGCTTGTTTTTCAGGGTCCGCAGAGCACACCCTGTGACGTCTGTCTTTCCCTGTCAGCAGAGCTGGGAGTGCTCACCAGACAGAAAAAGCGCCGAGGCCGCTCGGCACCCCAGTCTCCCGCCTCAGAGGAGAGGCAGTGGCTCGGCAATGGCTCGGAGGAGAGGCAATGGGTCTGTGCCTGGGCGGAGTGCGGTTCCCGCCTCCCGTGCTCCCCTGGGAGAGGCCAGGAGCCTGGGGTCCCTCGGGGCGGGCTGGAGCACGGAGCCTGGCCTCGCTGCCGGGCCTCCCGCAGACCCCACGCCGGGAGGGGGGGCGAGGCCCTGGCCTCCTCAGCCGGCCCTCGCCCAGCCCCTCTCCCCGTGCTCGCCCCGGCCCTGGCGGAAGGTGGATGCCCCCCACCTCCAGACGCCGGCCGCGCAGGCTGCATCTCAGCAGTTTGCTCCCTGGCTTGGGTCGTGGGCCGACAGCATCCGCACCAGCTCCCTGGGGCTTGTTAGAGATGCACATACCCCCCCCCCGCCCCACGCAGACCCAGGACCTGCGTTGCAAGGCCCCGGCAATGTCCATGTTCAAGCCTCCAAACGTCCAGGTCGGGAGGCTCGTGTTGGGTTCTTGTTTTCCGCATGTCCAGGCCCCGCCAGGTGCACTTTGGGGGCGCGACGGAAGCCCACTACTTGCCCCGGGGGAGTCACCCCAGCAGTTCCTGCTTGGCCGGGAGAGCGTGAGGCATGGCTGCGCCCCGTCCTGCCGCTGAGTCTGCCAGCGCAGGGGGCCCGGGGACTCGAGCCGGCACAGAAGCACCCACAGCGCCTCGCCTCGGCTGCTCCCCGGCTGCTGCCCCGCAGCCGGCAGGGAACGCGCCGGTCCACCCCTGTCTGGGGCTGCCTCGCTCTGGGGGCGGGGTCCTCCCTCTGGTCTTGGGTCCATTTCCCGGGAGCCATGACCGCTGTCCTCGTTGGCGGCTCAGATCGGCAGTGGCCCCCAGGGCTCCCCGCCGAGGGCGCCACTGCATCCGGGCCCCTGGCGCCCCGGACCGGACTGCGCTGGGGTGTTGTCAGGACGCCTGGCCCGCTGTGGCCAGGTCTCTCTCCGGCCTGGACCCCAGGTGTCTCTCCACTTGTGTTGGGGGCCGGCCTGGGGGGCTGGCGTAGACAAGCCCTTACTGTTTCTGGACTTCCTGTTGACAGCCCAGTGTTACCTGCCTTTCACGGGCACCTTCTTCCCTCTCTTCCACAAACCCATCCTGCAAGATGGGCAAATGAAACTACAGAGGAAAATGGGGGCCAATCCTGAGAACATTCAGCTGCATAACCATAAAGCATGTGGGGTCAGAACTGCCAGCTCACGGTCTCCAGAGGCTTCTCTGAAGGCATCAGTGTTCGGGGGAAGAACGGAAGGTTCAAAGCACACATTGTGCCCCGGCGGGTGCGGCTCCGCGGACTGAGCGTGGGCCTGCAAACCACAGGGTCGCTGGTTCGATTCCCAGCCAGGGCACAGGCCTGGGGTGCAGGCCAGGTTCCCAGCAGGGGGCGCAGGAAATGCAGCCACACATGGGTGACTCTCTCCCTCTCCCCCTCCCCTTCCCCTCTCTGAAAATAAAATCTGTAAAAAAACAAGCCGTACACCTCACGAGTGCGGGGGCTGTTCAGATGCAGACCCTCAGGGCTGACCGGGCAGGAGGCGGCCGAGAGCGGCCATGGTCCGTGGGCGGGTCCAGCTGGAGCGCGGGCAGGGCTTTTACACTGAGGTGTTGCACTGGTTTTCTGGGATAGCAGTAGGGCGGGTACCAGTTCTGTAGACCCTCAGCACCCACGCAGCTACACCCAGGCCGTGGCAGCTGCGTGGAGGGGCCAGGGGGCAATTCCGGGCTCTTCTGGAGGAGCCAGCAGCCGCGTGCAGGCGGCGGAAGGCCCTTCCGGGTCCCCCCTGGGGACGTCCTCACACGGGTTCCCTGCCTGTAGCGAGTGAGCCCGCAGACGCTGAAGGGAACAGCAAGGCTCCCGTCGTATCTGGGACACAGCACCCAGCGGCCTGCGGCCGGGACCCCCTCAGATGAACGGCATCAGTCTTGGGGCTGGGGTCCGAGCAGCGGGGTTTACAAAAATTTTTAATATTTAAAAACAAAATTTGACCCCGGCGGGTGCGTCTCAGTGGGCTGAGCAACCAGCCCGCGAACCACGGGGTCGCTGGTTCGATGCGGGCCCAGGTGCCCAGCAGCGGGCACGTGAGAAGCAACCACACACTGATGTTTCTCTCTCCCTTCCCTTCTCTAAAAATAAATAAAATCTTAAAAAACAAACCCAAAACACCAGACTGTGACGCCCGAGCTTCTATTCACTTTATGTGGGTGGTACGGCGGCCCAGAGCTGCTTCCGATCAGCCCCGTGAGGCGATGCGTCATCCTTCCCAACGGTCCGAGGGCACTGGAATGTTCCATTCCGTCCCTGAACTGGACCCCAGGAATGCAGTGCAGCCACACCGCGCCCTGCTGGTCCGAATGATGGAGACATTTGCCTCTCTCTGATAGATACTTACAAGGTACCTGTCCACATGTGCTGTGTGGTGGCTGAAGGAGACTCTCCAAAGGCCGAGGGTCCTAGTGGGGAGAACACAGAGGGTGTTGGCGCCCGATGGGCCGAGGGCTGCGTGTCCTGACGCTCAGACTCCTGGGTTCCGGGCCCCAGTTACCGAACGAAGAGCCACAGCTCCCAGCGGCGGAGCTCACTGTGCACAGGGCGGCTGCCTGCCTCCAAGGGGACCCCCTGGAACCCGAGCCTCGGAGGAGACGCGGGACTGGGAGGCCGTCAGGCCAGACCGAGAATGGGGTCACCGCGGCGCGGGGGCACTGGCGAGTGCCACTTGATCAACCGCTGTGACCGCAGGCTGGAGTCTCACCTCCAGGCGCTGACTGTGAGAGCCCCCGTGGGCTAATTTCACGGGCAACAGAACTGTTTTTAACCTGTCTGTTCGCACAAACCGCTGCTTCTCACCTAAGCAAAGAGGTGTGTACAAGTGTTGCAGACCTTAGAACAGCCACGAAGGGGCGCGGGCAGGCGGGCAAGTGACGCGGTCCGCGCCCGCCTGGGACCAGCAGGTGAGAGAGCGCAGCGGGGCGCGCGTGCTGACCGGTGCGTCCGGGGCGTCCGCGGCCCGGGCGCGGCGGGACCCCGCTGACCACAGGCGAGCAGCGCGCCCGTCTCTGCTCATAGCTGGGTGGGAAATTACCGGGTCTCACTCACGTTGGTAACTTGAAAGTCCACCGGCCTAGTGGACACGACGGAGAGGCGGCTGGGGGCGTCACGTGGACAAGCCGAAGTCCTGCCCCCGAGGCGCTCTGCCCGGCGCGGCCCCGCGCCCGCGTCCGGAGAAAAGGAGGCTGCAGGGAGGGCGGGAAGCAACGGGGAACCCGAGCGTTTTCAGGGGCGTGAGAGCTAAATTCGGGGTGCACTGAAGTACGATCACTTGATTTTTTGTTTTTTAAATTAAGAAACGTAAGTTCAAATTTATTCAGTTTTTTATATTAATATAAACCAAGAATATGTTAAAATGAAGGGATACCCGCTTGGTTGTCCCATTAGCCAGTTTCTTGTTCTTCATCAGAGGGCGACGGGCAGGGGGCCTCCTGCCCGGCGGGGTTTGGGGACCGGCCGGCCGGCCCCGCCCCCACTCCGGTGCACGCGCACCGGGCCAGCTCGCGGGTGCGGGTGCGCGTCCGAGCGGCCTCGTCGCGCCTGGTCTACGCCGCCCGCGGCCGCCGCCTGGCGCGGTTTTAAGGGCCACGAAGAGTGCTTTCCGCTGGACAGGCCGCAGGCCCTCGGCTGCTCGCCGAGCCAGCGGGCGCCTCCCCCGGATTCTCCGATTGCGGACGTGTGGGTGGGCGTGGCTTTGGGCCGACCCCAGCGAAGCCCCGGGCGGGGTCGTCCGCCCGCCGCGCTCGCCGGGCCCTCGCGCCCCTTTCCCGACTTCCGAGCACCTCGTCGCCCAGCGAGCGTTCTCGGACCCGCCCAGACCCTGTGCGGCGGCGCCGGGCGGGGGCGCGCGCCCGCGGTCGGCGCGACAGGCGGAGTCTCCGGCGCGAGCGGCCGGGGCCAGACCCCCGTG